ATTTTCCTTCTGATCTGTACTGGTCCATCAAAACTAAATGTTCCTCCGTGTTGTACATGTATAACACAGTGCCAGTGAGCGAGAGACCAGCTGGCCAGAATAATTCAGGTGCTCTAGGGACTAACATGTCGTACCTGACGACCAGTTGCTGCTATCCTCACCACATATCACACTCACAGTATCGTTAAGTACACTGGCAAAACATTTCTTAAGTCGGCGAACTACACCATATATATATATATATATATATATATATATATATATATATATATATATATATATATATATATATATATATATATATATATATATATGATTCTAGCACGGATCTTCTCTATATTTCGTATGTATTTCTTCATCTATGAAGTTAAAAAAATAACTCTCCAAAAGTTTATTTCACTGGTTTATTACAGCATGACACTGTAATAAACTAAAAGTTGATCTTATCAGAGTGAGGTGAAGTAAGGCGTCGCATCAGCCAAGAGACCCACTGCAGCCTACTGCTACTTCTTATTGTAACTGAGGAAGTATGCTGGATGTTCTGTCGTGGCCTTGGAGATGGTAGAATATAACAGTTACATTCTAGTGGATTAGTTGGAGAAGCAGGCATGAGAGACAAGGAAGGTACTTCAATGGATAAGAGAGTGCCAAGACAACAGAAAACAGCGAGGGGTGAGATCTCAGAGTGGCGAGATGTCATTAGTGGAGTCCCACAGGGTTCAGTTCCCTGACCTATCCTATTTCTCATATACGTAAATGATCTTCCATGGGAAATCTACTCGTTCCTCAGTGTTTGCTGATGTAGAAAACTATGAAGAGGATAAAGACAGAGAACTGCAAGAGGCTAGATGATGACCTGGACAAACTAAAAAAAGGGCCCAACAAATGGCTACTAGAGTTTAACTCAAGTAACTGTAATGAAACTAGGTGGAGCGAACAGGAGTTGGTTACAAGGTACCAAATGGGAGACGAAATACTTCGTGAAACGAACAGAGAAGGATCTAAAGGTTCATATCACACTGCACAGGTCTTAGCTGAAGCCGACATAAAAAAAACATCAGCGGCATAGCTATCAGCACTACCTTCAGGAATTTGTGTAAGGAATCATTCAGAACCTTGCATATCACATATGTCAAGGTAATCTTGGATTGTGCAGCATCAGCATGGAGTCCATATCTTTTCAAGCACAAGATGATGTTGGAGAATGTTCAAAGGTATGCCTAGACTAGTCCCGGAACTACAAGGAACGAGTTACGAGGAGAGGCTACATGAATTGAATCTAACGCAGCTTGATAACAAAAGATAGAGGAAACATGATTACCACATACATAATTCGCAGGGGAATTGACGAGGCTGCCCCTCACACTGCTGCACGAGGCTGCCCCTCACACTGCTCCACGAGGCTGCCTCATGCTACATGCAATTCATTGACAAATCAAATTGCTTTAAGTTCCCTTTAAAGACAATTATCACTTTAAGAACCTATGCATTTATTACTAAAGATATTCAGTTCCATCAACCTGAGCTGCAAGTTTTACACAACCAAAACTTCCTGCAATGAGTATTTTTAATGAGCTTTGCCACAGTTGTTGGTATATGCGTTTGTTATAATGGGGTGCCACTCACCTGGGATGTAACTATAGTATAATGGGATGCCACCAGGGATGGCACTACGATTAACACTCGCTCAATAACTAGACCTCTAAGTGTTCCACTTATCAACACTCCCTCAGTAACTCTCCCTCGTCGGTTCCGCTTATCTTGTTTGTCGACAACCTAACTTCCTCCCCCACACCAGCTTTATCTTTGATATATTAAAGTTATCCCAGAACCATATACACACACACACACACACACACACACACACACACACACACACACACACACACACACACACACACACACATATATATATATATATATATATATATATATATATATATATATATATATATATATATATATATATATATATATATATATATATATTACACTAGGATACCAGGTGGTGTCATTGTCGACCCGGTATCTGTATGACTGTCCATCGCTCATCGCTGTCTCTCTTTTTTTATGTCTTTGTCTCGCTTTCCCTTTGTCTATTTGTTTGACTGTGTTTTTGAATATCTGTCATGTGTGTGTGTGTATGCGTGTCTTTGACTATCTGACTCTTGTCCTTCACTGTCAGTCTCTTGCTTTCTGTCTCACTTTTTATATCTGTCTCTCTGTTCCTTTGTCTCGTTTCCGTTTCTGTCTACGTCTGTCACTATATGTCTGTTTCTCGTTTTGTGCTTGTCTGTCTCTGTCTCTGTCACTCAAAACCAGTCGGAAAGTCATCTTCATAAGAATTTGGTTCATAATAATCTATAAATACAATTAATATTTACCTGTTCACTGTGACTGGTATTTCCTATTTGTGTCTGCAGGATCGAGCTCTTAGCTCTTGGACCCAACTTTCGTTATCATCGGTTGTCAACTGACTCCCGACCTATTTATATCATATCTACTACATAAATTTTTCTCCAATACAAACACATCCCAGGATACAGCTTGTAGCAGCTAACTCCCAGGTACCTATTTAACTCGGAGCAACTCTGTCTATTTGTTTCTGCCTCGGCCGGGAATCGAATTCGGGTCCTTAGAACTACGACCTCCCCCCCCCCCCCCCCCCCAGAGCGCTGTCTCACTCTGTGCCTGCATCTGTCTGTATCTTGGGACAGTAGCCCTAGTTTGGGGTTAGTAGATTGGGGCACCAAAGCCAGCCAGAGTGGACGCTGATGAGAGCTGTGTGGACGCCTGGACGTCACAAACGCGTTGGGTAGTGTGTGAAGTTACGACATTCACTTAAACACTACATTACTGAATATGAGACTAAAATATTTTAGGCCTCCTGGCCTATTGTACAATCAACTATAAGTATTTCACTGAATCTAGTATGTTGGAAGACACCCCTAACTATTTATCGTAAATTTGTTTGTTCATGTTAAAGAATTACATTTTTTTGTTATTGTTTTAAAGTTGTATGTCTTGTGAATTCACCAGACATGTGGGGTTGCATATCAAATTCGTAAACTGAAACATGTATATCTGATGTATTATATTCTAACCTCGTTAACTATGTATGTGTTTAAATCTTCAATTTAGAGCTATTGCCTTGTGTATGATCCTCTGTACTGTGTGGCAGTGAATACAAGCAGCATCCTTACTCTAATAAAACCTAACTAGAACACTCTTATTAGGCAAGACTATATTTTGTCAATAAAATGACACGGGGGAGAGTAGGTATTGTTTAACTGTTCACTGGGACTGGTGTATTTGTCTCAGTGTCTTTCTCTCTATATGACTATTCTCTCTCTCTCTCTCTCTCTCTCTCTCTCTCTCCTGTCTGTGTGACGGTAGCAGCCGTAGCAGCAGCCCTGGCGTGTGTCCGCCTGTACACATCTACAACGCGACGGGACAGTGTGTACAGTGAGGGCTGACACTTGGGAGAGTAGGTATAAAGGTAGACCCGCTGCTGTTGATGTTATGAACACTTAATACAGATTATTACAGGCAAAGTATGATAGACTTTGTTTGAATTTGCAGGTATCGGTGCAAATCTGTGCACTGATACATCAGTGTATCTGGTTTTATACTGTTTTATATTACACTAAGGAAAGCTGAAAAAAGGTCCTTTAATGTGATATTCAAAGAATCGTCATGGGGGGGGGGTCTCTATTGTACCATGTCAAGTATCACCTGTCACCACTTGTGCCAACCCCAACCCGACCATGTTGGGCATGTACCCCACAAGAATCAGGGTGCAAAGTTGGGCGAGGCTCGCTCCAAACATTTGGCCTCCAGCCTCGAACAGACATTACAATTTATAGATATAAATATAACTTGCGAAACACTGAAATAAACTTGGCATCGAACAAACAGCTGTTTGATGGACCTTCTTTGACCCAGAAAGAAGGTACCTCTGGGATTAAGGTTCTCTTACCTGGTTCACCTGACCCGCTAGTTCCATGGTGGCAACAACGGACAGCTCACCTCACCCACTCAAGCGTGACATGTCCTTCACCGCTACACCCATGTACTAGACATAATCTAGTATTCTTGTGTTGTCCTTACTGTGTTCATTCCTGAAGATTTCGGGTTATTGACGAAACGTTGAATAAGCTGGAAAGACTAAGTGAACTAGTGTTTTTTCTCCCTAGTTGGTAGAAGGCATTTAAGTAGAATGCCTAAATTTCTACGCATTTTACGTAGAATGCATCAAATCCAGAAGAAAATTAAAAATTGTAGTAATGATGATGTGTTTAATTCAGTGTAAGCATATATACAGTACATACATTGTACCTTAATCATTTTCTAGGGTGACGGCACTGTCAGCCCTGGGTGAGGGCACTGTCAGCCCTGGGTGAGGGCACTGTCAGCCCTGGGTGAGGGCACTGTCAGCCCTGGGTGAGGGCACTGTCAGCCCTGGGTGAGGGCACTGTCAGCCCTGGGTGAGGGCACTGTCAGCCCTGGGTGAGGGCACTGTCAGCCCTGGGTGAGGGCACTGTCAGCCCTGGGTGAGGGCACTGTCAACCCTGAGTGAGGGCACTGTCAGCCCTGGGTGAGGGCACTGTCAGCCCTGAGTGAGGGCACTGTCAGCCCTGAGTGAGGGCACTGTCAGCCCTGAGTGAGGGCACTGTCAGCCCTGAGTGAGGGCACTGTCAGCCCTGAGTGAAGGCACTGTCAGCCCTGAGTGAGGGCACTGTCAGCCCTGAGTGAGGGCACTGTCAGCCCTGAGTGAGGGCACTGTCAGCCCTGAGTGAGGGCACTGTCAGCCCTGAGTGAGGGCACTGTCAGCCCTGGGTGAGGGCACTGTCGGCCCTGGGTGAGGGCACTGTCGGCCCTGGGTGAGGGCACTGTCAGCCCTGGGTGAGGGCACTGTCAGCCCGGGGAAGGGCGGCCAAACACCTCCCCATATGTCATGGTGTGGTAAAGGTCAAACTATAACATGACGGAACACTTACCTCCTTCTTCATGTTACGAATAAGTTTCTCCTTAAACTCCTCCTCTGAAACAATGAAGGCCCACGTCAGTAACAGTAGACTCTACAGGTGAAGGAACACTATTACATATGCGGTAAATACGGCTGCACATTGTCAACTAATATATTACTAACAAAAATGGTTTGTTACTTACCGTCTATGATGATAGACATCGTGACGAAGTTGACGGACCGCCAGTTATTTCAAATATTTATTCGGATTAATTGTGACGAAATTTGAGAAGGTAATAAGAGTGTACTAAGAGGTGTTGAGTGCACCGTGCCAGCACCGGTGTGTGTGTGTGTGTGTGTCCTGGGCAACTCTCATCACAACTGGTGCGCTCGTTGCCGTATTTCCCGACCCCTCGCCCTCTGAGGCTCGCGCGCTGGCTCGCCCGCACCTCAACCCTCAAACGAGTTTACTCCGCGCGCAAATTGGTTGCTATTGATTGTATAGACGCCAGACCCACCGCGATGTACGCCTTCCAACTCTATATTACCGACTCCTCAATGGGAGCCTAAAAAATATCGAGGCGCTTTTATTATTCGGGTTGTTACGATCTTAGGGCATGTTTCAATCCCGTATTACTGTAAACAAACTAGCAAATTAAAATGCCGGCCGCAAGTCCACCAATATTATAATCAAATACCTATAATAGTGATTAGGATAATTGCCAGACAACAACTATATACTGGAAGAACAACACTGTTCATACTTAGCGCTAAATTGTTGTTATATAAGACATTACTAAATGTAGTTTTATTTTTTTGCTATGAACAAACTTCATATTTTGTTTTGGTCAGAAATAATTATGTTTTCAAAGGCAATTTCTATATATGCTCGAATTAACTCAACAGTTGTATCATACTTTGGGAAACCAATATGAGCTTTAATCCACATAAAATAAACTCTGCTTCCATTGCTAATAATTTTGTTGAATCTCTTCCTGTCTTCAGACTCCAACATAATACAGTTATGTTTTAAAACGTTAGATACAATTATTTTTTTCTTGTCTCAATAAACATACTTGAACTTGAACTAGATACAATTAAGCATTATAAATAATCACTTATAATTAAAGTTTTTCATTTTGGAGTATGTACATAAATAAGTGAAAGGAGTATATGGAAAATAGCTCGGTGCGAAGGGTAGAAGCTAGTTATTTATACGGATTCCCACCACACTGTCAGGACAAGTGCACTTCCGCCACCACCAGTAGTCTGGTGTAGGGAACCATCAGTCTACGTGGCTTGGGACTGCTCTGCCAATAAAGTGTAAATCTGGTTTAAGGTACTTACGTTAAACCAAAGCATTTTATTCATCTGTAATTAGCTTCTTGGATGGGAAGGGAAAATATTAAGTGTTAAAGGAGTGTAAGACTATAGCACCGGCATGGTAATCATAGAGGACAGTTAGATAGTGGCAGTGGTCATATACCATCCCCTTGTTAACAGCACGAGGCCCAGAGAACAGTATGATGGCAGTAATGAAAATAATCTAAAGGTCAAAGATAGGGCAAAATAGTTGGAAATTGATTAGGGGCCAAGTCCCTTCTAATAGGTGATTTTTATTAGACTAAAAAAAAATCTGTTCTCAAAATGTAACAAGTTACGTTTGCCAAGAACTTGAGAAATCAAGATCGAATTGGCAGGCTGGTACAAGCAATGTACCAAGATTTTTTTTGTTAACAAGTTTAGGTACACACAGCAATATGCTGCTACCCTGGTTCTATATGAAAGATTACAGAATATATGTCAGAAGCTAGCTATGAGTTCATCTAATATCTCCATCTCACATAATGATTAGTTATACATAGAATCAGGAGAAAACATGAGATGTGAGTATAGTCTACGAGCCTGTACTTGCATACTCTGGGTACCTACCTATATTGTGGACACCTTGTGGTGGTTCAGAGTATCAACGTCCCTGCGGCCCGGTCTCTGACCAGACCTCCTGGTTGATCGTCTGGTCAACCAGGCTGTTGGGCACAGCTGCTCGCAAGCTGGCGTATGAACAAGTAAGGAGTAACGGTTTCAAGCTTAACAAGCAAAGTGTCTCACTGATTCTGGGGTAGTGTAGCCACTGAAAGACCCAATTAACATCAGACTGGATGTTTGCTGTCTTCTATATTGTCTACTCGCATGAAAATCCTAGTGTCATTTGCAAATGATACAGTACTATAATTTGTATCGTTGTCTGTCTGATAAGATGATAAAGCACCAGAGCAAGTACGGTACCATGGGAATGAGCTTTTCACGGTAGATAATCTGGATTTTACTTTGTTGATTATTACACACAGGGTTGTTCGATAGGGAGTTAAAAATTTATCTTCCTACTTTACCAGCAATTCCTTTTTGAGAGCAATGATACCATAGTCATATTTGTTGAAAGCTTTTGCAGTCTGTGTACATTACATGTTTTGCTTTTCTTCCATGGCCTCTAAGGCCATGTCATAGCAATTAGCAATTGAGGGGCAGCAGGAGCCTCTCTCAACTCTGAACACGTCTTGTCCAGGGTTACGTAGATGTGATTCCCATGAGATTTTAATTTTATTTCCAAGCACCCTTTCAAAACCTTGTGATGTGTGAAGTTAAGAACTATTGGTCTAAAATTTTTTGCACCCTTTGTGACGTGGCGCGATCTCCGCTGTTTAAATATGTCAGCAATGACAATGACAAGTATTTAAGCTATATCTCGAAACAGACATTTAGGGCCTGTAATAGTGGTGATTTGTACTTCTTAATGAATATAGAATTCTAGGATGTAGGCCTGGTGCAGAGTGCATGTTGTGACTCCTTCAGCGTCCAGTGAGGTTAGGGTGACATCAAATATATGGCTCGATGTTGGTGTTACATTCATAAACAATTCTTTCGGATCATTGATCTGCACTTAGAATTAAACATGGGTTTATAGTTCTTTCACAAGGAAACTAGCACAGGAAAGCGCCAAGCCATTACGACTATACAGCACTGGGATCAGGATAAGGAGGGATGGGACAGAGGGGAAGAAATGGTACCCAATTCTTTTGTAAGTTATTTAATTTTTTTCTATCAAATTTCATGAACTTCCAACTAATGAGGAAAATAAAGCAAGAGTACTTTACAATACAGAAGACTATTGTAAAGTAAATCAAAGTATGGTTGGAAAAGTAATTATTCTGATTTGGCAATCAAATGGGTCCAAAGCGCTATTTTCCATTAGGATGCAAGGTTTCTAATTTGTTTTAAGCCACAGGATGTTAAGGGTGTGAGGGTATAACAATGTCCCTATTAAGCCTTCAATTTAAACATCTAAAATTTTACTAATTACTTTCACCAGACTTTAGAATAAAATTACAATTTATATATGTCCTTCAGTAACATGGGTTAAAATGAAAGGCAAAAGATCGTCAATATTTATATTGCAGAAAACGTATAAAATCTTTAGTTTATTAAACATTTACAAAAAGGATGAAATAAATAAATCTTAGGCAGTCATCCCTACATTAGAATTTTTATAAACTGTGCAAGTTAAATTTTTCCTATTTCTGTTGTGAATGTACCCCTACTAACATAACTACATTTACAGTACACTTTAGGACCAGCCAGAGGTTTAGGGCCCACGCAGGAATATCCCTGGAGAGAAAAAAATACAATAAAATATAATTTAGCATAAAATTTTGTTTCATAAAACTGAAGAGCCTTGATAGTCTAAAATTTCATTAAATTGTTCTGCTTATTAAATTTGTTAAACTTCATTAACTTTACCCAACTTTTAGTGTTACAGTAGTATACAGTATATCTTATTTTGTGGTCTCTTGTGCAATGAACTTTGGCCATTTGTCAGTTACTTCCTTCCATTGCATTTTACCATCAGCCAACTTCTTCACTGTCATTGGAACATCATCAATCTGTAACAAAATTATTAATAATATAAGCCAGACGACACTATTCAGATATTTACTTAATATGTATCATTATAGTCTGCAAGAATAAGGATTTAACTGCAATTACACTTTTGGACTCATGCACACAATTCATAGTTCATTTAAACTTTTTAAAAATGCCTTCAGCATGTTAGTGATTATATTAATAATAAATTCAATTTAAAGGTAAACATTTACATTCCAAAAACTTGTTACAGAAACTCACCGGCATCCTAACTTGTTCAGTGCTATCTCTCTCTCTGAGAGTAACTGTGTGAGGGATGTTATTAATAGTGTCGAAGTCAACAGTGATGCCAAATGGAATAGCAATTTCATCTGTGCGTGCATATCGTCGCCCAATAGATCCGGTCGAGTCATCCACTCTCACCAGAAGATTCAAGTCGGTGAGAGCATCAGCTGTTGAACGACAGTCATGAACACAAGAATTTCACAAATCTATCTCTACACCCTTAATTTGTTACATTCTAATACAGTATTTCCTTTCTTGGTGTCTACATTAATGGTATATTTAATGAGATGATATTCTCACATTTTTAGTTTATTAAAACTAGGCCTGACTTCACATAAAAAATATGGACAAATTATGATTTATCGAACATATATACATATGGAAAGCATTTGAATATACTCACCTAATTGGGTAGTAAATGGAACAAATTCTGGCTTGCTAGAAAGTGGCAAGACTGATACCTTGATTGGTGCCACAACAGCTGGTAAGGCAAAGAAGGTTCGCTTATCATCCTCCTCTCGAACTCTAAAGGAAAAACATTTTTAACTAGGAATTATAAGCTAAAATGAAATTAAATTTTTTACAAACATGGCAATTAAAGTCTGTTTGCACAACTTCTTGCTCTAGCTTAGGAGTACAACATTAGAATAGAAATTCACATTTATAATTGCAATACCAAACTACTCATACTTGTTCCTTTATGTCCAGGTGAGATTACAAACTGGGAGATTAACCATTATAAACAATATTCAGTAAACTAGTCTAATTGAATAACAGCATTGTTTACTTATACAAAATGATCTTTAAACTTAAAATAAGCTACAACATACACATGAAAATATACAATACTTTCACTTGCAAAGAAATATCTTTCACTTCCACTCCTAAGTCTTTCTGAAGCTAACAAATATCCAAAAGTATACTGTACTGCATGTCTAATTATATTTCCTTCTGATAAAATATAGCAGTACCACAATAGACAATTAATTGCTAAGAATATTGGATTTACACATCTACAAACCTAAATGAATGTTCCAGGAGACTATAGAAGACACGCCCAACACCAAATGAAGGTTCTATAACGCTGGGGATTACTTCCTCAACATGAACTTTCTTCTGCTCTCTCTTAAAACTGGGAACCATTGCTCGTGTTATTTTGTAGCCATTCAATTCATATTCTCTGAAACAAAATCAATGCCATTTAAAATTTAAAAATTACAAAATCACAAAAACTAATAGAGTAAAAGATACAAAAACTAGATATGGCAAGCACGTCTCAGAATACAAACAGGGTGGTCTAATGAATACAAGGTGTGTAATGCCAGTTATCACATGTTGGTGATGGTGGGCGTGCACAAGAAGGATAAGGTGGTGTTATATTATACTTACAAAGCAGTGACTCAAGTGCTACCTATCTTTATACTCCTGCCTACTAACCCTTTTGTGCCTGGTATATTTTTAACCAACTTTCTGACATTTGTGTTCTTTGTCCTGTCTTCATGAGGCCGAGGTTACAGGTAGCATCCACTATTTCAGCTTTCACCACGGTTCCTACTAATTTTCTCATCGAGATATCACATTAATGTGATTTCTTTATGCACTTGGAGAAGCATGGGGGACACAACTCGTATACCACAGCCAAAGTGCATGTGGGTAATGTGTAAAACCTCTATTTGGAATCTGAAGATACTGCTGGTACCCCCTAGAGGATTTAGTGGAATCCCAGGTTACATTACTTTTGTAGCATATCATGGTCTGGGGGTTTAGGGCATATACTCACGTAATTGTGCATGCCCTAAATTCACCATCTAGTCAACAAGCTCCATCTCCATGTTGTATCTTCAGTCATCCAGTTCTTGTACTTTTCTATCACATCTCACTTTTTGAGTAACTTCAATAGCTTCATAATGGGAATACAGGCCTTCTCTAAGATGTGTACATTAAGGATGAGTCCAAACACTTGGTGATCCACATAGTTCTCGAACACATAACCAAACATGTAAACTAATATTTTTGCTCTAGTTCCCATATGAAAGAAAAGCAACACAAGAACTTTAGGGTGATCCACATTCCATACTTATAACTAAAACATTACTCAAATGCTCTACTGTAATAATAACACAAGAATTGAGGGTAGCCCTGGGTTCAGTGCGAGGTCAACATCATATACATTTTATTCAAAGTGATGCCCTAAGGCATAAGGGCCTGAAATGGGTGAAAAACTATTAGGAAACTTCCAAATACAAAAAGATACTGGAAATAACTTCACACTCATTGACCAAATGTTGGTAAAAACAACAAATCTTGTACAAGTCCAATCATTCCAACTATAAATAGGGTAGCCTACACCATTAAACTGATTAGTATAAACCCTTTCCATTGACAAATATATACAGGGACTTTTGTATTAAAGTACTGTATATATACTACAAAAACAAAATAAAATGAAGCTAAAGTAAAATGGCTAGACATGAGTGAATAAAAATGCAATACAAGAAGGCTCTTGTGTAAACTTATAACAAAATGTCTTTATATTACCATGTACTACTAACTCGCCTAGTGATTTACTAACTAGAAATATAACTCCAACATTTCTTATAATTACCATTTTATGTAATGTTATATTCAGTAATTACTCCAATTTTTCATTACATACCTGTCACTAGTTACTTCTTTGTTCAAGATTAAATGTCCACTAACCTTAAATTTATTGAAAATTGTGTTAGCTTTAAGACTTGCCCAAAATGTGATGCATTAGTGGCTTTGCAAGAATGTACCATTTAAAAATCACCAAAAATCTGTTCTTTCACAACCTACTTTTACCTTGTGTATATGAATAAATAGAAAACAGTAATATGGTCTAATCTAGATTTTGTACAACTGACCCAAACACTAACCCAGTCTCACTAAGTACTTTATCCATCTTCTCTGCTTCCTCAGAAGACAGTGCAGCTAAAGCTTCCTGCACAGCTTTTGCTTCTTTCTTGAAACCTTTGCCTATGGTTCCCTTGTCTTGCACAGCTACAACACTGTCCACCATTTGTGGCTCCTTGAGTGGACGCTCTACACACAATTTTACACCTGTAAATCATAACATTATGCTGTCAAATGTAACTAAAAGCTACAAGTGTGCATTAAAATTTATCAATTTTTTTTTTTGTTTTAAGCTGGAAAACTGAATAATACTGGATTATTCAGCATTAATTAAATGGATTATTATTAATTAAATAATAAAATTGTTCCTGTGACCACCAATAAAAAATTTCCTTCTTGTTTGAAACTAGGTTTTCTCAGTGGTATTCATTTGCTATCTGAATACCATTGACATTAATATTCCATTCAGAAATAAGGAGTTCCACAGATTCTTTTCAATGTAGCCAACAGAAACTTGAAAGCACAAATTCTTTAAGAAATAAAGTCAATGAGCAAAACAAAAAGCATTGAATGTAATTAAGTTCCACTTTCTGGTGGGTCTCATGTTTGTTTCTACTCTGACCCCTCTCATTTTGTGGTGTTTGGAGGATGTGCATCGTTGGGTGGAGAGTGAATGGCTGGATTGGTAATGTGTCACCTAGTGGCAAGCCTGAGCTATGAACCCGTTCTTCAGCATGATTAAAAATTTGTTTACATAGGATCGGCATTGAAAATGTAATACATGCAAATAGTCTGTTTTGATGTGTTTCAGTGGTACTTTGTTGGTTACTGTGGAGATCATAGATACACTTTTTTTCTCTATTGAGTGGATCACTGGTGCTGGTCAAACTACTGGTAGGCATCAGTGAACCTAAAAGAGCCTGGTATGGTAGTGAAAGTTTGACAGGTATGCCAGTGTGTAACTCCAGTTGATATATCTATCAACGTTTGGAAGTGGCTTCCAAATTCTATCCATGCCACCACATTTAATTTACTCTAAGTGGCTTAAGATTGTCCCTGTCTATTTCCTCAGTATCTCTTGTACTGTGATCATATCTCCTCTGGTATCTCTTCTAGTGTTAGTCTGAGCTACTTTAAACCATATTTGTATTTGTACACCTTTATTTCTGGCATCAAATTTTGTAATATACTACAGTATATCTATACTTGATCTTTTTGGATTTCACTATGAGAGTTCCACTGTAAGGGCCACGTACTGTTTCAAGACCAATTGGATAGAGAAAGTATTTTGAATTATTGTTTAGTTTTATCAAGTATTGCTTAGCTCTGATAATTCTGTTAGTGCTCCTGGCCTTATAGCCATATGCCTAGGTGGAAGTCCATCCTTTTCTTGAAAATGACTTCCTCTTATGCTGTGTTGTGATGTCCTTCTGGTCTCTTTTTCCAACTCTATTCTTATTACTGTGCACTAGCTGGAACTAAACTATTAGTTATTTGTTTTTCTCAATCTTGCAGCTTGTTTGGAGAATATGAATAAATATATAAAATGTGTTAGTAAGCAGTAACAGCAAACTAGATTAATTCCTGTATGTAAAATAAGAAGTAGACCAAACCACACACTAGAAATTAAAATAAGAACTTTAAGGATTTATGTCCGATTCAATTATTGCATATAGTATTGCACCCCAGAATTCCTTATCCTCATCTCCATGGGTAACATACATTCAGATAAACTATACTTTTACATTATTCTTCCTTGATATGCAAATGCAGTTTTTAGTGCGAGTAATAGCAAAACTAGTCAATCTTGGGTATTCCAGTACAGTACCGCCATTGAATCACTGGTTTGTACTAAATTAACAGGCGGATTATTTTTCTCAATGATTGCATTCCTAGAAAATCCTGTGCAAGAGCCAACCAGAGCAAACTGAGCTTTAATCACTTAATTGAACATTAATATTCCTTCCACTTTCTAGTTACATGTATAGTTTGTAATAAGTAAGTAATTATCAATAGAAGGCACCAAACTGGGATAGTTTGTAATAGTCTTGAATTTTGGGAGATGCAAAATCAATTAAAATAATGATAAAAGATACAAAATGTGGCATTTGTGTCAGGCAGTAGACAATGGTGTAGACCCCTTAAATCTTCCAATGATCCACACTTAAACCCCTCAAAGAAAAAAATCAACTCTGGATAAAGGTTAATAATATATTTATCTACAAAAACCATAGCAACTGATACCATATAAAATGCAAACTGCCTGAATACTGTACAATGACTTGCAGTTACTTTTCCTCACCTCACCTTCACTGAAATTCTATAAATACATTATGTAACAAAGATCATGAAAACACTGATCCAAGTATACAGAAAATACACTTTGAAAAATAAAAGATTGCTCAACGTGTTTTTGGCTGTGTGACCATTACAGCAAGATCTGAAATTTGAAATTGTCATGTTCTGATGAAGACCACAACCAAAATTGCATTGAGCAATCTTATTTTTCAAAGTGGTTTTTCCCACAACATATACATTATACAGTATATAAAAAGTAGTAAATATATACTTGAGCCTTTGGTATGTTGGCTGAGATCATAGGCACTTCTGTCAGCACATCCTACACATTCAATCCAGCCATAAGAGGTTAGGCATTCAGCATCCCAGCAGTCACATGCATAATGTGCCATCTCATTATTTAAATGCTGCCTGAATCGTAGTTTTTTCGGATTAATACCAATTTTGACGAGATACTGCTGAATACGTGCCATATAGTAACCTAATGTTTCATTAGCTACTAAACCCTGAAATTGAAAAAAATAGTATTTTAGTGACATTTTAGTTCTCCAGCATAACAATAAACATTTAATTCAACTGAAAAAAATCTCGTTCGTAAAACAAATCGGCAAGTGTCGATTATTCCATATTTGTGAGAAGGCAAGAAACCCAAAAGAAAGAAGACTCAAGTGTTAAGAATAAATTGGGTTAAAAGTGGTTCACTCACAGCCAACTGTTCATAAAAGCTCCCACACATCACTAACATTACACGAAACTCGTGTCATTGCATTCCAGAAAATATCCCAAGAAATATTTTACCTGTCACTAACGTGTATTCAGTGTAGATGAAGAAAATAACGATTATGGTAGAGCATCTAGAGGAGCCTAACTTTGTAACCAATATAAAGATAGTTTCAAAGGGGCAAAGGTATGCCAGATGAACTTAACTCAGTTCAGGGCCAAGGTTACCAAGATATGGCAAGAGAAGCTGGGTGGGTTGCACCTTCCAGATTTGCAAAAACCTTCAACACTATTCCTCACAGAAGTAAATAAGTAATTATCAAAAGAAGGCACCAAGCCAGGGGGACTGTCGCACCATCAAATATGCAGGACATTCAAAAGGCGCTAAATATCACCAATGATGTCAATACTAGGACAAAAGTGCATAAGGTGAACGATATCAAAGTTAACTGATTCACCAAGGATTCTATTGAGGGACAGGTGACTGCGAGGTACTGTATATAGCAGATGGTATATACAATACCTTTTACTCACATCATACCTTCATTTTAAAGCCCCCTTCCCCCGTGGGGAATAAGATTGCAAAAGTAGAAAACAAAATGCAGAAAATGGATATAAATTGGATATGTTTAAGGAAAAAATAGGTAAACCAATTGGAAATAGATGAAGATATTTAGAACAGGTTAACAGATAACATATGTAATGTTGTGAATAAATAGAATTCACAACATTAACCCTCACATGGGTTAATAGGCAATAGCCTCTATGCTTATTGACATGTCATATACTGTACTGTTCTGTTTTATACTTTTTTAAGACCACATCAAGGCCCTATGTACAGTTTTTCTTATGAAATACAAAAATATTTGTATATAAAATAAATATAAAAATACAGAAATCTGTATTTCTTATAAAATACAAAAATAGTTTGTAATTGCTACAAAAAAATAAATACTGTACCAGTTGCAAATACTGTAGTTATTGGTTATTTATTACACCTGTTCCATTATAACAAAACTACAACTACAATCTGCTCTACTGTTATCCTAGACTAACTCCTTCAACTTTAAGAAATGAGCATCATGCAAAGTCCCTTAATCAGTGCTCTACTTAATGCCTATATAAATATTCTTAACCATTATCATGCATATTCAGCACAAGTATTCATATATACAATAGGATTTCCTGGTTTAACTTTACTAATATTATTTCAGTAAATTTTGAAGACAAATTCAAGATTAATGTAACAATGGTTTACCACAAAACTTGCTTCAAAAGGAGAGTTGCTGAGGCAGGGCACTTCCAGGATGGTGTCCACTAGTTCCTAACCCAAACTACTTCACACCAACCATTCCAACTGGCTATTATAACTTTGGATATTACAGTTTCATTATGTATATATACGAGGCCATATACAGAAATTAAAGGCATCACCGTTGCCAGACACTTAAAACACCATCCTGAGACGTTCCCTCCTACTCTCATTTCCATTTAAAATAATGTAAATTTGAATATACACCTTTTGTCTTCCACCAGTTAGTTCTTCAAGTGAACCTCTTTTTCCAGGAAAATTCAGCCTTTCATTATGTGAAAAACTGTCTAGGTGATGGTACCAGCGTGATGCATGGACAAGATGCTGGGGAGGGGGTCGATCCAAAGTCTCATAAGCTGTCACATCAGCTTGGGATGGTTCGTGGCCAAGAATGTAGCTCCGATCACTCAAGAAGAAATCCAGAGAACTCTCTTCCATTGGAGTCGAGAGGAGGCCCAATGAAGCCAGCCCCAACTACCGACAGATGATGGTTGTAAATCCAAGACCTATCTCTTGAATCACTAATAGTGCTTACATTTTATATTTAATTTTGATAAATACAATTACCATACACTATCATTTAAGATCATACTATCTACAAGATAAATGTGCTTTCAGTGGAGTATTAAATGCTCCAATACCAGTGCAGTAATTATTATGACTAAACCACACATCAGAAAATGTAGTATATTGAAACTTCCCCAAAAATCCATATCTGATATGGCAACTGCATCTAAATTGCAGCTAATCAAGTAAAATACTCAGTCCTGTAACAGGCATATTTTAGATTATTATGAATATCCTTAAAACAAAAATGCAGCCTCCCCTTAATTAAAATTATTTTATTTATTTTATATATATATCTATATATATATATATCTATCTATCTGGGCAGAAAGGGAGAATGAATGGGTGGGTGTTGAATGAGTAGGCAGTTGGAAGGGTGTGCTCTTTTTTACAGGAAGGAACAATGTCTAGCTCTTCTATATCTTTAGCTGTGACCATTTTCCACAATTGTTCTACTCTCAGCCCAGCCAGTGGCCAGGGTTTTCAGTAATAAACTAAATATGCAAAGCTGCCAATGCTGGAAACAGCCCACATAGCAATCACAAACCAGCTGACATAATACTTTCAACAGGAAATATCTCTTAGGTAGGTAGCAAGTAATTATCAAAAGGGAAGACCGTAGTACCATCAGTGTCACTGGATATTCAAACGGTGCTAAATCTCACTCAGGATGCCAATACAAGAACAAAAAGAACAAAGCAAACAAAATCAAACGTAATGGCTTACCAAGGCCAAGTTACCCCAATAGACATTAGGAAAGCAAAATATACGATCATTCTCAAAAATCGGGACATTCTGAAAGGAAGTGCACGACTAAGCGAGACATGCAGTTCAGACAATAAGCAGCATCCTATCAAGAACCTGCGATTTAAGCGTGTGGGGCCAATACATAACCTAGCCAGTGCTGTTTACAAAAGTGTGCAGTTTGTTACCTGTAACGAAAGGTCAATGACCCTGCTAATGGTCATGGAATCAGGAATGAATGAATAGGTTTAACTAAATAAGGAATGCCATCTTAGGAAATAGGACAAGTGAGGATGGACTCCCTAGCCTCAATAGCCACAGATTCATTTGAGGTACTGTAACACCAATATGACTGGGGAAAAAAAAAACTGTCTTAAATCTACTAGGGATAATAAAGAGCCAATATTGGATCTCAACCAAAACAGGATGCACAGGGTTAAATGACTTCAGAGCCACGAGGGAACTGCAAAAAGTCGACCACAATAACAAAGGAATATTGGCATCAGAAAAAATTGACAAGTATACAGAATTGCACAAAAAGTTCTGCCATGACAATGGTAGTCTCTGGGGTAGGCAGCACACAGGTTTGGTCATGAAAGAAAGGAGTAACCAACACCACTGGCAGACTTAGACCCATTCATATATAGGATTTTTTTTAGTAATTTTTCTTATAATAGTACGCCTTGCCCTGTAGTAATATAGTTCATGCCAATTGTCGAAGTACACTAATTGGACTATGACTTGGGCATAATGGGATCATCCCAAAGTAAAGGGTGATGGCATCATGTCTAGTGATATCAAGTTCACCATTTGTACTAATGATATCAAGTTCACCATTTGTACTAATGATATCAAGTTCACCATTTGTACTAATGATATTAAGTTCACTGTTACTTGCAGTGACAATGTTAAAACCAGAAGGACGATGATAATTATATACATACTTTTTATTTTATTATAAACAGCTTAAAACTTTGCATTCGAAATCTCCTTCTCCTCACCACAGTGGTTGTGTCGACGTAGCTTGAACCAGTCTTGTGAGGATTGAAAATCTGGCAATATAATTCATAACAATTGCATCCACCATTTTGCCTAGCTATTAGGACTTGGTGCATTTTATCTCCCAACTTCCTACAACCATACCATTTTATTTGACTATACTGTAACTGTAGATAAACATAATTTTCAATATTTCTGCCTCCAGTACGTTCCATCTACTAACCTTCCATTCCACACAATCCATAATTATTTTTTTTATATTAACTCGTTTGTGTTGTGCACCTGAATTATCCAAGTCTCTTCTTTCCTTCCCTAGTAAGAACATCGTATAGTTCTGTAATCCTTCTGGAAGATTGTTTATACAGATGATGAACATTACTTGTGCAAGAACTGAACCCTGTGGTACTTCCCTTGAAATGCTGCTCTACTCTGATTACTACCCTTATCTGTCAGAAAATTTTCATCTGACAGCTAAGGGGTCAGGTCATCACTAGACCTGATTGACAGGGCCTGACAGCTAAGTGGATAGCGCTCGGGATTCATAGTCCTAAGGTTCTGGGTTCGATCCCTGGCAGAGGCGGAAACAAATGGGCAGTTTCTTTCACCCTGATGCTCCTGTTCACCTAGCAGTTAATAAGAACCTGGGACTTAGACAGCTGCTACAGGCCGCTTCCTAGGGATATGTAACAAAAAAAGGAAGCCTGGTCGAGGACCGTGGCCACAGGGACGCTAAGCCCCAAAATCATCTTAAGATAACCTCAAGATAAGAATCTGTGCCAGCAGTCTGCCTGTCACCCCTTCAGCATCTTTCAGTGTCCAGAGCATCCTCTTGTGTGGAACTGTCAAAAGCCCTTTTTTAGGTCCAAATAATTACAGTACAATCAAACCAACCATTTCTTTCCGGTAAAATCTGTGACTATCATTGAAACCAAGTAAATTTATGATACAGAATCTTTCTGTTTGAAAGGCACTTATTTTACAATTCTTCTCCAAGTATCCTACTCATTAACATCTCATCTTAATGACCAGTAACAAGATCTTTCAAGACAGACACTAAAAAGGGGACCTTGAGGAAGCAAAACCTCTAAACGAGGATAGGAACGAAGAAGAATTGTGTAGGCATTCCCAAGGGGCTACACTGTTTGGAGATGCTATAAAAAAATAGAAAGGATGCATGTGCTGCTTTTCTGGTGAAGGAATGACTAAAGTATCTGTATACAATGCATTTGTGTGTTCATGTGCACATTTGTTTACTAAGTAGAGAAGTAAAAAATGAAAATTCTAATAGCAAATAAATTTTCACAGTAAATACAGATAACTATTCAAAGAAAAGTTTTGATTCATATGTATTTGGGGAAAAGTTACAAAGAATGAATTTACACATTTTAAATACAAACTTTTTTAAATTTGGTGTATCAGTTACATATTAATATTAAACCCTTGTACTTAACTGTACATCTTCCATACCTTATCATATCCATACAGTATATCCAAACTATGGTAATACAACTCTCCATATTTATCCTGACACCCCCCACCTCTTATCTTTTGCCTTCTCTGTCATCTTATATTTTCAATGCACTTACGTGCCATTTGTATCTCCACACTTACTTAATCCACAAGTTCCTAAAATATCTTAAATACATATGTTCAATTTCTTTCTTTATTACGTATCTCACATCCATCCCGTGGGCGGTGATGGAAAAGGTTACAAAGGCACATAATCGGTTCAGGAACATTTAGCTTGGTACAAGTTTAAATTTTAAACTTTTGCCATGCACACACAATACTATACTGTAACTGATTTTGCACCAAACACTTAGTTGGTTCATATTAAAATACCATCATTAACCATATACCATCATGAAAATTTATAGAAGCAAAATACAATACAGAATATTGTCACTTGTCTAACAAGTGTAGACTTAAAAATGTAAACAGGACATGGAAGGACATGCCAATAGATTTACGATGTCAATGTTTGTAGATGACGCTACATTAATGAGAGGAGAAAGAACCGAAGAGGACTGGAGGGTGTTGCAAGAAGACCTTGACAAACTTCAGAAGTGGGCATATAAATGGCTGCTGGAATTCAATTGAAGTGTAATAAAAATAGGTAAGAGATATGAAACCTGCATTTAACTACACCTTAAGAGAAAAACAATTACAAAAACTAATAAGAGAAAAAGATCTGAGCAGACAATCCCAACACTAACACCAGCACAGGTGAACAAAATAACATCAAAAGCATATGGGAAGCTAGCAAAATATCATTTATGAATTTAAACAAGGTGGCTTTGAAGTCGATAACACTGCCTATTTGAGACCATTACTTAAGTACTGTATGCAGCACCAGCATGGAACCCACACCTTATGAAGCATGAACAAACTAGAAAAAGTTAAGAGGTTGGCAAAGTTCTTCATTTGTGCCAGAAGTGAGAGGCCTCAACTATGAGTACAGATTGAGAGAACTCACCCTCACAACCTTAAAGGGAAGAAAAATAGAGGGGATATGACAACTACATGCAAAAGATCCTATGGGAAATAGACACTGTGGACAAAGGAAGCCTATTTAAATTAAAAAAGGTAGAAGGGGGACATCAGTGAAAGCTTGACATGCCATCATGTTAAAGAGATCTAGGCAAGTTCTCGCTTCTTGAATGATTAGTCAACAAGTGTTGACTAATCATTTGACATGTATTTCAGGAAGAAGTTGTTGCAGCCAATTAGTAAATCGAGTATAAATTACTAGAAGGTTGCAATTGCTAGGAGTGAGATTAAATCTCACTCCCTAATAGTCAAAGATAGACAAGCATTGTGATTTCACACGAGCTGTCAATTAAGAAGAAACATGAACAAAAGTGTATCAAAAGAGAATATCAAGATGGACCAAGATACAATATAAATAATACTGCAAAAATAAGCACAAGTAATGTATGGATACTGTACTTACTCCATGGACAGCTTCACGAATGGTCATTTTCTTTGATGATTCACCATCCATCTGTGCACAAGCCGAGTACAGCATCATTTCTGTATCAGCAACCTATTTGAAAAAATATATTTATGAAAAAAATTCCAATTACATATACAAGATGATATACACTAAGCACGTGTACAGAAATTAATCATTACTCTAATTCCTACTTTTATGAGGAGAGGAGATATCAGCCCAGAGAAACAGGTGACAATATGATGAAATGTTGTACATATTAAATATAAAATGATATAACTTATCTATTCATGTTATCATTCACACAATATAGTATCAAGAATACATGAGCACCACATGCTAGCAGTCGTGAAGAGCATCATACCACTGCCTAGCTAGGTGTACAGTGCTTCTCACAAATTGTCTCGTACAAAATAAATGCTTCACTCCCTTCTTTGATACAGCTTCCACCCAGCCTTGTAAGGCTGGGTGGAAGCATCCAAACAACTGGACACTTCCTTTCCTCTGTCCTATCCTAAATCCTTATCCTCAAATCCCTTCCAAGTGCTATATAGTTGTAATGGCCTAGTGCTTTCTCCTGACAATTACTTTACTTTCGCTGTGAGCAAAATACAATTTGCAGACATTAATCTATACAGTATTAAGTAATTATACATGGAAAGACTGAACACATGTAGAACACTTGAAAAATCATCAAATTATATACAATTTACTCACTTGGCTGAACTTATTATGGCTCTTGTCCTCAGGATCACAGAAATGTTCAATCTCTGCCATTGTAAACTCTCTCACTCTTAGAAGACCTGATCGAGGTGAAATTTCATTACGATATGCATTGCCCACCTGTTGAGTATGACAGATGCAGTTATTAAAACATTTTAAAAACAATATTAATGACAAATATAAGCAGTGGAAATGTTGTATTTAAGTGCTAATATTAAATTGGTAAATGTACTGTACAGTATTTCTCAACACTGGCGAGGAAGACGGTCAAGACAAATTAATTAACTACAGGGCACAACACAGACCACACTTGAAGACTGGAGTACCAACTTTCTGAACAAATAGGCACTGGCCACATGGGGACCTTAATTCAAGCTTAAAGTGTGAATGTGTGTAATTACCTAGGTGTAGTTACAGGATGAGAGCAACACATGATATTCCATCTTCCCAGTACTGAGTCCTATGATGCTTTGAAATCTACTTCTTGGTAACCACCACCTCACCCAATTGAGGTAGCTCTGTCGTCCAGTAATTCTACCTCTAATGCTCCTCTTTCAATACAGAGAAATCACATTATCGTGATATATCAATGAGAGCCAGAGTGCATGGGGGAATTGTGTGAAACCCCAGTTTGGCATTAGTGGAAGCCTCAGGAATCCTTGAAGGTGAAGTAGTACTCAAGATTGCAGTTCTTTTGACCATGTCGTGGCAAAGTCAACCAGAGCATGCATCTGGGAACACCTAGCTCATAGGTTCGAATTCTCATCACATCTCCAGTGTATTTTCTCATACTCGTGGTATGTTCACTCAAAGACATTATTCACTTACCTGTGCACATGCAAAAGGCAGTTTTCCCTGATTATATTCCAGTAATCTCTTGAAATTGACGAAAATACCCTGAGCCGTCTCTGGTCTCAGGAATCCCTTTAGATGCCCTATAAAAAATAAAAATATAAAACTTTTTCATCCATATTCCACCGAATATGAAATACTAGCAAGTACTGTACTTTAAACTAATCAAAGTAACAAAGGAATATTAAGTACAATCATAGGCAGCCAATTAAAAAATTGCCATTTGATAAAAGATACCATCCTTCACTTAAGCCTTTATGCTTCAACTCATATATATATGGAGAATAAGTGACAAAGCTGTTTTATGTTTGATAGATTGAAGTTCAGAGGTACTTAAACATGATCAATGGAAAATTGATCAAACAGTGATGCTTAAAGAATTGTTTTTAACAATTTGTCAATCATTTTGCTTGTTACCCTAAATTTCACTACAAGTATAAAATGTCATGAAAGGAAGTGAACCTAGTAATTTATTTTACACTTCTGTGTATCCTTTAACAACTAATCACTTGTCATATCCATCCACTACATACCTGAAGGTCCAATACATATGGGGAACATGAGATTGAACTCCACAGCATCAGAAAGATCATTTCCAGTCAGAGGTGACTTCATGTCATATTCTTTAACTATTCTATCCATCTCTTCCTGTTTAGAAGACATTCAATATTCATCAACAAATAACTTGTGTAATTAATTAAATACTACTGTTCTTTAAAACAGCACAGTACAAACATATTATGCACAAAATAATGACACTATCTACATTTAACTAACATGACTCATACCATCGTCATTCCATCAAGTAAGGTGATTTTCCGATTGATTGCATCTTTCTCTTCCTGTGTAATCTTCTTTTCAGTCATTTTTTTTTCGAAGTGCTGCTTGATGAGATGGTCTAAGCGGAAGCATTCCCCCGTCTTTACATCCTGAAAAATTATTAAACTACACAATGTAATATAAATACAAATTGAAAAGTACTGTATATTAAAATCCATAAAAGAAATGCATTTGTCCTGGTTAGTGGTTCACTATTGTCAGTAATAGTGTGGTCACTTAAATATTTAAATACACAATTTATACAGTGCAGATTCTTACCAAAAATATATTCAAAATCTTTAGTTCCTAAAATTATTTGTCTGAAAATTCTTGAGAAAGCCCTGCCATATAATTTCCATTCTGTCCTATAATAGATTTAGTAACTGAACTTAGCAGAACCCTTAACAATTCACAAGTATTTTCTATATTACTATAATTTGTAAATATAAATACTATAATATATTACTGTAATTTGTACACCAGGTGTTATCAAGTAGTGAGGGTATGCTGTGGATGAATGCTGGAGTATAGTGATGCTTGTTTATCTGTGTAATGCTGTACAGTATAATATATACTGTAGAACATTTTAAATGGCAAGACAGTGATATTTTAAAATGGATTATTACTTAATATAATTTTTTTTACTACATAATTCCCCTTCTCTCCAAGTAGATGCCTCCCCACCCATCAAGAGGAAATAGAATAATGATAATGCATGCATTTTATATTCATTAATAGCAAAGTTTCATCCAAACCTTTTAGTTTCTAAAAGTAGCAGCCTAATGAAATAGGCTAAGTGATGCTGCTTCACTATACTGTACATATGAACAGGAAAATTTAGGAAACAGTTCTTCAAAGCAAGACAGCTGATATGTGATACCAGCAGTCAAAGAGCCCCGAAGAGTCTCTCTAAACTAAAATCAATTTAACTTATCACTGTTACAATGGCCCTTCAACATTTGTAACATTTATTTATTTGTAGGAACAAATAAATTACATTACGAAACTATACTGACCTTAACCATATAATCGGCAAATTTATCCACATGCCCAGAGGCCTTCAAAACTACCTCTGGTGTTAGAATTGAGCAGTTGACCTTCAGCATGCGCTCCTGGATCACAAAATGCTTTTGCCATTCAGCAAGCATATTGTCTACCAAATCACATCCCATTGGTCCATAGTCATATTGTCCTGTTAAACATTATCAACATTAATTAATCATATAACATTAGTACACACGGTATAGTAAGTGAAAATAACAGTTGTGTAATAAGTGACAAGTTTAATGTAGGTTATGCAACACCAAGATTGTGCGATGTCACTTTGGTTATTTAATATACAGTATACTGTACTGTGCAAGAATAGGCATACAAGAGAGGGTCAATGTAAAAATATTTAATTGCTGTGCAAGCTAGAATACAGACACAATATGAGGTACTGGTTACCTCAATTTTATGTTTGTAATTACAGTGCAACTATTTTATTATGAGTGATACAGATTTATGTAGACTACATGAATCTTAATGTGTATATGAGGATTTAACAGTAAATGTGGACAAGAGTAGTTATGATAGCAGTGAGAAGTCAAATATATCTGAAATAAATTAACAGAAAGGTGTTACAACTGATCAATCTATTTTAATACCTGATATGTGATTGATATAGAAGATTCTGTAGTTGAAGTTGAGAGCAAGGCGAGTTAAAAGTGGATGGTGCAAAGAAACAATTATAATTGGAGTACTAATTACTATATATGCAGCCAAAGAAAAGCACATGAATTGTAGTGCCAGTCACAATTATTATCTCGAGATGATGGTATGATATAAACATGGAATAATCATGAGTTAGAACAGCAGAAATGTATTTTCTGAGAAGTATGGAGCATTAGATGTTAAGTAATGAGATGTTGAGTGTCATTAAACCCCCAAGACTGAGGAGAGTATACAAGATGGTTTGGCCATGTTTAATGAATGGATGATAGTAGATGGGTGAAGAGAATATATTCATGTATATTTGAGGACAGGAGTAAAAGAAAGCATGAAAATTGAGTGGGCGTGATGAGTAAGAAAGCAAAGGCTGGGTAGAAGTGGTTTATAAGGAGGGAATGATTACATTAGTAAACTGTTCAAGATAATGCACACTGCACATCTGGAGATTTGATAAGATGGCCAGGAACTAGTACCTCTGCTATTGGTCAAGCATTTATTTCCCAACAGTTACCCACAGGTTATCAAGACAGGCACATATTTAGTGTCCATTCTAAGGACGTTGAACCAAGTTTGTGGACTGACGAAAAAGTCCTTTTGCGAGTTGCTAGGTAGATTGTGAATTACATCACACAATAGGGCCATGTTATAGGCTAGAGTTCAAAAGTATAGGACAAGGCAGTCACAGATTCCAAGTGGAGATGCTATCAATAAGATTCCTATCAAAGATTTACTTCTTGATAGAACCTGCTTGGGCATCACAGCCTAAGTAGTAGACGTACAGTATTTCAGTTCTTTTGGGGCCTGGCCGAGACCAAGACAGCTAAGCAACATGGCAGAAGTTTTTGCACTTTGTGTAGCTGTAACAACAGGTCTGAGGAGTGAGGTCTAGCCTGCCTCCACCCCTTCACTTCTTAGTGGTTTCCATTTGTTCACTATAGATACTGATAAAGTTATTTCTCATATGTGAAGACTCACTTGGGTCCTCAGTTTCCACCTGTATTAGTTAATTACATAATTTAATGTACTTAAATTAAATGTCACAACTATCCATTTTGTTACTGTTCTGGGTCAGTTTTAAAGAAATAATACAGTACAAGTACTGTACAAAAAAGATTCACAGAATACAAATAAACTTTTAAGAATACCTGTACAGTACAAATTAAGGGAAAAACAAAAGTAGGTTTACTAAATAGAAATAAAATATTTGTCAATACAATATAATGTACTGGTATATGTACTATGAAAAAAAATCATTTGGCTGAAATTAAACTATAGGCACCAAATCCATCAGTATTGTATAGTACAAAATTTCTAAAGATTCAGTTGGCAAATTTTGTGTACTGACCTGTGATACCACCATATATGGCAAATGAATTGTCGTAGAAGAAACGCCTCTTGATCAGGTCATTCATTTTGGCTCGGTCAAATGTATCAGTTGGGCTCAGTTTCAGTATCATGTCTTCCAGTACCTAATGTAACAATATAGTACTAAATAATCATTTAATGCTATTTCACAATGGTTATGTCTACATGTACAGTACATAGTGGTTTTAGACAAATTTAATGCCATTTCATAGTCAATAATATTTAATAAGTCGGTAATGCAAGAGGAAGTGGAGATTGCGTGCATTACAGCCTACCAGCTCTGCTTGCCACCAAAACCAATAGTTTTCATTGCGTTATATGTTAATTATATGCAGAAATGGCATATAATAACATAAGGTACCAAGGTAAGGTACTGTGGTACAGTACTCTGCTTTAATGGATCTATTTTCCAAACCCATTCCATTGGTAGAGTATGAACGTAGCATATATTGTTTTGTTTTTTTACTCTAAATAAAAGTATACAAGAAACAATGAACCAAGTCCCAAATAAATTAGCCCTCATGAACCAAGCATTCTTTTAATAATATTAACTTGTAGAAAGGTTGTGCATAAAATCTGTTACTGGTTTAACCAGTGGTTCCCAACCTAAATTACATGAAGGTTATATACTGGGGGTTCATAAACAGTTCAAAATTTAAAGAGTTCAGCATAAATTCTTTAATTGATCAACACAGTAAATCAAACACTAGCTATTGCTAAGCCTTCAAAACTTAGGTTTCTTTGCTCATGGGTGCAATATCAAATCAGCATAGAAACATTGAAAATACTGAATTTATCAAAAGCTGTGATTGGCTGCTAATGACATCACAGGATTTCCAACTTACTTTGTGGAATATACAATCTACAATTTAAGTTGTGGAATATAAAAATTGTTATATTACCAATGTTACAAGTTAGTTGTGCTTTCATATATTAACATTGAAACTTTACTTTCATGGCTTGTTATGGCGACTCATTTGTCTGATAGTGTATTTTTATATATTTGAAAAATTGAGTGATCAAATGAAAGCTGTAACGAATTTTAAAATTGAAAATAAAGTGGAAGCCATGATTAGACTTGTGGTCTAAACATCTAGTATGAATACTTTTCCAGCAATCAATTTATTAGTGCTTAATATGAATATTTTCCAACATTAAATTTTCTTAAAATTGTAATAATGACCTTTGAAGAAATATAAAACCTTCCCATTTAATACTTCTATTATATGGCTTTAACATTCCTAATATAAATACCTCATCTTACTATGATCCCTAGATTATCATGAACTACTTGTATTCATTTATCAGTTCCCTATCCTCCTCATCTTTGAAGCCTTGTGAGGTGCTATCACTTTCACTCCTTAAGTTTTATCTAATTTAACACCTATCATGAAGCCTCTAGATATTGCTCTAACACGGCCAACTTCTTTTAAGCTTTCTTTATACATAGCTTATTAAAACTGAACAACTTCATAATTTTTCCTGTAGGTTGCATATATATGAATGTATATTTATTTACTGTATAACCAAATTTTTAAAATATATATTAGTAATGCATAATCCAATGAATAAATCTTTGAATCTAAAACATTTCCATATTGAAACTTCCCACCAATCAAGTTATTTTCATGGCCTATTCCTACATATCATTCATATCATAATGTATACACAGTACATGTACATTCTAAATATTAAGCATAACTAGGCGAGTACATAGCCCATAAAAATCCTTTCACAGAAAACTATTTTCACACTTCTACACAGTACTCACTTATTGAAGAACTTTATATCCAAAGCAATAAAACTTTATAGTGCCTACCTTTTTACGATTTTTTAATTCTTGCACTTCACGCTTGACATCGACCTCTGGTGCACCACTGGCCTTTAACTGACGAACAAGGTCACCCTGGAATACAAACGCATTGCATGAAAATTCTAAATTATTTATAATTACATTTGATACTAATCAATGAACACTGTGGATGAAAAACATACATTTTCAGAATGCAAGCACGGCTAGGTTGAAGTTTAGCTTAGTTAGGTTTAGCAGTTGCATTTAGCCTCAAGATTGCCAAGGTAGCAGTATAATATACAGTAATCTACCATTAAATTGGAAAAAAAAGAAGAGATAAGAACATATCTACGTCACAATTGTTTGGTTACTTGGTTAGTCAATTTATTATGCACCCCAAAATATCTAACCAAGGTATTGTATTTGGATTGGGTTGTGCTTATTTTGACGATTTCATTGTACAAAACACGTTAATAGTCTTCAGTAAATGTACCATGAGATTACTAAAAAGTGAAAAGTTGATCCATGCTGACAAAGGTGACACGAAGTTATATTCAACTTAGAAAAAAAAAATTGTTACTTTTAAGATACGAGTTAGTATGATATACCTGCAACAAAATGGAGGCAAAAGGGTGCACCTTGTTGTACATACCAGTCTCAAGTTTTCCAATTAACAAAACTATATAAATCATTAGACTAGGCTACATTAGCTTAGGTAAAATTATTAGGTAGGTTATAAAATCCACTGACAAATCTTCTTTGGAATTATTCAACTTTTATTCATAAGGAAACGTGCCCAAACGTCTCTACTACCAGAGAAGCGAACGTAGGCCCAGATGGTTGCCAATCCATTACTGCACAATATGGTCTCTGGAGTAGTTAACTTCTTTCTCGATTGAAAACCAAGAATCCTGGGTTAGAATCCCAGGCTGGCCACAAATAGCTGGGCACGTTTCCTATCACCTAATGCTTCTGTTCACTTAACAGTTAACAGGTACCTGGAGTTAACCAACGGTTGTGTGGTTGCATCCTGTGGGTCAATTACTGTGTATCAGACTACAACAATAGTTCTCTAAACCATCTTTGTTAACAGCAAAGTGAACAACACACTAGCCGAGTAAGAATCCAAGGCAGGAGAGCGAGTGGCACTACAAGTGGTGTTGTTGCCCACCTGAGCCTTACAGCTGGCCCTCAGTGGTGCCAGCTGGGTCTCGGCCTCGGGGTCCATGCTCTCCACCACACTCCGCAGCTGGATCTTCCTCTTGGTCACGTGTTGCTTGCTTCCCCAGGCAGACGAGTGGTCCTTATACGCCGCCTTACAGCTGGCCAAGCACCTGGTGTGGAGGGTCACAGGCAAGGAGAGTCGCTTCACGAGGCAGGTGGAGAAAGCGGCGAGTGTGTGGATGGTCCTCATGGGTGGTGGTGGGGGCGGCGGCGGCCAGGACCACACTACCACACTATTGGCTCCTCCCGCCACACGCTCCCTCACTCTCTCCACATTATTACACGCTTCCTGCTTTCATTATTATCCTCTAAAGTCACTCACGGTGATACTAAGTTTAACTTTAAGTAATGAAATAGCTTTAGCTTAAACCAGTTTGTTAATATTGTGGATATTAAATACATACAAAATATATGAAATGCTACCGCGTGGTGAGGTCACTGGTTATGGTTTCGAAATTATGCTTGACTTGCTCTATATACAATTTGACGTGCGATATTTTGAGCTAAACCCCGATAATAATTCAGAGCTTTTATTCAGAAAAATAATTGATTTATACACTTACTAAAATATGTAATAAAAATATTTCCTTTAATATTAGCGATATGGCAATGTTGAGAAGTGAGCCAATGGCAGGAGCCTCGCCATACTGTGGCACACCTGTCACCACGGTGACGCAACTTGGCTCCCACATTCCGTATCCTTCTGTTTAAATATTTATGAGCATAACATTCTTGAAGAAACGTTCTTAAATATATATTAAGCAGCTAGCAGTCATATATATTTGCAAGTGAGACGACACATTAGGATGCTGCTTCACTCTCATACGATTATCTCAGGCAATTTTTGTTAATATTGTATGTAGACTTAACATTTTGCTGAAGCTGCATTTCAGCAATCCACGTGGAGCCTCAGCTAGGCAAAATAGTACAATCGCTTTGAACCTTCACGTGTTCTGCGTATTGTCCACACCACGCAACAATGATTTCCCCAACCATAACAGTAATTACACATAAAATACAATCTATACATGTGTAATAGTTACATATACAATAATTTCAATAGCGAGAAAATCGCTGGAGCAGAGCGAGGACTGAACCAGCGTCTTGGTGAATGCTAAACGATTTACTTATTGATATATCACGCTCTCGTGATTTCCTTGAATATAAATAATAATAGGCTGAGAGTGAAAGGCCGCCGGACCGATGGAGACACTGAACATCCTGTAAGAGACCCTTCATTGCAGCGCTTAACAAACGACGAGGAGTTAATTGCATCAGCGAGTGTGTGGGATTGGTAAACATAGGTGAATAATAACTACCATCGACTTATCCAGGGAAGCGTTTGAGGGACTGTCAATAAGGTTAACTTAGAAATGGTATAAGCATTTGGGCAATATTTCCTTTCATCTGATGCCTCTGTTTATCTAGCAGTAGATACGTACATGGAAGTTAGACATCGGTTGTGAGTTGCATCCCAGGAAAGGTTAGTATGATTGGCCTAGGGTGAACCTCAAGAAGCATAACTGAATTTTTGTCCGACTATGGGAAACAACATTATTCATGATGCCAATACTAGAGCAAAAGGACATACGACGATGATGCTAAAGGTACCAGTCACAAAGGATTTCATTGAGGGGCAAGTAAGTAATTATCACAAGAAGGCACCAAACTGGGAAGGCTATGTAGCACCACATTGAAGGGCAAGTGATTCAAAAGGGATATTGGTAAATCAAGATTATAAAAAACATTTGGGCATTCTCCAAAGAAATGCACGACTGAGACAATGCAGTTCTGCCAGAAGTCCAAGTTTTTGTTCCATTAAACACCCCTGAATTAAGTGCATAGTCAAGACAATCTAGCGAAATTCGTTTTCTACTTCATGTTACAGTGGAAGGAGGAAGGGCATGAGGATAGATTATATCTAATACAGTAACATGCAGTTTGTTATTGGCAATACCAGACTCGCTCTAATGGTTGGATACTGTGTTACAAATGACTGGTTAAAAATCTGTTGACCAGCATGAATGGCTTCTTCAACAGCAGCCTCTGTAAGTTTGCAGAAAGAACTAGATGACATGCTGAAAGCCAGGATAAAACAAGACTAGAGCAAAATATTTATATTAAAATTTTGTTGTGGATGGCTGCAACATGCTGTAGAATAGTGTTGTGAAAAAAACATATAATTCTTCAGAGTAAATACAATAACTATGCAAAGCAAAACACTTTCCTCACATATAGGTTAAATCAAAGATTTCCATATAAACATACTTTTATAATCTTTATGACAATATTGTACTTGGGAAGGAAAAATACAGGCTACAACAGACCTTTCCTTGTTTCTGTAATCAATAGTAACTTTTACTTCTTAAGTTTTACAATGACAACAATATATAATCAAGTCTGATAAAATGTTTCAAATATGATACATTGGTATGCATAAATTTGCCAGTTAAGTGGCAACGTAAGCAACAACTGTAACATAATGATACTTAAACATTTGGACATTCCTATAGTTTTAGAACATGCAATAAAATGATTTCAGGTTGTGATATCATTTGTTCTCAAGATACAGTAGAACCTGTGGCTTTAAGTATCATATTCTTCATTTAAGTTAGAAATCTGTTATATACAGCAGAAAACAAATTATAACAAGATACAGTACAGTATACCTAATACTGTAAGTACTCCACATCTCATAAGATCATAACTTATGTCAATACAGTTCTTCCAAAAAATGATAAAGGTTTTACATATTGTCTGAGCTTTTCAGTTTGTAAAAATTTACTTCCCGTGTAGATCATCCAAAATATCAGTACATTGCATATTCCATTCAACGAACTACAGTATATGGGACCTTAATTCATTGCAACCAGAGATGCTGGTTGCATTTGAAACTCGCTCACAATGGCGAGCAAAAACCGGGAATTTTCAAAATGAACTTTGAACCTTTGAGCCATTGTGCTCAATGGCTTTCCCAAGACCCTTCCCCCCCCCCCCCTCTCTTCTAATATTGTGTCCATCTACAAAAATCATTAAAAATGTGAATGGGGCCATATTAACCGAGTTACCATTCATACCCTAATGTTTCTCCATGTTCTATGTACTGATTTTACAAAGGGAGATTTGAATTTCATCTTGTTATAAGAAGGACAAATACAAAGTGACCTATCTGTAAAGAGATTTAACCACATCTAGCATTTTTCACATGCCCTAACCTTGAAATCTCATTTACGAAGGAAAATGGGCACATTTTCCTGAACAAAAAGCTCTGCAACTGGAAACAAAAAAAAGAAACCCTATTTTCTTATATGCTCAATGGGTTTCCCAGTGCCCCATCTCTTCTAATCTTATGTCCATCTATAAAAATCAATAAAAAGGTGATTTGAGTCTTATTAAGAGTGTTACCATTCATACCCTTGTATTTCCCCTGCTCTATGGGGCTGATTTCACTAAGGAAATCTTTAATTTTAACCCAAGATATGATGGGCAACTTTCCCACCAGTCTTATGAATTCTCTCCCAACATCCTAAGTAAATATGCACATCCCCAGCTTCTGCAAACAATGAGGTGGTGGAATTGGGCGAGTAAATCCAGCCTGGAAAGTGTGCATTCTAACTGAATCTTCGCTGAATCAAGGTTCCACTGTACTGTACTTTATGCTATAACAGGGATGGCCAAACTTGCTTACTGTAAGAGTCACAAATGATAAAGCTCAGATGTTTGAGAACTGCAGGACAAAATTTAAACTTACATTTTATTGTTACATATATGTTACAATACTTTGTTACAAACATTTTATATCAATTTAAAAAAAATGCCTATGAAATGCAATACTTATTCATGCATGCAGTTTTTAAACTGTTTATTTTTATTAGTTTCAGTAATTGCAAAGACATTTAAAAGCAAATAAGCCAAAACATTTTAGATATTTGATATAACAAAACTGACCTCAATCATGGTATCGGCTTCCTTACTGAACAATGTCAACAGTGTTTGCTGATTATTTATTAATAATTTTAACTCATTTAACTTATTTTTCTTTAAATCTGATTTAGGTGGGTAAGCGTAAGAGAAGTTTTGTAATTAGCTTCAGTGGCACTTCAAATTACTGGCTTTGTAATAAGTGAGTGGCACTTGGCATTTGACACACACAGGTTTACCTCCTTAAACTGTGAATACAAACTTTTCCTCTCACTCTAGCTGAATTCTGTTTTTGCCTTGATATTTTCATTTCTTACAATTTGCTTAAGCCATCTTCCTTCACAGAGTTTTCACAGACACTTTAAATAAGATTTATATATGACATGTACCAGCTAGGCCTGCACAGTTCAACCTCTGCACTTATACTGAACTCCCTTCTGTAGGCCTCAGAACTCTTTATATAGCCGCATGTTTCTTGCTCTGAGTTTGGGTCGAAATTTCTAGAATATTAAAATTTTCCAGAATTTTTTACGGGCCATATATTAAAGGTCAAAGCTTGTGAGCATGTGGCTCATGAGCTACAGTTTAGCCATTCCCCTGTGCTATAACATATTTAGTAAATGATAAGTAAAGTTTTTATATTAAATTTTGGATTAACCATGGAAAACAATATGCTGTACTAGAAATCTGCTAGTTTGTGGAATTCAAAAGGCTGCAAGGAGGACATGAAGTGTTAATAGTAGATTAGCTTTTTGGCAAATGTCGAGTATCTTTTACCCCATTGAAAATTACTGTAATTTTAAAATACAGTGCAGGATACTTATATTTCTTCCCTTGTGCAATTTACAATGCTTATTTGCCTCAATAAAAATAATTAATTGAAACTAAAGGGATGTTGAACTTACATATTCAATTGTAAGTTATACACTTTACCAGTATTGCACATTTTGAAAAAGTGTTGGGAAAAGGGAGTGTACATAAACTAAGACTACAAATACTACACTTATATTTTAATGTTTATAACACAAGCATTGGAAAAATATTTGGAAGTGCCAAACATTTCTTGATCATGTGAGCATATAAACTGTAACTACATAATAATGTACACTGTATTCTCTGAATATAGCACAACTGGCATATGTAACCAGAATTTATTATGTATTAAGTATTCTGAAATTTATCAAGAAGATCCAATATTCGATCTTGCTCTTCTGCTTGGACATCAGAACTGCTACTATCACCCAAATTGCTTGCATACTCTGTTAAAAGAAAATATAAAACCAAGTCAAGATTTTAGAGAAAATAAAGTCAGGTACAGAACACTGCTAGCAACTGATTGCATGTGTTAAATGCTTTCTTTGAGCATAGCTTCATACACAGGTATACCTGCAAGGAAAGGAAAATGGATGAAATGGAGCAAAAAAAAAAAAAAAAAAAAAAAAAAAAAAAAAAAAAAAAAAAAGTTTGATTACATATATGTTGATATAATATGTAAAAATAGTATGAAAGGGGTGAAGATCATCAGAAAAATATTTGTGGGGGTCAAATTAATAGGAAGAATAAATATAATACAGTAAGTACCTAAGCACGGGTACCTAAGCTGGAGACAGTGGAAGCAAATGTGAAATTAAACATAAATAAAGATTAGGCAAAATATTAAATGGCAGAGGAAACGCCTGAGAATGTGGATGCAAAACGGTTATACAGTACAACTTCAATTCAACCAACTACTGTATGAGCTCGATTATCCGGACTACTGTACTGTATATGGAAAAGACCCCACCCGGATAAGCCCAACTTAAGCAGAATTCTTACCGGGAAGTGCAAAAATTAACATTTACAATTTTTTTGTACCACAATCAACGTAATTTGAATTTCCACACACACACACACCATAATTAGTGTGTGTGTGTGTGTAATCTACACATTACAGAACACAGGATGCAGAAACAGTCTTTTGAGGTGAGAGTAAACATACTGTACACTCACCTCCATAGAAGAAAAATATGGTAAGTTATATAATACTAATAATTATTATAATATAATAATAATTTTTACAGTTTTTAACAACATTCCTGGCCTGGAATTGAACCCAGGCCTCTCAAGCAAGAGCCAATAATGTAGACCACTGTGTTACAGAACCCTTGTTTACCCTGGGCTACACTGCCCAGTAATGAAAGGAATCTTAGTTTTATGATCATATGAAAGTGCCAGTTTCAAGTTAATATGATGAAACTTTCTGAAGATATCACATAGTGATTAAAAAAAAATGGTCTGGGGCCTATATTTGTCAATTTCAATAGCAGCCATACTTTGTGAAACTGAAATACAGAATTCTAAGTCAATACAATGAGTCATCCAAGATGTTTAATGAAACCTTGTCCAGAGTACAAATAAAATATAGAACAACAAAACCAAAAGGTGTCCCAATCAAGGATACTTAATAAATAAGTTAGTAAGTAGAAGGTAATATATAATTAAAGCATCATACCTCTCATTATGTTTTTAATTGTCTTTACTGAAGCATTACGAAGGTTAAGAATTTTGAGAACTCTTCTTTTAATGGAGGGTGGTCCAGTAGCACAAACATCCAGCATAATGTAGTCAACCAGCTGTAATGTAAACAGGCCTCCATCTAACCGCCTCAAATACAGATCATCTTCATCCAAATTTTCAGCCTGAAAAATATTTAAAACCCACTTATTATAATAATCATTTGTAGGAGGAATTTAATAAAATGCTTTCTCCAAGGACTGTTTTTTTAATATAATGCATCATTATTATTATTACAAAATACAGTACTAATGTTGTGTATTTAGGTGGCATATACAAAAAATCTAATATTTACATTATAAATTATGAAAAAATACAGTAAATTATATAGTACTAATAGTAATAATATTATAATTATAATAATTTTTACAGAATTTAACAAATACAGTATACTGAAGACAATCGACTTGATAATAGTCTAGGATAGACCAAAACATCGTCGTCTCATCTACTGGTGTGTGGTTTGGTCATCATAATGACTAACATGAAACTGTGGTTGCTTATGTGTTGCCTGGAAGTGCATATTTAGCAAAGCCACTAGTATACAAAATGTACCAGCTCATTTCTAAATTTTGTAGGTATTATTTGTAAAATGTAATTGTGTATTATTAATTTTGTTATACAGAGTACTTATTGTAAATTTTATAATTATTGTATCAATACAGTAATAATCATTATGCTTAAATAATTAGTAGTGAGTGAGAGTTTGAATGCGAGTGTGTGTATATATACATTTACTGTATCTCCAAAACAGCGCCATGCATTATCATGTAAACCTAGGGCCACCTGTTAAAACAATAAAGGATTTATATAACAATTCATAAAGTACAGGTATAACCCTTTATACCTTTGCTTGTTCTTCAAGTGCATAGTTGGTAGCAAGTACTTTCTCTAGGTACTTGAAATGTAGTTCCAGCAGCCTGTCAACTTTCTCATGATCATTCTCAGTAAACTTGTTAATAAGACGTGTTCGCTGGTTGGGTCGGCAGTTTCGAAGCAGGGATGTGATGATAGAGATTACGTGTTCTTCATGCTAAATTAAGGTCAATGGAAAGAAATTTTATCGTAAGTGACTGTTGGTCTGAGAAATTTAAATAGTAAAGATATACAGGTAACAAATGTTATATTGTATTAATGTAGTACAAAAGAAGTAACAACAAATTAACATAAAATACAATAGAAAAAGCATGATTATGCAAATTATTGAAAATATATAAGATATGAAGGTAAAACTACTGGAGGTAATTTAGGATAATCATCACACTACCAATACCCCAGTGCCAACTTTCATCATGTCCAGAGAAGATGGAACAAGTAAAAAGATTGATTGCAGATGATAAATACAAGCCATGAACAGGGTAGCAACCGAAGATTTGCTAAAATGAGGTTCACCGAATTAACGTTGCACTGAACAAGCAGAACCACTCATTCAGGAAAACCCAAATAGCCAACAACCTCCAGGTTGAGTGTTAGCCAGACTGTCACAAGACTCAACCAGGAAAACACAAAAACTACATGGCCATACTGTACTTAAAGCATGGCTTCTTGCCAACAAAAGGCAATGGAAGAAGTGTCTTACAAAAGTCTAGCCATGGGACACTGATGAACACAATACAATATAAATTTTTTGGAAAGCCTACTCAAGTCATATTATTCATGGTATACAGTAAGTACTGTTTGCATGATTTCCAAAAAGTGCTTCACTTACATAGGCTATACATACACTGGTACAAAAATTATATGACTTGCCAAACCTGATCTTTATTGAGTCCCTTTTTCCCATGCTTGCCTGGAGTCTTCATGAAGAGTGGAAAAATGGTTCGTAAACCAAGAATCTCCACAAATTTGTTGCAGTTGTCGGCACCTTCTAGTGCTGTGAGTGCATGGTCTAAAACCCGTAACGCCCCATTACGTGACAACTTTTTCTCTCTATGACAAGAATGTAAAAGAAAAAGTGGTGTAAATTATTTTGAAACAAAATTTAAAGAAGAAAATATCCTTGATAAAACATGAAAATTAAAAATTTGAAATTTTTATGAGAATGATGAATATTTATGTATTACATTTACCAACATCCTAAATGAGGAATTAAAACAATACTGCATTACTTATGCAGTCATGACATAGTATTTGTATATATAATCATCACTAGCAAATTATCTTTGTGTATTTGCCATTCCATAATTACAAAATCTTATGTTAAACATTAAAGAGAAAATGTTCAGAACTTTGTTCAGTACTGTAAATGGGTATACAGAATAATTACTAATTAATCCGAGTTAAACACCAGGTGACACTAGAATAGCAGAGATAATTACTAGGCAACAAAACAAAACTATGATAACGCAGGATTACCAAGATAATTACTGGGAATAAAAGAACACTTATAACTACCGTAGATATAAACTAGCTCTTTATGCCCTGCCTTCTGGCTCATTAATACCTGGCACACTAATTACCTCCTTCAACTTTAAATGTTTATCATATTTCTTCTTAAAGTCATGGATGGAATTGGCTTCAACAACCTCTTCCTTCAAAGCATTCCACTTGCCAACCACCTGTACAGGGAACGAGAACTTCCATACATCCAACTCAGCTGCAAATCCAGCTTCCCCTGATGTCTTCTCATCCTACTTATTTTCAACTTAATTTATATAGGTAGTGCACATCGCAACCAGGGTTGTTTGACCTGCGGTACACTTTGCAACCAGGGTTGTATTTAGGTCCCACATAAGTTTTAAAACTCTTGCAGGTACATAGGGCTTACAACCACTTTCTCAGAACTCCAGTAAATAGATGCTATCTTGGAAAAAAAAAATGTTGGCACCCCTCCTTGGCACAAGGGCCTCAGTACTAACACAGGAGACATGAGTTGCACACACAACAGCTCTCAAAATCACTTACAGATTGTTTGGTGTGTCTATGTATCATGCAATGAGACCTCATGTTCCTTTGGAAAATGAACAGGTGAAAAATTATTAATTTTCCAGATTTAGTTGCCAGGGTTCTGATAATAAAAAGCTGTGTTTTGGCTAGTGTTAGTGATGTGTGCAGTGATATTGGGTGGCACTTTGCTTTATCAGGTGCCAAGTGTGGGGTAGGCTCAGCTTGGACAACTGCTTCTGAGAGTATCACACCCACCAGAACTGCTCAGTTGTTCATAATGGTGCATAAATATGTAACAGGTAGTTATAAATAACATGTCTATACAGTGTGATAACAACAAAAACTGTGTATGAGAAAATCTGTTAGGAGCAGTGATGAGGGTTCACGCCTATGTGGGGGATGCTCCCAAGCACACGCTTCTAGCGACTAGACCACAACACTCTTCTCATTGATGCAGTCAGTGTGATTACTCTCTTTAAAAACAGTATTTTTCGTTCTAAGAATGCAATATGGTGAACAAATTAGTGATACAAATATATTTGTACATACCAATGTTCCACTCATTCTTTGATATAAATTCTGCTATTGACAGCCTAATAACTAAATGCACAGAAATGTCAATGAACAAAATTTTAAAAGATGCAAAAATACATAAACTGTGCATGGTAACTCCTCCCTTCACCCTATCCAGGAGCAACCTTGCCCAGTATACTTTGTGAGCGATGAAGATGGGATGCTGCCATCAAGACCTTGATTACTACAGCCAAGGCAATACAGAAATTTTAGTTTTTTGTATTTTTCTGCTGCACACAATGCAGGGGGTTAAAAATGTGGATATGACCCATAGAACAATGTGGTTATATATTGATTTTGTGGTGTTCAATACTAACCTTAGCATAAGGTTCATTAACTGAAGACCTTCACCACGCAGGAACAGGTCACGGTTAGCAACTAGCATTAAACATGAACAAAGGGTATCAAAGAGATTCTCCATCATCTCCTGTTCTTCACTAGTAGATGGGTCATGTCTTTTATACACCTGAAGATAAATATTTCATTAATAATATTAATGGTTACACACAATAATTTGTATAATCCTACCACCTTAATACTGGCCTCTCAAAATATAAATAAATAAATGTTATATAAAAAATCAAAAGGAAAGGGGGGTGGTAGGAGAAAAGCACACAAACTGTATTGGAGGGGACCTATACATTCTCTCTAATGCGTTGTGTGTGGTTTCCTCCAAGGCTAAGGGTCCCCTTCTTTCAGCCAAAGGTGCTACTCCCTTCCTTTATATATTTATTTATCAGGTGTTTATACGCCTGATAAATACATAATGTATACATTTTATACATAAAAAAAATAATTGTTATAAATTGTTATGATAAATAAAATTGATATCAAGTTGTGATAAAGTTGTGAAGTTGTAAAGTTGTATAATTGTGATAATTTGTGATAATTATTAAAATTATGATAAAGTATATAAATCAATGTAACAGTATAATTTTTTTATACGGGAATACTTACAGCCAGTTGCTGAAGGAGTACATCAATGCCATCCATTTCTCCCAGGAGACGGCGATTTTCCTCATGGCTTTGGATACAAATGGCCAAAATCTCCGAGGCATACAATTTATTAGCATCAAAGGGCAGCTTAGTGCGTAGTCTCTTCAGTACCCAGGCTAAGAGACCACCAGGTCCTGCTTCACCACAAATTTCAGGTCGCACTTCAGCAAGATTTTCAATAATTCCTAAAAAGATAAAGAATAAGAAAATTTCATATTCATCATTAAAACATTTCAATATACATGCAGATCTTTAAGTACTAAATACTGATTACTGTACTAATACTTATATTTTTGAATATTAAAATTAATGAACTTTGACCACTGCACTGCACTGCACATAGTGCCTTAAGGCACTTGATGGGTGGTGTGAAAATTGTCTTAATTTACTGATATTTTAATACACACAGAAATCACAATAATGTGATATAGCAAATGAACAAATCCACAAGGGCTTTGATGAGGTTTGAACCTACACACGGGATGTTCCGAGATGCGCCTTGGTCAACGGTACCATGACACTGTCAAAAGAATTCCAACCTGGAGTGCTACTGGCCTTACGAGGATCCTGAAGCTTCTCCGAACCCTAACCGGGGTTTCACACAATTTCCCCCAATGCAAATTCCCATGTGGGTTTGTTCATCTAATATTTTAATGGTTTTAATGTTTTTTCACTGATTTGAAATGAAAATTGTTAAGTTTGGCAATATTTTTCTCCTTATCTCATGTTCAGTTATGTTAATAATTCATTAACAATTGCACCACGAAGTTCTCACATGAAACAGATATGCAGTGCAAGGGCTAAAGCAATTTATTTACATTTCTATACCTTCAATATCTCAATTTTTGTGGGCACTTCATTCTAGAGGTGGAGAGAGATAAAGTGCCATTAAACCCTTAACTTAACACACTTCTAGCGAGCTCAGATTCCATATTTCCTTAATGAGGAAGGTATGGTTAATTATTGGGTACCATTTTTAATACTGTACTGTATATCATCATATCACAACATACATGTAGAGATTCTGATGCAACTATGTTATATCTTAAAGATATATATGAAGGTGCTATACAAATACAGTACTGCATGGATACTACAAATTTAAGATACTTTTTTTATAGTCCTTATACCTACCGAGAATACCTAATAAAGTAATCTTATTTATGAATGTTCCAAGTGCTGAAAGCAGTATTATACAAAAAATATATACCCTACACTGGGGTGGTTCTTCTCCAGCCCCGACCACGGTGATCTCTGCATTTGGAGTCCCTGTGCCTTCTTTCATCAACCTTGAGGTAACCTCTGGAGCTGGAGTCCCTAGGGCCGTTCGATGTTACCATCAACCTCGTTCTGACAGTTCCTGCAACGGCACTGGAACTAATCGTATTGGTGTTTGCCTTGCCATTGGAGATTTTCGGCGCTGTGGAGAGGGGGGGGGGACCTGTTGCTTGGGTGAAGGCTTCTCCCTCGTATCAACCTAACCTGGCTTTGCGCCCTGGAGAGGTCACTCCAGACCAACAACCAGAGCACAACGCCATATTCTCCCGAGACTGATGGATGCCTACTACTATATATCCTACCTAGGGTATTATGGACACCGTCAGCCTCTGGTTTCTGAGTTTCATCCAAACGCTGAAGGTTATGGACCAGGATGGTAATGACTTGACCCTCCAACAGAGCATCAATGAGTGACTCTGCTCCAGTTTCCTCCTGCAAGTCCTCCACTTCAGTCATCTCCTGCATTAATAAATGTTCATGTTCAGTTCATTTTCCCTTTTGGTTTTAAAAATACAATGCTGTATTTTATACTATACTAAAATGCAATACTCAATTTCATATGAGATGATGAAACAGTTACAGTATGTACAGCTACTAATTAAGCCTGAAGCAATACACTAGTTATTTTTTGAACACACACACACAGCAACATAAATTGCAGAAATGAAAGAAAGCTAGAGAATGATGAAGTTAAACTGTGTTCTCTTAAATGAGATAAATCAATGAAAGCTAGGGAAAGGTTAAAACATAACGTGGAACAAGAAAAATATACGCGTGAAGGAAGAAATTAACACAAAAACACTCATTTTCTGAGCAAGGTCCATCAAAGCCTTGTGTATTGGACCTATTAGAACAGCAACTATCCACCAGACTCTAAATGACTACACAGTAGTTCCAGCTATGAACTAGACAGTGAGCTTGGTGGAGATCATACCTCAATCCAACCCAAGATTAATGCTCACCACAACACACAAGTCCTACAAATCACTCCAACCATTCTCCAAACGACTTCTGGAAACTTGAAAAGCACAAGAAATACTCAGTAACTTCCAACTAAACAACAACTTACTTAACTACCCCAGTCACCACCAGCACAGATTAGGGAAAGTGGACCATATCACCATGTCTGGCACTTGTGACTCGCCCCTGCTCTTTCAAAAACCTTTGACTGTTAAGTGTAGTGTGGTGTTCCTTAGTAAGACTTTTCAGTTTTATGAGGAGGCCTTCCTTTTAAGGTTCGTTGTGTTGCATTATAAGCTGTGACTGTTAGGGTGTGTGGCAGCTCAGAAAATAGCATTGTTGTAAATATTAAAACAGAAATAAGTAAAATTTATTAATGTTAGCATACCTGGAGAAGATCAACAGTTGCTATGGCAATGTCAGTATTGTCATGGCTGAGGAGTGCAAGCAAACTCTTCACCATTCCCAACTCCACCAACACTGGGTAAAGCTCTGGGACTGTTGCCACTACATGCAGTTCTTCTACTGCATCATTCAAATCTATTTCAGACTCCATAAACCTAAAAATATATATAATTATGATCACCACAACCATTACCACATTACTGAATCTCATAGGATGGGGAGGCATTGGCCTAAAATAGATGTGCAATAAAGGCTAAGAATGTTAAAGACATTAAAAGAGAACACTACATCCATTTACTGCATTATATTTTCCACACTATGTATTACAGAATCATTCAGAATGAGCTTCACACTCCAATAAAACCTTAACAGCAGTACCCCACCACTTCAAACTACTATATGGCGTGCAAAAGTCTGCAAAATTTTAACATTGAAGAGAGCATATTGAAATGTTTTGGTCATATTGAATAAATAGATTATAATATAGGGGGTAGAAGGAGTACTTTTAAGTGAAGTTGTAGGTAGGAGGAGGAGGGGAAGGTCAAGGAGGACAATCAGCCTAAGAGTGCAAGGAACCTGGGATTAAGTATAAAAAGCACACAGGAATTGGATGGAAATAAAGCCAGAACTCCAAGGGACCTCTTTCTTTACTACACTTCTTTCAATACTTACCAGTATCTTATTAATTAATAAATACTTCTACCATGTTCCAGACACAAAAACTGTATCTTTAGAGGTGCAGCAGGTATTGTAAAATCTTGAACGGTACCACAATGCAAACAACTGAATTGCAAAAAATGCAAATACAAAAATCTACACGAACTCACATTTAGTGAATCTTTACATAAAACAACTGCCCCTTGGTTAGCACTTTTTTTTAATACAGAATAGTACATACTCAACTTGTGCACAACAAAGGCTGAGTATTAGTACAGTAGTTATAAAATTTCCAAACAACAATTAATACTTACTTCCTTGGATCATCTGGAAATTTTATTCGAAGCTCTTGGTTTTTCAATACTCGTTTTTCAAATGCAAGAATCATCTTCTTCAATTTTGATTCATCCAAGGGTCCCTCAACCTAAATAGCAAATATAATAATAAAAAGTACTATATTATGTATGCACGATATAATTTCCCAATACTTGTGGATAATTGTGAAAATTTGTTTCAAGACAAAATGTTATATTGGTGCATGTATTGATGGCACATGAGTATTGTACATGTCAAGCAGTGCCGCAACACTTGTGGCACAAGGTGAGGGAGGCATTGAACACAGTTCATAATGTGGGCATAATGAACATAATTCTTACCTCATCTGGATCTTCCTGCTGCTCAAGCTGTTGCAGTTTTTCTTCCACAATCTGGCGGGTGCGTGCATTAGTCACTGAGGGAACAACATTTGTAGCTGGTGGCTGTGGACCTAAACCTCTGGATTCTAGTCTTGATCGCTTTCTCCCTGGTCGTTCTTTTTCCTCTTCCTCTTCCTCTTGGGCTCGTTTCACTGCCATCTCCGGCTGTTGTATAGTGGATAAGACAATTTATTGATGTCAATCTTATTTATGTTTTACTGTAATCTTGAATGAGCTTATTAAACTATAACACTATGGAATTTGAGGTTGTTTTTTATATTTACTGTACTTATACCTCAGCATCAGGCACACATACACTGCTGTTATTACTGTATCACCACCTCTCCTACTCCCCTATTAATAACACGAGTCCCACAGGATAGCATACCAACACCTCTCCTATATCTTTTTTTTTTTTTTTTTTTTTTTAGATATATACAAGAGTTGTTACATTCTTGTACAGCCACTAGTACGCGCAGCGTTTCGGGCAAGTCCTTAATCCTATGGTCCCTGGAATACGATCCCCTGCCGCGAAGAATCGTTTTTTTCATCCAAGTACACATTTTACTGTTGCGTTAAACAGAGGCTACAGTTAAGGAATTGCGCCCAGTAAATCCTCCCCGGCCAGGATATGAACCCATGACATAGCGCTCGCGGAACGCCAGGCGAGTGTCTTACCACTACACCACGGAAACTGTTCAATATCTTACATATATTATTCACTTGCCTAACACACTGCAACATCTAAGACTAAACCTAAGCTATATGCTGATGCCACTGCCTTTGCTTTTTAAAACTAACCTGTACACCTACAAAAATATACTATACTAGTAAACAATGAAGGAAAGGAAGTCCACTCGTGAATGTCTATTAACAAACTCTAGTGTAGTGGCAGTATCATAACCAGCCGTGCTTACTAGCTTCCTACTGGCCAGGCTACACATGTACTGTACTGGGAGCCAGTCCAAATTGTTACAAGTTACCTGCTGGAGGCTGTCAGCATGGTGCCTCCAGATTCCTAGTGGACTCAAGCAGACCTTGTTGAATTACTTTTGCCTATTGTGGTCCAAAGGGTTTAGGCATGCATCTGGGGGTGACCCAGGATGCTGGTTCGATTCCTGTCCTGCTCCAGTGATTTTCACAAAGATATATCATGCTATTATTATTTCCTAGTGTATGTTTTTAATAAGTAGTGACACGTGTTGGCTAGATGAGAAACTGTCACAAGGATGGATACTTGCTATATAACTTATAACAGACTCTGTGATAAAGTGATTATAAATAAATGTAGATCTATCATAATAATAATAATTATGCTTATTCAGGTAAAATTACATACTGTATACAGTATTCAAAATGAGTTACATACGGAATGTTGAATTTCTAGATAGAGTTAATACATACGACAGGTATGCCTAGAGCCACTAATATGCACAGCATTTCAGGCAAGATTATTCATAATCTTGAATTATGATCATAATAAACAATATATGATCTTGAAGCAAGATCATAATAAACAATATATTTTTATTTATTTATTTATATTTACAAGAGTTTTTACATTCTTGTACAGCCACTAGCACACATAGCATTTCAGGCAAGTCCTTAATCCCATATTCACCAGAATACGACCCGCCAAATTGTTTAACAACCAGGTACCCATTTTACTGTTGAGTAAACAGTCTACAGTTAAGGATTGACGCCCAGTAAATCCTCCCCGGCCAGGATACGAACCCATGACAAAGCGTTTGCAAAACGCCAGGCGAGCGTCTTACCAATACACGACGGGGACGGGGACAATATTGTATATCATTCATATACAGCATTTATATATGCTGTATATGAATATATGATCTTGAAGCAAGATCATATTAAACAAAACAGTTTTTTGTGAAAAAGATTCCATTGTATATTGGCCTAATTGTTCAGATGGAAGGGGGGGGGGGAGGATGAGCTTCAACTATTTGCTTCCACCATTCAACCTTCAATCGAGTGGCATCTGTAATGTCTACAACTGAAGCTGTGTAATGAGTCTACTTCCAAACTTCACTGTTTACTGGATACCACTTGTTCTCTAACCTGAGCATGGCAAAGGCTACCGTAATAACGTCCTGCCCAAAACGCTTTGCGTAATAGTGGCTTTAGGCATTGTATGTACTAGCTCTATCTATAAAGCCAACAAACTTTGTAAAATCTCTTTATGTATGTACCTTTGCCTAAATAAAAATTATATTATATTATTATTATTATAATAGTCAAGTCTCTACATTATTACTGCATGAATACACAGCCAACCCGCATGATCTTAATCAAACCCAAAATATTGTATATTAGCGACAAAAATTAGTCTATATGAGTAATGTGGTGATTATTATGGTGGGAAGACTGCAGCAAGCGTCGTCTACAAGTACCTTGAATGAGAGAAGCTCGCCAACGTCCATGGTAACTTGGTGTAGTTACGACACAATATGTCCTGGTCTGGCCACAACCTGCTCTTACCACCCCGCCGCAAGGGCTCTACTTCGCTATGATGGGTACAGTCTCCCTCAAGACGTTGCCTTATATATAATATTCAGACTTTGCGAGAAGCTAGACGCGGCACCAGAGAGCAAGGGTCCGTAGGAAGAAACTGGTCGCTTCGCCTACCGATACCGGGTTGCAAGACCCAAATCCAAATCAAATCAAATCAAATGTTTATTTAGGTAAGGTACATACATACAAATTTTACAAAGAGTGATGGATTTATAGATAGGGCTAGTACATATAATGCCTAAAGTCACTATTACGCAAAGCGTTTCGGGCAAATTACATTTGTAATTACAATTGTTACTTAACCTATTATAGGTATAGGTTAGGTAATAATTGTAATTACGAAGCAATAAGATGTTTATCTTAACATACTAAGTAGGTTAGGTAAGGTCGGTGTTTTCTATGAAGCTTTTCAAGGGAAACTATTATGTTAAGTATGTCACCTATGCACATTTTTAATAAGTCAATATTGACTTATTAAATTTGCGAGAACGGGTTGCAACCCAATTTGCCGAAAGCAAATTCGGGCAAATTGCTGAAAGTAGCGAGCTGACAGTCTAAAAGTAGCGAATTTGTAATGTTTTCAAATGTTTTTCAATTCAAATGTTTAAGCAACTGGTCGGGCTCCGGTTACACAACTGGTCGGGCTCCGGTTACACAACTGGTCGGGCTTCGGTTACACAACTTTTTCGGGCTCTAGTTACACAACTGGATTGTGTAACTGAACCCCAACCAGTTGTATAATTGGACCCCCTTACCAGTTATACAACTGGACCCCCTTACCAGTTGTGTAACTGGACCCCCTTACCAGTTGTGTAACTGGACCCCCTTACCAGTTGTGTAACTGGACCCCGACCAGTTGTGTAACTGGACCCCGACTGAGCCACTACACCATGTCGTGGTGTAGTGGCTACAGCGTGTGCCTGGGAACACCCACCGCATAAGTTCGAACCCTCATCACGGCTCCTACGGATTTTCTCACGACTTAATAGCGATGATGATAGTAATATATAATGCTACTGATGGTTGATTTTGATGATAATGATAGTAAGTATACAATAATACTACCATATCAACCTAATAGTAATAATAATACTAAGTATGTAATAGCAATAATAATAATACTAAGTATATAATAGTAATAATAATTACAATAATTTCTATAATAATACTAAGTATATAATAGTAATAATAATTACAATAATTTCTATAATAATATTAGTTTATTTATATAATAATATTAGTTTATTTCTATAAAATATATAATGGATGTATTACAAAGTTAGTATTCATATCCCCCCTCAAATCAAAACACTGGAACTTAAAACAAACACTCTATAATTATCCAAATTTAAGCTAGGATTAACGTAAATTAAGGCTTGAGGTTTTCTTGATTGATGGTGAGAATTAATTTCAAGTAAATATGGTGGACTTAATGGTAGCATGTTGAGTGATGATGCTGCCTTGGACTGTTGTCAGAGGCTTACTGGCATGGCCGGCCGGGCGGGCCTCTCCAGGACCTGGAATGTCTTCAGGACCATTATCCCTGCACATAACGTGACCAGACATTGCCGGCTTGTTCACCGTGCTGAGAGAAAAGCTTCACGTAGATGCCTGGTGACGACGCCCGGTTAGTGTTCACGTGTGATCCATCTTGGGGTGGATACGGTCATTGCTTGTCAGGTCAAGTCGCTCCAAGTCTATACTAACCATTAAGCCGATCTCTTAACATTTAAATAAGCCTTTATCAAACCCAACTTGTTCAGAGAGTTGATAAATGTGATAATAATCATCTATATACAAGAATGTACAATGGGCTGGTGAGGTTACATTAATGATATTTTTGTAAAGCCACAAACACGTATAGTCACTAACACGATCTTGAAATATATATATATATATATATATATATATATATATATATATATATATATATATATATATATATATATATATATATATATATATATATATATATATATATATATAAATATATATATATATATATATATATATATATATATATATATATATATATATATATATATATATATATATATATATATATATATATATTGTGACGATAATCTCCTTCAAGAGATTGAGCCTGCTCTTCCCTCCAAAATTACGTCTTCACAATTATATAAAAAGACTATGGAAGAAATGTCCAACAACGACAACAACACCAGCACCAGCAAGGCTTGCCAGGGTGAGCAGAAACGTATGCAACCAGCCACCTGTTCGAACTCCAACCACCAAACTACCCGTTGATCGCTACGGCTCCGCTGATTGGTCGCCGGTCTGGCTGCACCTGCACTCGCCCCCAATACTACCTGATGTCTGGGGTCGCCCCAACATCAGTCCTCAGAATGTTCCGTGCTTTCGTAGCCAGCACTCCTCCCAGCTAGACGTTAGCGTGTACTGAGAGAGGTGGTGGCTTTAAGCCAATATTCCAGCACCTCCCACTTACCTTTGTGTTGCACTTCTTATTTTGCCTTAACGTAACTTTCATTGTGTCATTTAAGTATTCTTATTATTTTGATTCATTGATTTTATTATACATATTTGTTTGTGCATTATTTTCATGTTTTGATTTATTTAACGTAATTAAAATTTCATTGTTAAAGTTTACTTGTGTTTTGTGTGTCTTCTCCTTACCTTACCACAGACGAAGTTCCAGTTTTTCTATTTTTTTTTATAACTATGTGACGAGGCCATACCCCTAGCCTTAAACAGCCGAACACCAACGCGTTACCGTCACAAGTTATATGGGGGCCTGTCCTAGGATCTTCACTCAGGTACTGGTGCCAAGTGGTAATTTATGGTAAGCGTATTTAACTTTGTTAACGTAGCTTTACTATTTTTCATTCAATTTCATTTTTTATAAGGTGCGGTGTATTGTGCATTACGAGAGTAACATATAGTGAAGGTGAGACAACTTTGGATTACGTGGTGACTGTAGGCCTCAGTCATACTCTTAATTGGTCATCTCTCCCTCCATGTTATTACTCGTATTTACCATCTATGTCCCTTGAATATTTCTCATTCTGACAGATCATCATATTGGTACCCTGGTACTGTGGTCTGCCCCGGGTCAAGAGTACCCAATCTTCTGCAATCTGACTGTAGGAGGACAAAGAGGGCCATAGTTCCTCTAGCTCGAACTTTAGTTGCTGAATTGGGACCTCAGCAGCAGTTCTCGTCACCAGTTGACACCTCGCACCCCTACACGTCAGTCAGAGATGATGATACATACAACGGTAGGGAATTAGCTTATTTTTTCAGAGCACAAAAATTCGCTAATTCTGTAAGTATCATATTAAATTCAGTGGGAAAAACTTGCTTTATGTCCTTTAGAGACTTGGCAAGGTATGCCTACATCCTTGGACTACCAATTTTACTTTTGAAGCATTTAACTGTTTCATTTGTTTTCGAAACTTTGTTTCATTTGTTAGTAGGATTTTCTTGCCCTTATTCTCTTACATGAGTACCGGGTACAAGATTTCCTGCGCCCTTGATTTAATTTAATATCTTTCACTTAACGTTAATTGTTAAAGATCACACAGGATAGGTACCAGTTGCCACGTTGTCCTGTTTCTGACATTTCATTATTGAACATTCGTGTACCTTTATTTGCTAATTTCACCATGTTTCGTCTCCAAACTTTCCGTGCAAATCCAGCAGGTGAAATAGGGACTTTAAGTCGTGCCAAGAGGACTGAACTACAAACTCTTGCACATGAGTATCAACTAGAAGTTCCCTACCAAGCCAACAAAAATGACCTACACAACCTGTTGCTGGATTACTATTTAGAGCAAGGTAAGATAGACTCTGACACTCATGAAACTTACTATATTGCAGATAAAACTGATTTGGCAACGCTGAAACTCAAACTAGAGCTGGCCAAGATTGAACGTGAGCAGCAAAGGGAAGCCCTCGAACAACAAGAACGAGCTGCTGCCATACGAAGAGAAGAACAAGAACGCGAGGCTGCCTTGAGGAGAGAAGAACACGAACGTGGACTCGCCCTCCACGAACGTGAGGTCGCCTTGCTCCATGAACGTGAGAGAGTACAGCTTGAAACAAAACAACGCGAGTTGGAAATACAACGCGAACATGACAAGCAACAAGCAACTCTAGCTCTAGAGTGTCGTCAACGTGAAATCGCCTTGGAAACTTCCCACTTCACTCAACGCCAGCAAGCTACTGCCAATCTTCCCGTCAGTTTTAATATATCACATGCAAGTAAGTTAATGCCATCCTTTGTAGAAGCAGAAGTTGATGTTTTTTTCACCACCTTTGAAACCCTTGCTAATCAACTCAGTTGGCCTGTCAACCAATGGGCCACACTTCTCAGAGTCCATCTTACAGGTAGAGCTGCAGTCACACTCAGTACTTTGGCGTCTGAGAATGACTACTACACTCTGAAACAAGCAGTGTTGGACGCCTACCTCCTCTCTACTGAAAGTTATAGAAGGAAATTCCGTGACCACCTGAAGGCAAGTACCACTACCTTCCTCGAGTTTGCTAACACGAAACGGAGGTATTTCATGAAATGGCTGGAAGCAGCACATGTCTCTACTTTTACAGAACTCGTCAACCTGATGCTTGTTGAAGAATTCTTGAGACGTGTGCCGCCTCCTGTCCGCCTCTACTTAGCAGATAAAGAAGAAACCGACTACCTGAAGTGTGCTAAGTCGGCTGACACTTACAGCCTCATCCACCGGCTGACACCTGAACCATCCTCCAGTAAGAAGTCGTGGTACAGTTACGAGAAGGTGAGCCCCGATCAAGCTGGTTCACAACTGTACTGCAAATATTGTAGACTCTATGGACATACCATAGACAAGTGTGGTAAGTCTCAATACAAGGGAACCACTGACCAACAACGACCCAAACCAACTCCTCCTAAGTCCGGTAAGCCTGTGATGAATGTTGGTGTTGATGTTAATGATCTTTCTCTTTTCAGTAACCACCTGTATACTGGAACTGTCTCTGCCAACGGTTCAAATCCGGAGGGACGTTTCAAATTGAAGATCTTGAGGGACACAGCGGCTCTACAATCGATCATCTTGAAGTCGGCTGTGCCCAACATAGTCTACACCGGGGAAACAGTCTTCATCACTGACCTCACTGCTACCACTCCATACCCTCTCGCCAGAGTCCACCTGAATTGTCCCTACGTGAACGGGGAAGTCCAAGTCGCCGTCAGGGAAAAGCCTTTTCCCATGCCTGGAGTGCAACTTCTCCTAGGCAACGACTTGGCAGAAGACCTGCAACCGACCAACCTGATCGTCATGGACAAACCCCAGGTGTGTAACTCTGTGCCAAGTAACCCTATTCTTGAGTATGTTCCAGCAGAGGTTCAAGAGAGTGATGAAGTTTCTCCTCCGGTTCTCGTGACCACCCGTGCGCAAGCCGCACTTCCACAGCCAGCTGACTCTACTGCTACCGCTGTCCCTCAAGACCCTCAGAAACTACCCCCGCATCTGACCAAGTTGGAGTTCCGTAAGTTGCAGAGGGAAGATCTTACTTTAACACCATTGTTTTTCCAGGCTGAGACTCAACCCGACAGTATTCCTGGGTTCTTCCTAGAGAACGACTTGCTCTACCGCAGATATAGACCCAGTAAACTGAAGGAGGAGGACGATTGGGCCAACACCGAACAACTTGTGATTCCCACCAGCCTGCGGCCCACTATTCTACACCTGGCCCATGGAGCATTCTCCCACTACGGCTTCAACAAGACTTACCATGGGATTCGTCAAGACTACTACTGGCCAGGTATGGTAAACAACGTCAAACAGTACGTAAAACAGTGTCATACATGTCAGATGGCAGGCAAACCGAACGTCTCCATTCCCAGAGCACCACTGATTCCCATACAGGTGCCTGCGGAACCTTTCCACAGACTCATAATAGACTGTGTTGGTCCTTTACCTCGGACCAGTTCAGGTAACGCCTACATCCTAACCATCCTGTGTCCTACCACCAGATTTCCCATAGCAGTTCCAGTGAAGAACATCACGGCTGCTACGGTTATCAAACATCTATTGAAGATCTTCACTCAATACGGATTTCCCAGGGAGATTCAAAGTGACTGTGGCACCAACTTCACCAGTGATCTCTTCAAAAGGACACTGGAGGAGTTCAACATCAAACAGGTATTGTCCAGCCCCTATCATCCTGCTTCACAGGGTTCTCTTGAACGTAGTCATCAGACCATCAAAGCACTCTTGAAAAAGTTTTGTAGTGAAACCTCAAAGGATTGGGATAAGCAGATTGACCTAATAATGTGTATTTTCAGAAGTCTCCCCAATGAGTCCCTAGGAGTATCTCCTTATGAGATGCTCTACGGCCGTAAGTGCCGTACTCCCCTTAAGGCTTTCAAAGACTCTCTCAGAGATGCCACCTTCAGTGAGCATCAGAATGTGCCCCAGTTTCTTCAAAACCTTCAACACATTCTAGAGAGAGTCCACCGCTTTGCTCATGATAATCTATTGAAAGCCCAGGTGAGAATGAAGACTCATTACGACCAGACCAGCAAAGTAAGAAAATTCAAGCCGGGAGACTTCGTCCTTGCTTATTTCCCTATCCCAGGTTCACCTTTACAAAACAGATTTTCAGGACCCTACTGCGTCAAAGAGTGCAGGAATAATAATAATTATGTGATAGAGACTCCTGATAGGCGGCGGAAGACCCAGCTGTGCCACGTCAACCTCCTGAAGCAATATAATGGTACTCCTCCCACTGTCTTGACTAATTATTCCACATTCACAGAACCCTACATCCACAGTGAGACCTTCCCAGCTTCTCCTCCCGAAAGCACTGACAAGGAGTCAGCGCTTTCTAATTCCGAAATCCTTAATGATCTTCCCAAATACTTTCAGGATAATCATAGTGCACCTCTCGTCAAGATCTTCAGAGAACATCAAGAGTTGTTCAGAGATGATCCCCAAGAGTGTAATGTTACCCAGCACGACATCCAACTGCTCCCCGACACCCGGCCGATTCGTCAACCCTTCTACCGAATCAGCCCGAGCAAGAAGGAAGTCATGCGTGCTGAGGTGCAATACCTCTTGGATCATGGACTGGCTACACCTTGTGAGTCCCCCTGGGCCTCACCCTGTATCTTGGTGCCCAAACCCCAAGGTAAGGTGCGGTTGTGCACCGACTATCGTAAACTGAACTCTGTCACTGTCAAGGATGCTTACCCCTTGCCAAGGATAGATGACATCCTTGATGCCATTGGTAGTGCCCAGTACTTGTCCCAAGTGGACTTGCTTAAGGGGTACTATCAAGTGTGTCTAACGGAGCGCGCTAAAGAGATATCTGCCTTCATCACTCCTTTTGGACTTTTCAGATATGAACGCCTTCCTTTCGGACTATGTAATGCCCCGGCCACCTTTCAAAGAGCTGTCAACCGTGTCATCCAGGGCTTGGATAACACATACGCCTACCTGGACGATATCGTCGTAGCCTCCAACTCCTGGAGTGCACATCTGCTCCAGCTGCGACGTCTGTTCTCCAAGCTCCTGACAGCCGGCCTCACCATCAACCTGGGCAAGTCCACTTTCGCGAAAGGTAAAGTGCGTTATCTGGGTCATGTTATTGGGAGTGGCAGCATAGCTCCGTTAGACTCACACACTCAAGCCATCCTACAGTATCCACAGCCTACCACCAGGAAGCAGCTCCTGCGCTTCCTTGGTCTTGCCTCTTACTACCGTAGGTTTGTGAGGAATTTCAGTACAGTCGCCACACCTCTAATTCTATTAACCAGTCCCAAGCAACGGTATAATTGGACCATGCAGCAAACCGTTGCTTTTGAACAACTCAAATTCCTCCTCTGTTCTAACCCCATTCTCGCCTCTCCAGATATCACCAAGCCTTTCGTCCTTCATGTCGACGCCAGTGGTACCGGCGTTGGTGGTGTCCTGATGCAACAACGAGGCGAGGAGGTTCTACCTGTCAGCTACTACAGCTACAAACTGAAACCACACCAGAGGAACTACAGCACTATTGAAAAGGAGCTACTATCCATCGTCCTGAACCTCCAACACTTCGCTCCGTACCTACAAGGCGCCAGGTCTACCACCATCTTCTCAGACCACAACCCTCTCCGCTTCCTACATCAAGCCCAATTCACCAACCAGCGTCTTCTACGATGGGCTCTGTATTTACAAGACTTCAACCTGGAGATCCGCTATATCAAGGGTTCTGACAACACCATAGCCGATGCCCTCTCCAGAGTTTATGAAGTAGAAGCGACTCCATCCATTACTCCACCACATAACGACGTACTTCTTCCAGAACCGCAGGCTTCGGGGGAGAGTTGTGACGATAATCTCCTTCAAGAGATTGAGCCTGCTCTTCCCTCCAAAATTACGTCTTCACAATTATATAAAAAGACTATGGAAGAAATGTCCAACAACGACAACAACACCAGCACCAGCAAGGCTTGCCAGGGTGAGCAGAAACGTATGCAACCAGCCACCTGTTCGAACTCCAACCACCAAACTACCCGTTGATCGCTACGGCTCCGCTGATTGGTCGCCGGTCTGGCTGCACCTGCACTCGCCCCCAATACTACCTGATGTCTGGGGTCGCCCCAACATCAGTCCTCAGAATGTTCCGTGCTTTCGTAGCCAGCACTCCTCCCAGCTAGACGTTAGCGTGTACTGAGAGAGGTGGTGGCTTTAAGCCAATATTCCAGCACCTCCCACTTACCTTTGTGTTGCACTTCTTATTTTGCCTTAACGTAACTTTCATTGTGTCATTTAAGTATTCTTATTATTTTGATTCATTGATTTTATTATACATATTTGTTTGTGCATTATTTTCATGTTTTGATTTATTTAACGTAATTAAAATTTCATTGTTAAAGTTTACTTGTGTTTTGTGTGTCTTCTCCTTACCTTACCACAGACGAAGTTCCAGTTTTTCTATTTTTTTTTTTATAACTATGTGACGAGGCCATACCCCTAGCCTCAAACAGCCGAACACCAACGCGTTACCGTCACAATATATATATATATATATATATATATATATATATATATATATATATATATATATATATATATATATATATATATATATATATATATATATTGTATATCACGAAAATAAACACGTGATTAAGAATGTGACAATGTCAGACCACGGAGGAAAAATGAAACAGGAAATTTCCTTAAGTACTTTCGTATATTAAATACATCTTCAGAAGGTGAATACATCTTCACCTTCTGAAGATGTATTTAATATACGAAAGTACTTAAGGAAATTTCCTGTTTCATTTTTCCTCCGTGGTCTGACATTGTCATATATATATTTATGTATATAAGGAAAGTACATTCCTTAGGAGAAGGAATGTACTTCACTTCCCAGTGAAGCATGGGGTTTCTGGAGTGTCACATAAAATATGCTTAAACAATATGATTATTTCATCTTGAGATATGTGGCCATGCCTAGCTAAATTTGTACTTTGCAAGTTCATGCTACACCAGGATTTTTTAGATGAACCCATGCATATAAATATAGCAGTTTATAAAGGTATTTATTTTTTATTGCTATATTTTAATTATGTAATTAAAACTGTTCTTTTTCCAGCCCTTCAGCATGGAGATTATGAATGGCAAGATCCAAAATCTGAGGATGAGGTGTAAGTAAATAAAAAAAAAATAAGTTATGTAAAGTTCTTGCATTTAATGTTTCCTCGGATATGTCTTTCTGTGACTGTTACAATAGTACAATACAGTACTGTCATTATATGTATACCTATAATTCATTGTGTCGGGGGGGGACAGGAAACCACGGTGTATTGATACACATTAGGCTTATATCGAGGTCCCTCTCCTCCCTTACTAGGTCGAAGATATTTGGCTATTTCGGGCCGTTGTTTTCTGTGAACCTCCTTAAGTCAAAATCGTAGAGCCTTTCTGATTTTCTGGGTGTTTTCTCAGTTGGGTGGTGAATTGTCACTCCCTGTGCCTATGTGAGATGGGGCCAGGTTTTGGCTCTGGTTACTAGTAGGCCAAACAGAACTTCTACTACAGATGACATTTTAGTATAAAAAATATCAGCAAGATGACTTCAGGGAGCCACCAGGGTTCCAGCAGAAAGAGGCATTTTATTGCATTCAATGCTGGGTTTTCTCCCAACAAACTCGAGCATGCTGGATTAGGCTGAGCTCTAAGTGAAGGGCTTCTGGCATCCCTGACCCTTTTACATGTATCAACACCTGCTGTATAGTGGGTTCAATGGCTTGGGAAGCATTTCATTATTTTTAGTTCATTTTATTTTCATTTCTCCAGCTTTTCAGCTTTCTCAGCTTATTTCATTCAGATTTCTGCATAATTTAATTATGTAATTATATTTCCACATACTGTGTGTGTGTGTTTATATATATATATATATATTTATATAATAATATATATATAATAATATATAATATATTCCATTTTCATGATATTCTTAACAATACTTTTTTGTTAAATTTCAGAGTTAACATAACGTTTATAGATCGAAATGGCAAAAAAATTCCTGTAAGAGGAAAGATTGGTGATAATGTTTTATATCTCGCACACCGCTATGAAGTAGATTTAGAAGGTGAGCATTGGTATTTATTTTCACTATTTTTTTACTTTTAATTTCTATTTTCACTCTAAATACTATTTTATATGAGGAAATAATACTTATGAAAATTTATGAAACTTTGCAAGATTTGTTGGTGATAAATTTATTGTTTTTATGCAATGTCATAAAGACTGATTAAAATAAATAAATTAGTAATAAAAAATTCTTAGTCCTAAAATATGTTGTAAATACTGTATTTTCTTCTGCAAATTATTTCTCTGAATTGAAATGCTTATCTTATTTTGACTATTGTCAGAGTTAAGTCTTGGGTAAATTTGTATGTGGTAATTAGTAGCCACCTAAGATAACAACCTAAAATGATAAAAACTCAAAAGCACTGTGGTGATGGATCTTACCTGGGGGCACATATTTTTGTAAAATTGCCTGTGAATTGGTAAGAAAAATATATACTGTATTATTAAAGAAACAAATCACCTTTTAATCGAGGTGTCTACTGGCACCCTTCATTTCTTATTAAATCTTACAAGTTTCTTGTATAGTTTAGATCGATAGTACATTTTGTTTTCAGCTTTTTGAAATTTAAGAGACTTTGTAGACTCATAAAGATATAATTTGTTTTGTTGTACTAATTGTCAGGGATTTAACCCTGATGTATGGTCCTCTGTATATTTTCAAATTAAGAAGTGTTTACAAGCATTGTGCTTAGAAATGCTCGAATTAAGAAAACTTACAGAATTATTATGGTCTTGATGTAAACTTGATGTATCAATGAGAAAATGGGTCAGAGCCATGCGGAGGATTTGAACCTGTGCTCTGGGTACTCTCAGGCAAACACTTTAGACCACCACACCACAACATGGTCAAAAGCATTGCAATCTGGGATTGAACTGAATCCACGAGGGTTTCCACTGAAGCCTAATCAGGGTTTCACACAATGTCCCCCATTCACTCTGGCTTGTAGTCTAGTTATTCTAGGTGTAGTGGTCTAGAGTGTTTGCCAGGGAAGTACCCAGTGTATAGATTCAAATCCTCATGGCTCCTACTGATTTTCTCAAAATTATTTCTAACCATAAAACAAATAATGATGTAAATTTTATACAAATGCACAAGCAGTAATTTGTGTACATTATTTATATTTTTGAACAGGTGCTTGTGAAGCATCTTTAGCATGTAGTACATGTCATGTGTATGTAGATGATCAACACTATGAAAAGTTGCCCGACCCACTGGAAGAAGAGGAGGATATGCTCGACATGGCTGTCTTTTTGAAGGACAATTCTAGACTTGGTAAGAAAAATAGCTATTCAGTTGATAAATATTCTGTTCACAAGCAGTATAATGCTTCATCTTTTATGGTCATTTTGTACACTAAATTTGGACTTGATACAATACAGTATTATAAAATATTTATGCTATGTATATGTCTGGGTACATTATGCCTTTTTGATAAATACATGTTCAAATGGCCATAATCTGATTTTCTTTCTTTTTTAGAATACTGTACTGTATTCGTAATATTGGTTGTATGTTTAGCAATACCTGGCATAGGAGCCAATAGTGCCTCTTTTTGATGAGCTACAATGAACACTTATCTAATCCTCGTGTAGTTATTTTTTGGTTAGGTCTTCATTGACTGCTCTTGCCCTGCCTCCTGCAGGTCAGGATAATGTTGTCTTGCTTTTACTCATCAGTAACCACTCTTGAGAGAGGAACAACATGACCAGTGAAGATGAACATGTATTTTCATTTATAAATATTTATAAATTAGTCTTGACTGATCATTTATCATCTTAGGATATATTATAATTACATAATAGTATTAATATTTGGATTTTGTACATTTCAGGATGCCAAATTATTCTAACCAAAGAGCTTGATGGTATGACACTTGAATTGCCTAAAGCTACACGCAACTTTTATGTGGATGGACATGTTCCCAAACCACATTAAGGTAATTGAAGCCATGATGTTAAAAAATAGGAATAAATTTAACTCGATACAGTATGCAGTTAAATTAATAGACAAAAAGAAAATATATTTGACAATGTAATAGTATGAACCTTGTGCAGATTTTGTTCTTTATTTTTAAGTAACAACACAATGAAAAGGTTTTCATAATTACAGTGTAACTTCCAATATCTGGAGCTTCATATGGCAGATCCCTCTAAATAACAGATAACACCCGACTACAGTACTAAATTTCTGCTCTGAATTAATTATATTTCTGATAAAAATTTGAATTCCAATGGGAACTGCTGTGAAGGCAGAATTACAACACACACATTTGCAGCAAATCTTCTGTTATTCTATTGTTCTTTTAATAGTACCAGTTCAGTAGTTAATATGCAAAGCAATTTTTTTAATTAAAAAAAGGCCAAAACCTGGTTCCCCCTTTATAGAGGCACAGGGAGCTGAGGATACTAGATCACTCAGACCCAGAAAGACCACCACAAAGATAGAGCAAAACAAAACAAATAACACCAAGGTAAACAAAATACTAAAATGAAAAAGATCCAAATGATAGTTATGCAGTTCACCATCTAGTAGCAGCTTTCCACCACTTGCTGGCAGCACCCCCCAGGTGCTGCCACCAGCACCCCCTTGGCTCAGCTCAGCCCAGCTAAGACATTTGTCTTTAAGTCTAGTGCGACTATATAACATTGCTCCTACTCGTCATGTCCACCACACCCTTTGAGTCCTGGTTTTTCAGATGATTGACGGCCATCCTATGGACTCTGTCCTCTTTGGGCTCATTTGTTTATGTCCGCATTCCATCTTTAAGTATTTGTTTATGTACCTCATTTCTTGTGTGGACTCTGAGAAGCAGTTTGCCTCAAGTTGCATGCATGTAGTCAACTTGTTTAGGTGCTTGCAAGTATTGCACCAGCCCTTACAGGATTGTCTTCTCTAGTGGGTTGAGGTGGCTGGCCCTAAAAGGCCATATTCCTGTGGAGGGAACCTCATCAAGAATAGTGCACTGGTGTTTGACTCCTCTGTGAGGCTCTGAAGTTTGGTGTTTTCTTTCTTGAAGGGTAGTACAGGTTTTTGTATGCTTGTTTTATGGCATGCCACTTATGCCCTTCTCAGTGCTAGTAGTTTTATTCGTGGTGAGGAGCCTCTATGCCTATGCCTGTTAGCATTTGAATGATGTTTGTCAGTCTTATTGGAAGATCTTATTGCATTCCAATGGCCATCCTTTTTGCCTCCACCATGCCACTTGCTGGGTGGGTAAGATATCTTCCATCCTCAGGCTTGTGATGTGTCATCATTCAATGTCTAGTTTGGCTGAGTCTAGTGACTTGGCTTGTCAAGCAGCTGGTATTTTATGAACAAGCTTTACCTGTATACATTGTTCATGGCTTGGTGTTGGTGTGGCTTTCCCTGGAGTCAGCCCCTTAGTTATTTTTATGATCCAGAGTTAGAGCAGTTGTGCTTTCTACCTGTTCTAAGTTTGCCTCTTTGTCACTTTCTCTGGGTCCCCTCTCTCCAAGTTCTGAAGCATCTGAAGGTTTTGGAGACTGAGGTTGATGTTTCTCTTTGTGAGGTGAGCCTTCTCTAGTGGTTGCCCCTTCCATGTTAGTGGCAGAGGCAGTTGAGCCAGCACTTCCTTCCAAGGATCACATACCTTCTATTTATCAGGGGTGTTATCAAGGTGGATTCTTCCCTTTGGAGAGAGCCTTTTCCCTCCTCAGTGTTTGGCATGGAACATGGCGCTGCCTCAGATTCTTCATTTCCTGGGGCTTCAAGGGCAGAAAGGGTGGGGACCAAGGAGGGTCCTTAAGTGTCCTTCAACCCTGATTGATCTTTAGTTCCTAATGAGGAAGGTTATTCCCTCAATGTGGAGGATGTGTTGCACCCTCCTATGTTTGAGACCGATTCATTGGTTGCTCTGCCTTACGTTTGCTTCCAGGTTCTGTTTGGATCTTCGGAGGCATCCTGTGTGCGAAGGTCTCTGAACATCCATCTTTTGCCCACTGCATTGTGTGCAGATTTGTTTCAGTTCTTAAGATCAGGACTTCGTGGCTTTGATGGACTCATCTTTTGTGTTTGAAGATCAGCAGAGTATTAGTTGCCAATCATAATGGAGAAGGGAATCCTTGGGAAAAACTATTGGGGGGGGGGCAATGAGTGAGAAGAACTGAGAATTATGGGTATAGCTGTCACAAAGAAGTCTAGAGAACTGAGAACAACAAAAGTTTCAAACCTGGAAGCACAGAAAAAACATAAATCAGAAGACATTGTGTGGAAATCTCAATGGGACTAATCCAGGAGAAAGGCTTCTATACTGCCTCACAGTTCGGAGCCTTCTCATATAACCACAGGGAGGGAATACTTTCTGCAAGCCATTCCACCAAGATAGGTTGAAGCTGAAGAGACCATCTTTGAAAACAATCAAAGCTGACAAAAAACACGACATGCAATGTGATGGGCAAATACTCACAAAGAACACTATAAAGCATTTAATCTAACAATAGATCATAAGCTGAGAAACCAGTCACTTATCAAATAGAGGCCTTAGGAGACAATAGGTGAGACAGTGGGGTGATACCATGCAAGAGTGAAGAACTCGTGGGAGACGGGGAACTACCAGAATTTCTGGTTGATTAGTGCTGCCATCATGTGTTGGGAAAAGGAAAGGGGGGTTAGATCATTGTTTGGTGTTTTGGAATAGTTTTAAGTTTTAAACAAGTGTAGTGTAGCATAGTTTTAAGTTTTGTTTGGTATTCTATCACACCAAATATTTCTCTAAGATTGTTGAGAGTTTTGTGACACTCTTGAAGCTTTTTGGTAGAGTTTTCCCTCAGTGTGTGTGGTATTATAACACCTTCATCTCCCATGCTTCTTCTGAGCGGGTAGGATTCTGGTCACTGCTCCTAGTAGCGTGTGAATTAGTCTTTGATGCCTGGCAAGATGGTATTGGCTCTCAGAACTACCTAAAAGTGTCATTTGACAATACAGTAACTCCAACAGTCTGTATTATTTATTTTTAAACTGTGACTCCATTAAAGATAAATAAAGCATTTATTTAATTAAACAGTAATGCTTGCTTTCTCAAGTAGCAAGACTTAGGTTGCACTTGCCTGTTCAGTGATAATGTATACAAGGCAAAGGTGTGGGAACACCCTGTAGTCACTACTGAATTGTATATATAATACAGTGGCTTTCTGGTTAGTACCTATATTTCATTTTGTATTTGTGTAATTGTAAATTTAGGACTGTATATATTGTATACAGAATCTCAGTTTTGAGAAGTAATGTGCCTACCTAAGAATAATTTATAGGACTCAGGTGCCTACCTACAATATTTAATAATAGACTTTTTGTAATGCAGTAATAGTACTTAATGATGCTTTACTGTGAGTTTAAATATGATATGCATGTGGACGAGTTAATGTATGTATTTCCATATACAGTACATGTATATTTAAGTTCACTGTACAGAACGTTTGTGTGTAAATGCAGGAGTGAGTCACCCTCATCCTCAGTAAATGCCTGCAACTTGTCTTTTCTTTGGCTATTAATGTACAGTATCTTGAGTGTATATTTATACATGCATACATTCAATGTAATATGTGAAAAAATAAATTTGAGTATGAAATTGAAATTCATTGCTTAATGTACCACTTAATGGTACATTAAGGGTTTACTTGAGGGTTTTAATGTGAAGATAGTTCTATTCATTATTTACCTAAACTTGTACCAATAAATTACTGTACAATATTTTCAAAACACTACTGTTGCCAAGCATCACATTTCCAAATACAGTACCTGTATTGAAGTCTGTATACAGTGGGTCCTGTGGTGTAGTGGTCAATTAGACCACATTTGTAAGGTCACAGGTTCAGTTCAACCAACAGGACAAAAGCGTTTAAGTAACGTTTCCTTTCATCTGATGCCTCTACTCACATGGTAGTAAATGACTTTTACGGTCATAATATGCTACAGTTAATTTACAAGTTAAGCACAGTCACACTGCTGGAAATCAATTACAGCTAATTGTCATCAGAACAAATGAATCTTTGGTACCATATTTTGGCAATATTCTATCTATGTGTAAACAAATGATAAATGTCTTAATACCTAGTAAGCAAAATTTGTAAGTAAAAGAGGAAAAATAACACAATATAGTAAAAATATATCAAAAGGTAACTATGCAGTAATTTGGTACAGTACAGTATTATAATGCTTTGTTTAATACAGGCTGTACACACAATAAATGAGGTAATGTGAGGTTGAAAGGTGAGGAAAATCTAAAGACTACATGGAAAATAAAAGGTTGACTGGAGTGTGTTGCTTTAATGATTACATGGATAGACAAGTGATACTTTGAACAGTTAATGAAGTACTTGTATATACAGGTGCAATGCAGATTCCAATATCATCATGTCTTATTATAGTGCTGTTCAATCACTTGTCTGTTCTGGATTTATTGATGGTTTTTCCCAACACAGTTGTTGGTAAACTTTACACCCACTAGCATCGTGGCCTCAAGAGGTGGCTTTTAGAATAGTTACGTCTTAATTAAAGCATATTATATACAGTACTATTTATTAGGTGCAATACCTACTATTTATACAGTATGGTATACAATTTAAAAATGCAAAATAATTGTTCATGGAAGACAGAATGACAATTCCATTAATACTACTGGGTTTAATATTTGTCGTTTTAACCCACTAGGAAGGGCACACTTATGTTGGTTTGATATTGTGCTAAAGGTCTGTCAACCTGTGAAGAGTAATTAAGGCCATGTCACTAACTTACTGACTGACCAATAAGTATATCTTAGTTCTGAACATACTGCAGTTCCAGACAAAAATAAACTCATTGTACAGTATATGCTGTACTGTACACTGAGACACCCGCCTCATGGTGTACACATCTCTTGTGGATTTTGTGAGGTACAGTATTCATGTCTGGTCTACAGTGTGGACAAGTTGCCAGTCACCCTAAGAAAGACTAAGATCAGGAATACTGGTGTGTTAAGAAAGTGAAAGGCTGAGATTTCTGTATGAAGTTAGGATGGTTTCATTGCCCCAGGAAAGGAGTTCTCAGTACAATGTGGTGGTGTATGTCATTGTCAGGGGTAGGAAGCCTGAAGGAAGTCGGGGGTAGTTGGCTTGTTGTAGTCCCCTAGCCATTGGAGACAGTGCTTAATCTGAAGGGTGAAGGAGTGATGCACTCCTCATATATTGCCCTTCACCCATTAAGTTGCTCCCTCTTGAGTAATATCCTACAAACCGTAGCATTGAATTGCCTATTGTAACAATAGTATTTATACTTGCATTCCTCACTAAAACAAATGTTTGAATTAAGCTGGATCTTGAAAATATCCTAGGGCTATTTTCATCCTAATTTCACTTCAGTGTTTTGGATTACACAACTGTTGTCATTTTTACTTCACAAGCAACTGTGCATTATACTTAAAGATTTACAAATGTTGAATGTAAGTGATAACATGTGGCAGGAGGGCAATCATTTGCAGGTGATGAGTCACAATAATATGGCTAAATTATGTTGACCAGACCACACACTAGAAGGTGAAGGGACGACGACGTTTCGGTCCATCCTGGACCATTCTCAAGTTGAGTCATTCATTTGCTGCTTGTTTAAGTCTTGAAATGTTCAGGTGTGCTTAGCAGGATAAGAGAGAATACAGATCAATATTTTGGTAATGAAGTCCCAAAACTATGTCTGGAGTGTGTGTACTTCATTGTGCAAAATGATACTTCAGGTTTGAGACAAAAAACAATTGTAACATGATTACAGTAGTCTTGGCAGTAAAGTACAGTACTGTAATATATCTGGTTATTTATTAACATATACAATCTATTTCATTTAATTCTAAGAATCTATATTATGCTGTAGTCTGCATTCCTAGCTTCTACTTCATTCATCATAGCCATCATTTTTTATTTATGTAGCATTTTAATATAGAAATTAAATACAAAATATAGCACTTCCATATTTATTATTACAGTTTTGCATTATTAATTAGCTATGTAACAGTTAACAATAATTTCCTTAATATAGTATTATATTTAGGAAATTATTATAATCTTTTTAAATTAAACTTGTGAAAATCACAGATACATTATTATACAGTAATGTTAAAATTATAAATAAATTTTATATCTTTCTTAATCATATACAGTACTATAACTTAATAGCAATGTGAAACAATAATTGCTATATGAAATTTATGATGCTGATAACAAAATTAAGTTCAGTATAATGGAAGTACTGTATGCCAAAAGTTAAAATTATTATATAATACCAAGCAATGATCTGAGTTAATGATATACTATAATACTTAGCATAGAATAAACTATTAATATCTGGTAATATTAATAGTCTTCCCAGCTTGGTGCCTTCTTTTGATAATTATTTGCTTTGAAAACACTATAAATTTACAGTACAGTACTAAAATTTAATTACAGTATTTACATACTTTAAACCCATCTGATTACAAATTTTGGATGTGTTAGTGACTGCAAGACTGTACCATTTAATAACTAAAATCTGTAATTACACAACCCATTGTATCTTATATATACTGTACATAAATAACAACAGTGGCAAAGGAACAGTCTCATTAGTCTTGTGTGAACATATATTTGCAGTGATTATTGATAATGAAAATCTTCAAATCCTAAATTATTTATCTGAAAAGGTAACACAGTTGCAGCATCTTTCTTGAAGTTAATACTGTACACACTGTAATGCTACCTGCAAATGTTGACTTCTCAACACTGATTACCCCTCTCACAACCATTATTTTAAATCTTCAAAAAGTTATGATCTTTGAAAAACCATGTAATATATATATACGTGTATATATATATTTATATATATATATTCTGTGCATTTAAGAAGCCCATTAAACTCCACAGATCATTTAAAAATGCAGTTAAAAACCATACAGTATATAGTATATGAATCTTGTTTTTTCTTTACATCAGGAGTACATAAATTTAGTTTTTTCAAGATTAATCTGCATATTCTTGAACTGTTTGTCAGTGAGAGCCTGCCATCTGTATCCCAATATCTGAGAAACTTCACATTCCATAGCCTCATAAGATAGTGCACTCTTACATAGCCAGGTATAAAATACCGGGGTCCAGTTTGGATTCATGGGCCAGTCTGCCTGAAATTAGAAAGCCATTTTACTAATGAGAGTAATGAAAGTTCTCAACAAAAATGTGATGACATGAAAATTTAAATATGTAAATGTCATTATTAATATAGTAGTACTAAATGTGTTAATGAAGTACAGAATTGATAGATTATATTTTTATTTGTTTATTCTGTACTATTAATACCTTTATCCACCTTTTGCTTAGAAACTTTTTTCTTCCCAGAAAAGATAGGTAATGATGAGTGTAAACAACAACAGTGGATTTTGTGGACTAAAAATATATTCATAGAAAGTATTGTAAGAGTTCACTCAGTATTCCTTATATGCCACCATTAAAAAAAATCATAAACCTGCCTGTTCCACCTAGAAAAGAAATCCTTAATTAAATTTCAACAATTTAACACCATCCAAAACCCTTAGAGAGATACAGATGGTTAGCTAATTTTAATAATATTCCTCTTGCTACCGAAATATGAAGTAAAACATATCTGACATGGTCATTTACCGGGCACACATGATTAAATCATGGACACTTTACAATACAAAGACTTACTGTCAGAACTCTCTTGTTCTGATAACAGTTTCACACCTCATAGAATGTCCTGATTTTAAACATTTATGCAAAAAGTATATTGGAAATTCCAAAATTCTTCAAGAATTTGAATTCAAGAATCTTCAAGAAAGTGTGATAACGTTTATATAACCGGAGAGAAACATACACTGGATTAAAAGGATGAACCCTCACGATTTCGAGCATAACTGACCTTTAGTAGAATGGCATTTCTACGGACATAGAAGAACTGAAGATTCTTTGCAGAATGAGCTATCAAAAGTACTGTTGCTGTAGACACCTTTTCACGTACAGCCTGAAAGTCAACACACAGCTTAAGTGCCATTAGCATAGAGTTCTGTGATGATTGTTAAAGTATTCAGTACTCGATTCATGTACTGTACTGTCTATAGTTTGTGTCAGTAGTGGAAAGTAATTAATAGAAATAAACTGAAGATGGTTTCATAATAAAATATAACATTATTTTCTTCTTTATCAAATAAACCATCAAAGTTTCTCATGGTGTTGGCACCATACACATTTAATTATTTTTTACCTTCTGATCAGATAGGACTACATGTTGATGACTAGTCAGTGCCAGGTTTAGGTTTAAGTTAAACAAGCTTAGGGCCTCCCAATTTGCATGGGCCTCATAAATTTTGTACTTTTGAATTGTATATGTATTAAATATGTCAGTAAGTTTGAGTTTGGAGACTAATTCCCAGGGGGCTGGGCCTAGCCTAACTTTAAGTGGTTTCCCAGTTAAGAATATTCTGTTCATAAAAAAGCCCCCACTTGTAACAGCGCCTCTAACCTTTTTTTTTTCTACTAATGCTCACAAGATGGTATTATGTATTGTTTTATTGTATGGGAGTATTGTTTTATATTGTTTTTATTATGGTATTGTTTCATTATGGGAGTTCATAAGTTAGTTCAGTTTGATTCTTTAATTATCACAATTTATATAAAAAAAAATCCTTCAACACAATGACTATAATCATATCCTCTAGTTTGAATCACTAGTCTGATATTTATTGTATTTGTTTAAAATCTTTTATTTACTTAAGGAACTCTGCGTATAACGACCATTGTATTGGCTTTACGTTGGTTGGAAGCACTGCAAGTTCCAATGATTTAGTAATAAACTGAAATAATGTCTTGGCATTTACAGCTTCGGCGGGTAGGCAATTCCTTGAGCTTATAGCTCTATGGGTTTTATAAAAACTTTCTAAATATTTCATCTGCATGATTATTAACTGAATGAAATGGGGAAGTTGATATTATAAACCAAACAAATGTAGAGCACTATTTATACTGTAGTGCAAAAATATAGTCTAATTCTCACTTACCAGAGTATGTATATATGGGCACTGTCTGACCAACAAGAGCAGAGAGGAGTCTATTCTATCATGAAAGGATCTTGGCATATAGAATCTGGGCAGCTGCTTGTGAGCAAACACCTCCAGATCATGCTTATAAAATTCAACATTTGTAAGCATCATAGACGTCGTGATCTGGAAAAGCAATATACAGTACTGTAAAAGTAGTTTAATATTAAATTAATAAAAATATTAAATTGATGCATAAATGTTCATAATAAGGCAAATAGGGGACTGGGATTTATTTATCGAAGTGTTAGTAATAAGACACCTTGTGTTGTTCTTCAGCTATATCATGCTCTTTTTATGCCCCATTTAGATTATGCAGTCCAGTTTTGATCGCCGTACTATAGAATGGATATAAATTCACTAGAACGTGTCCAGCGTAGAATGACAAAGTTAATCCTGCAAGTTAGAAACCTGTCATATGAAGAAATATAAATAGGAGGTGCCACGTATGGGCTAATCCAGGAGGCGTTTACATCAGTCTTTTTGTTTTATTGTACACAATAAAAATGCTTTATCATATTATATACTGTTCCTATATATTACTACTCTACTGGAAAAAGGCTGTAACATAGTTTTTACCTTAGTATTGGAGTTAAATCCATCTTGAATTCCCATAAGAGTTGTGAATATTGTACAGTAAATACGTACTGTATTATGCAGTTAGCACTGTGGAGTACTACAATACAGTTTATGAAAACTACTGTACACTGAAACTACTGCAAATTTAATGTTATCACTGTACTTAAATTAATTGTCATCACTATGTACTTAAATTTAACACTTGTTCTAACTGTACACTCCACACGTTCTTAGAGGTTTGCATCAGCTTTGCTGGTGCTCCCTGCTGCTGTGTTGGCTTCAACTGTTTCTGAGCTGGTGCTGGCTGCTGCTGTGCTCGTACTAGGTACAGCTGTGGTGGTTGATTTTCTGCTACTAGTTCTTGCAAAATATTGGCTCATTTTGGTTTGTTTCTTTCCTTTAGTCATGTTCTTGAGACAAATATCTCTTATCATCCTTGGCTCAACAGAATCCGTATCTGCACTTAATGATTCTCCGGCAATTTTCCTCCTCTTAACATTATGCCTGTTCTTAAATCTTTGCAACCATTCTTCACTAGCTCGAAAATCTGAAATATTCATCTTTTCTGCAAATTGCTCTGCGGCAGTCTTAATGGTGTGGCCGCCAATTGCCATACCCACAGAACGCTTCCCCACAGGCGATGGGTCATATTTTGCCCAAACCCCCCTGCGGTTTTCAAAATACCTGAAATGTCGGAAATTTGACTCCTGAGCGTGATTCTGACTCTCTGCACCTATTTTCATTTTCAAATTACGACTTTTTATACCGAAAATATGCCAATTACTGAAAACGGCGATGGGTCATATTTTGCCCAAACCCCCCTACAGTTTTCAAAATATCGTAAATGTCCGAAATTTGACTCCTGAGCGTGATTTTTGAGCTGAATTCTGACTCTCTGCACCTATTTTCATTTTCAAATTACGACTTTTTATACCGAAAATATGCCAATTACTGAAAACGGCGATGGGTCATATTTTGCCCAAACCCCCCTGCAGTTTTCAAAATATCGTAAATGTCCGAAATTTGACTCCTGAGCGTGATTTTTGAGCTGAATTCTGACTCTCTGCACCTATTTTCATTTTCAAATTACGACTTTTTACACCGAAAATATGCCAATTACTGAAAACGGCGAAGGGTCATATTTTGCCCAAATCCCCCTGCAGTTTTCAAAATATCTGAAATGTTGGAAATTTGACTCCTGAGCGTGATTTTTAAGCCGATTTCTGACAGTCATGAACGCTGAGGAATTAAGTCTATACACCCTACAATAGGTTGGCTTAAATTTCTCTCTTATATTGAATTTACATCATATATATTTCTAGATTATATTTTTAGTTTAACATTATTAGGATAATAAGAGTTATAAAAATACTTATTTTAGAAACGATTTATTAATTGTATTATTTGGAAACCGTAGGTCACTGAACTGTTGCGACGCATTCGAAGGAAAACGCACATGGTGCTGTGTGCCCATGGATTAGACCCGTCCACCTGCGCTCTTGTTTTAAAAGCTAGTATTGAAGCTGGTATTTTCTCCCCTGATTCCATGTATGACTAACCATCCTGTGAGATGGAATTTTACCATATATAAAGCTAGCTTCTCATTCTTCAGCCTTGAAATTCCTTTTCAAAGATAGTGGTGCCATAAAACAGTGAACGAAAATCATGGACACTCGGTCGCTTCCTTTTTTTTTTTTTTTTTGCAGGGATATTCCTGCGCGGGCCCTAAGCCTCTGGCTGGCCCACTAAGTGTTGCTTGTTTTTGTTTTACTTGGGCGGAGTATGAGTATTTATTACTTGTATGGTCGCTTTAGTAAGATTTTGCCATATGTGTTTAACAACTTCTTCTGCTCTGTTGAATCTAAATTGAAATCTTAATGGGTTTGTAACTGTGCACTGTGTTAGATAATGTTCCAGTGGTCTGTCGGGCATTTCTCCACAGTGTTGACATTTCCTCTCATCTTCCGGAAACTTGTTGTGTTGACCACTCTGGCTGGTGTTTGGTTAATGTGGTTCACTTGTTGTGTGGTTCAATTTGTCATATGAAGGAATTATTAATTGTAACCTGTGATATAAAGGGAAAGTTTTTCACCAGTCAGTGAACTTTTTCCCAACATCGTAAGCAAATCCGCACATCCCCCGCTTCAGCGAACCAGAGTTCGTAGAAACTGGTGCGTAAATCCGGCCTGAAAAGTGTGCGTCCAGACCGGAGATTCGTTGAACCTAGATTCGCCGAATTAGGGGGAACATTAAACAAATTCTTTCTGGTGCCTCTATAGCTCATTTGGACACTTAATTTCCACCTGTGTACCCTAGAGTGCGTGTACCCCTTGTGTTATTATCATATTTGTACACCAGAGGTGCACATAATTAGAATAACGTCAGCAGCATATATGAAACTGACAAATAAGGTCCGGCATTTAGAAAAGTGAGAAAGGAATCGACCACATCACTGTACACATACATCAGGACAGTTATTGATTGTGCACCATTAGCATGAAATCCACATTGTTGCAGAAAGTTCAGATATTTCTAACATGACCAGTGATATAGATAATATAATTGAGCTTACAGGATAGATTAAAAACTTAATAAGACTATTTTATAATAAATGAACATGAATGAACAATATATTTGATGTCCTCACAACATTTAGGATGAGAGGAATAAATTGTTTAATTTTATATACCTGATACAGTCTGTTTCCCGATTAAGCAGGGGGGGGGGACAAGATGGATCACAGATGGAAGTTGGAAGCACAAATGAGCCAGAGAGACAGATTGATGTACATAAAACAATTGTACTCGGTGCAGGTTGTGAATAAGTGGAATGAGTTTTGAAGTTTAAGTCATTGAAGACACCTCAACTTAAAATATTAAGAACAAGTTCGGCATAGTACTAGAATGTCGTGAAGTTTAATTGCACCAGGTACAGAGGCAATGCAGAGGGCAGCTGGAGCTAGTTCTAGCTACCCGTAGATACAGTCATGTAAGCACAAACATATACATACATAACTGGCAAATGTTTGATTAGCCTTTAGGAGTCGAGACAAGAAGGCCTTTAAAAACTATTCAACCTACATAAGACCGATCCTTGTGTATGCAGTTCCAGTATTGAATTCATACATTCTTGTAAATCCACTAACTAGCACGCGTAGCGTTTCGGGCAGGTCCTTAATCCTAATTTCCCTGGAATACGACCCCGCCGAATCGTTTAACAACCAGGTACTCATTTACTGCTGGGTGAACAGAGGCTACAGTTAAGGATTGGCGCCCGGTCAATCCTCCCCGGCCAGGATTCGAACCCAACCACAATACGTTAAGTAATTAAGATACGGTTGTGGAAAAGCCTCAGGTGGAGTCTGTAAACACAGATGGAATGGATATCGATAATAGATTAGAGAGGTAAATTTAACCAGAAACTACAACAAATAATACGACGAGAAACGTGAAGAATGTGTCATTGCGTTAATTGTTCAGCGAATGGGAAAATGGTGCTTGAGGGGACTAATGTTGGACTCTGCAAACAAATTTAGGTGATTACATCGAAACAAGTGGAGAGACAAGTAATCGCGGGCATATATAACACGGCAGCAATCATTAACTATGATGATATACTCACTCGTGCATATGGTGAATCATAAACTATACTCTTGACAGGAGCACACAGTTGATGAACAATATCCATTCTTGAATTTCCTTCAATACAAAGATGAACTCTAAGTTTAGGATTTTTCTGGCGGCATTGTCTCCAGGCTTTGTAGCTAATGGATCGACAGTTCTCAGTATATTTGTTCTGTATTATGAAGAGATTTCGTAATGCTGTATCTTCCAGCAGCTGAAGAAGTTCTTCACTGATATTCTGCAATGAAAACAAGAAAGCTATACATTCTAAGTTTCAAGTAAATTTACCATGTATGGAAACGAATATGTCTGTACTCACCTATATGTTCTTACAGGGTCGAGCATTAGCTCCGTAGTCCCGCATTTCTAACCATTAATCAGATAATGTAATAAATTTGATGCCTCGTGTTTTTTTGTCGTACTTCATTTTGAAATTACTTATTAAGGTCACCTGGACAATCTTCTTGTAGCACATTGTACTTGCTGGCAACTTTTCCACTAGTGAAGTGTTTCCTGGCATCCTTCCGGCCCATCTTCGTCCCCAGCTTGCAACACTTAGTGGGTCAGCCAGCGGCTTAAGGCCCGTGCAGGAATATCACTGCAAAAAAAAAAAAAAAAACTTCCATCCCTGTCCCCTGGTCCTATCAGTTTTTGGTTTGAACATTGTCTATTTGTCGCTGTCCGTTCCTCTCAATATTTTGTACGTTGTCATTGTATCTCCCGTTTCTTCTTTCCTCCAACGTTGTGAAGTTTTCTCAGCCTCTTGGTGTAAGTCACCTCTGTTCTGGGACCATTCTAGAAGCATACTTTTTAACTTTCTCTAGTTTTAGCTTGTGCTGTTTTAGCTAGGGACTCTAGGCCGGGGCTACTTAATCAATAATGTTCTGTCGGCATCTTTTTCTAGGTCCATGAGAGATACTCAAACATTTCCAGACTATTTTGCTGGTGTGTTCCTTAAAGGTGCCATGTTTGTAGTAATGTAACCCAGATATTTCTCATTTCTGCCTCTGGGGTTTGTCTTCAATTTAACATACGCTGTCCATGTTCGCCCACCACTCAAAGGCTCATTACTTTGCATCCTGAAAGAAGATTAGCAGTCATTTTTTTTCTCGTAGTCCTCTTAGTTCAGAAACTAAGTTTATAACTAACATTTGAACTTTCTAGAATTTTGCTTCGTGCATTCTAAAGTGGGTATTTTCCATTGTCATTTTCATCTTTATTCAATCTGTTGTATTAAATTACATTTACCCAAGAAGTTTGTGCTTCTAATTTACCTAGAACTGTACTATAAAAAATTCGTTCATCAAACTCATTTCCTTTAAATAAACCTATTTCCTAAAACTAAAAAGGTTCCAAGAACGAAGTTTCTCGGGAGTAAAGATGGCAACAGTACCTGAGGAGAAATGGCTAATGTTCTGAGATTGATGAACACTCCCGGATGCAGTAACGTCAATCCAACTTTAGTGATATTGATCAAAATCAGAGTCTGGAGAGTTTCACAGCATGTAACACATACCTGCAAAGGATATAAAACTGTTTTTATTTCATTGTCATATAATGCAGTATTTACGACATTAATTACTAACTTAATCCTTCCCTCCATTTCAATCTAGAAAGAGCAGAGAATGTTCAAGCCAGTTAAACAATATCAATGCTCGTTCAGTAAAGACCATGTAAATAATGAATATCATATTGACCGAATTATTCACTGACATATATCATAAAGGTAGATGTATATTGCAGCATGCAACATATAAAGACAAGTGAAAGGTCATATAAGAAGGTCCTTCACTGAGGATGTACGGATAAGGTTTCCTCCCCTAATGGTATCTAAGATGATAGCAGTAGCAGGTTGTGATGGTTAAGGTCCTCCTCTGAAATTGCAATGGGTAGGTAACTGAAGGAAGGTCCTGAAGGAAAGCCCTCAACTGTATGCGATCATATCTTAATAACAGAGACCAGTATGTAGCCATCAATAACATAACCTCTCTACTCTACCATTAAGAGTGCCACAAGGCAGCATTTTAGAACCCTCCTATTTCTTATATACATCAGTGACTTGCCAAATGTCCCCAATGTTTTTAAACCCATTTATCCTTTGCTGATGATACTACCTCCATCTGCTCAAACCCCAACCCACATATTTAATAATATTGCAAATTACTAAATAAAAAAAGTTCACTCGTGGATATCAACCAACAAATGCTAAACATAGAAAACACTCACTACATTTTATTTGGAAGCAATCCATCAAACCTAATTCACTTTCAGATAGACAATGTCAACATTAATAGTAAAAGGAGAGGAAATTCCTTGGCCTTCACATAGACAGGAGAGTAAACTTCAGAACTCATGTACAACGCAAAGCCAAAATTGTCTAAACCTGATGGTATACTCTTTAAAATTATATATTATGTTCCCTGCTCTGCTCTTCTTACATTATACTACTCGCTAATCTATCCCTAGCTAACATACGGTATCTATGTATTGGGTTCAGTCACTGCAAACAAGCTCAAGCCCAGCAAAAATTTGAACTATAACAAAGTCTGTCTTCAGAAAACACACAGGCCCCCCCCCTCCTTTGTTTAAATCCCTAAACATACACTCACTCCACACATTCTCTTGTGCTATTTACATTTACTAGACCTTATTCATTGATTCTAATCCTGATTTGAAACGCTTCCTTGATAGATGTAATAGAACCCATGACCAAAAATAAATATATCTTTGATATTCCTAGAGTCAGATGAAATCTGTGAAAACACTCGATGCAAATAAAAGAATCCAGTCTATGTAATTAGCTCCCTAATGAATTAAAATATTGGCTAACTACTTTATTCAAAAGTAAGTACCTAATTTGTCCTCAAAGTTCCCCACTTTGTACTACCCACTCACCCAATCTAGTACTTAAGACTTGTACCTAATTTGTTATTTTGCCTTACGTCATCGAGTAATTGTAATCCATCAGTAGTGTTCAGAAGGAGGTCTTTGATCTCGAGAGTTTTGAGCGCTGGAAGGATACCCAAGACACGCTTGAACATGCTCAGCATCAGCCCGCCTGTCCCGAACACAACCTCCTCTGACCGCTCTGCTATGTGACACTCAAAGTGAAATCTATAAAGAGCAAGACAATTAAACACAAATATTGATATTTCAAACAGCATTGTAACTCTTTGACGAAATATAAATGTAGAAGAGAATGAGTTAAAAAGATATCATCAAACTAAAGGAATCGACAGCTCCATAAGCGCAGAATTCAATACAAAATCGTAAATGCATTGTGTCTATTACTGACATTCCTATTCCGAAAATCTGTACACCAACGAAAATTTCCTTTTATTTGGAAATATATAAATGTGACCCCCCCGTATCTTCGATTCAAGAAAGATAGAAAATAACAAGATTCTGGACCCATCAACCCTAACCTCACACGTCTGCAAGTTCATGGACAAACTCTCATATAAGTAACAACACAGCATGGTTTTTAGAGATAATAATAATAACAATAATAATGTAAAATAAGAACTTTAGGAGTACAAAAGAGTAACATACCTCAATGTGTGTACTTGTCCCAGTATACTTGGGAATTTATCATTCAAGTAATATGATATATTCAAAAATTCATACAAATTAAAGAGATTGTTCATTGGTTTAATTATTAAACTTCTTATATGTTCCCCTTTCTTTGTGAGGAACAATGTGGCTCGGTGATGGTCGAGAAGTTTCTGAAATCAGAAAAATAACTTTCATTATATACAAAATATTTAATTTATCAAAATATTTAATACACAATGTTGTGCTACATTTCTATATCACCATACTAATCTAATATTTTATTATTATGTTATGTAAATATATTTGTGTATTATAATATCAATGGAAACTGAAGAAATGCGCACTGGGCAAATTTAACTAAAATAATACTGTTAAATAAAATTAAAGGCAGTGAATTACTATTAATGAAAGCAAACCATAGCTCCATGATAGGGTATCACCGTAGGTATTAATCTAGGTAACTATGTATTGTGTGGAAGCTTTGCTGGGAACAGATGTGAGGGAACCCCCATGTTGAAGACTGATATACTGCGTTCTTTCTTTCGTATTCTTAGTTTCAACTGTTGTAAATAAGTCAGGATCATATTGATGAAGTTCATATATAAATATCACAAACTCTTAGGTTTACTAACTTGCCATCCAGAATAATAGTTGAATTTTCTCTTCGAAAGTAAATCATCATGAAGAAGAAATGTGTACCATACTCTTGGAAAATAGAATGCTTCTCTCCAGTTTCTACACACCTAAAAATACATGAACCATGAAACGTTTAAAGTCTGCTCTAAACGATCATTTCTAATAATAATAACAAATACAATTCAAATGATGCTACAGTAAATCCAAAAAAAAATTATGTACGATAAAGTGCATTCAATAACTGCAGAACATGCAGAATATGCAGCGGTTGTATGGTGCCCATATCTTAAGAAGCACATCAACAAACTGGAAAAGGTGCAAAGATGCAACTAACTGGCTCCCAGAACTTAAGTACAAGAGATACGAGGAGGTTTTAGAGGCATTAAATATGCCAAAATTAGAAGATTGAAGAAAAAGAGGCGATATGATCACTACGTACAAAATAGTAACGGGAATCGATAAAATTGATAGGGAAGAATTCCAGAGACCTGGAACTTCAAGAACAAGAGGTCAAAGATTTAAACTTACGAAACAAAGCTGCCGGAGAAATATAAGAAAATTCCCTTTTGTAAACAGAGTGGTAGACGGTTGGAACAAGTTGGGTGAGAAGGTGTGGAGGCCAAAACCGTCAGTAATATCAAAGCGTTATATGACAAAGAGTGCTTGGGAGACGGGATACCACAAGCGTAGCTCTCATCATGTAACTAATTGGGTAATTACACACACATTGTATCGTTGACAAGCGTGGTAGTCAAAATGCTAGAAACTGTAAAACTGTAGTAACTTCAGTTCCCACTACACCAAGGCGGAGATCAGAGAAAGTGGCAGAGAAGCTGATAGAAGACAACCGACCAGTCCGGTCGGTTGTAAGATAAAATGTAGGAAATATAAGAATCTAAGACAGTTGTCATGCCCTTCAAGATGACGGAGTATGGATTAACACTTGGCATATAGAATTTAATGTGAATAAATGTCATGTTATGAAATGTGGAATAGGAGAAAATAGGCCACATACACACAACCTACAAATTATGTGAAAAAGTTGTAGACTTCTGTAAAGGAGAGCCTAGGGTGGTTCTGGATAGAAAAGTGTCATCTGAGGACCACATAACCAACATTGTGCGAGAAGCATATACTATGCTTTCTAACTTCAGAATCACTTTTAAATACATGGAGGGTGAAATATTAAATAAAAGGTTCACGACTTTTGTGAGATCAAAATTGAATATGCAAGATAAGATAATGTTTATTCAGGTAAAAGTTCATTAATTTAAAATGAGCTACAAACAAAATGTTGGATTTCTAGATAGAGCTAGTACATACTATGCCTAAAGCAACTAATAGGCATAGCGTTTCGGACAAGGTGTGGGAAAAACACTAAGACTAATACTTAAAACTTGCACCAAGCATCGGTTACATGATGCCCAAGAAGCACATCAATAAACTAGAAAAATAAAAAACATGCAACTAAATGGCTTCCGGAATTGAAAACCAAAAGCTATGAGGAAAGGCTAGAAGTGTTAAATATACCAAAGCTAGAAAATATATGAACAAGAGATGATATGGTTACTACATACAAAATAGTAACAGGAATCAATAAAATATACAAAGAATTCTTGAAACCTACAACTTCAAGGACAAGAGGTTATTTATTAAAACTAAGGAAACAAAGCTGCTGAATAAATATAAGAAAATTCATTTTCGCAAACAGAATGGTAGACGGTTGGAACAAGTTAAATGAGATGGTGGTGGAGGCCAAAACCGTCAATAGTTTCAAAGCATTATGTGACAGAGTAGTGAGAAAACAGAACACCACGAGCATAGCTTTCAACCTGTAATTACACTTAGGTAATTATAAATAAGCTATGATAGAGAAAATATGATGCATTTATTTGCAAATAATAAAATACCCACTGACCTGTGAGGCACTGTGTCGTTCCTCGAGTGAGAGGTACTGGAAGACTTGTTCCAGTATGAGATCTGGGAGGATGTGCCAACTGCTGTATTCATGATTTGGATCCTCGTCATCTCTCTCATCAATAGTATAATATAATGTTTTGCTCCCTTTTTCATCGAATACTGTTACAAAAATTATTAATGTAAATTTTTTGTAATAACTGCACGAAATGTTTTTTGAAAGTTTGTGTAACATGCTCAGATTCTAAATATTTTAAACAATATGCATAGATGGAACTGTGAAACACATACCTGATGTAGTTACCTAGTCTTCGCTGATGAAAATCTTAACTTTTCTTCAATCGGAACTAAATGTTCAATATTTAATCAAAGTTTCCCGCACTTTAGCGAATGATCTTAATTTGAGACAAGGTTTCTAATTTCGTGAATTCCTTTTCATTAACTGAGTTATCATAGCAGGAATACAAAGAATCTATAATCCAACCCTTAGGATTGCCACTTAAGTCAATTGCTGATATCTGGTAAGAAATTATGACTTTCAATTTGTGTGTTTTTTTCACTCGTCTATAACATTCAGGCTAAGTAATAACAAAATTAAATGTTACATTAAACTTAATTTATTGACAACAATAAATAAAAGTTCAATATGGCCCAACATATAGTATGGGCCCCGCTGAATGGCTCGCATTGCTATTATTGTTACCATTGCTAATATTAGCATTGCTGTTATTGATGTCATTACTGCCACTGTTATTATTGCTATCATTGTTAACATTTAACAACATTCGACCAAGCCAGCGATAATCAACAGTACACAATGAGCCTTGAATCAGACAACAGATTTAATTATGATTTTCTTTGTTTTAGTTCTTTGCATGGTAGGGTAGATATTGATGATGCTCGATATGTTACAGCTATGTATATATTTGGGTTCTGTGATCAACACGAGTGATAAAATTAAAAGCTCATCGCCAAAATATAAATTGTAGACTTACCAACTTTCTAGATAAAAACGTGAATGACAACAAATATGTGTGCAATCGACACAGTGGTAGAGTTGTAGTTGTAGAGTTCTAACTTATGTCGGAATCTAGGCCTATGTTATTGTAGGTAATGCAAGAGGAGGAAGATGATGATGAAGAGGTAGGTGTGTGATGTGTCTGAAACTATGCCTATATTATCTTTGATAAAACAAAGACACATACCCTTACCTGGGCATGTGTACCGAGTGCAAGGTGAAAATGATGCCTAGCACCAAAATATGAGATTTCTCTAAATCTAAATCTAGAACCAATACATCAAGCTAGCTGGGATAAGCCTTAGCTCTATCCCTCAATAATAAGCAATATTTTCTCTCGCTTACTGACCTTCTATCCCCACTTGACCAATCGCCCCTCTGGGATATCCTTTCTTTGCTTTCTAGTTGTAGTAATCGGTACAATCCTAGCACTGCCAGCCCAGACTAGCCAGGAGCAACACCACTTCTGACTGCCTCGGTCCAACACTCCCAACACCGCCGCCAGCCAGCAAAATGACACTAATATTGTAACACTGTAAAAGTGTTTGGGTTAGTTTATTTAAAATATATATAGAGTACATGAGTCACAGACAAGGATCTGAGAGGCGCCAGTTGTCTGCCTGAGATCTCACACCTCAAAGCGTTAATGACCTCAAGTGACCTGAGGTCAGATCATGAGAATTTCACCTTGCTTCCGCTAAGCTCTTAATTGTAGTCTGGTAGCCTTCAAACAAGCCGACGTTTAAGGAGTGGCTTGGTAGTGCCGGAGGCTATCTATTTGTGGGCGGAGTTAGCTACTAGGTTCCCCAATAAATACTCGGAGAACTATCGAGCAGGAAGCATTAACAGACAGAACGGGAGTCAGCAGAAGCAGAGAAGACAGCCCTACCAGGGAGGCTGTCGGCCGGCAGGGGCGAGACAGTCTCTGTCAAGCTACAGACCCCCCCCCCTCTCTATTCAACTTAGACTCAGTCCTCGGTGAGTGAACATTTAGGTGACTTGGTCGTGTTTACATATGTTGTGTGATGATCAGGGGCAGTCAAGTTGTAGGGTTCTCGATTTCTTGGATGATGACTCACTTTGCATATTAAACTGGAACATTTTAATTGAATTGCTTAAGTTATGATACTTATCATGGAAAATATAATTGTTGAATTTATTATTTAAATGGTCTTTCACTGTGTTTCCTAGAGAGTTGAGTTGAGGTGAGAAAGCCTCTGTGGTTACTGGTTTCATGGATTTATTGAGTACATGTTTGGAGTTGATACATGATAAAGATGGGACCATACTAATAAGGATATCTTGATAACATCCTTTGAGAATATTTTGATACAGACAAGTTCCATTCCTTGTCTTGTATGTAATGGTCTAGAATGGATGGTGGCAGCATTTCGACTTCTACTATCTACTCTTCTACTTCTATCTACTCTTCTACATCTACCTATCTACACCTCTCCCTCCACCCCTCTCTGAACTCTCACTTTCAACTAATGACCCTCCTCGCTCCTCCCACATCTCTACCTCTCACCCCAAACCCTCACTAATTACTTCACTATTCATTTCTTTCCTTTCGCTTTCTCTTATACGTTTGTGGCAGTGATTCTGTATTCTAGAGTTCTCTCTAGAGTTTCGGGTAACTGATCCAGTTACGGCGCCTTGTAGTCTTAGCACCTAGGTAGTCAAATACCTAGGTTACAAGGTGTTGAACCAGAGAGGTTGCCTTAGGAACTCTGGGAATGCTCTAGAATAGTTAGCTAACTGGGGACGGGATAACGGACTAGAGAGAGCTGTTTCCCCCGGCCTCGTTAGTTAACTGGGGGGTGGAATAATGGACAAGATAGAGCTATTTCCCCCCACCCCCCGTTACAATGATGGCAGCGGTGTTGAACAATGTTGTAGGTAGTTGGTGTTCTTTTAACATTGTTCAGTCCCACGTGTCTTTTTGCCGCTCAGGCGCTATCAGGGAGATCTTGACAGGTGTTTATTATTCGCGAGTTAGCGAATTTTTTTTCAGGCTAGGAGATAGTGATTCTCTAGTGTTGTGGTTTAGTGATTTTGTGAGTTTTGTGGTGTTCAGGGAATGTTCACCAGAACTTGCGTGTGTAGTGTTTTATGCTAGTGATAAGATTTGGTGATTTTGGAACTTAGCGGTTGGTGGGTAGTGGAGCTTACCTGAGTGTGACAGGTGACCTCGCATGTCCCACGGGGACACCCAGCCGCCGCTGGTCTCCAGGTCAGTGGGGAGTGGCAGGTGTAGTTCTTAAGTAGTTTTAAGTGGTGAGTCTGCTCAGATTATTGCGATCGACTGTTTTACTCCATTTGAACGCAATAACCCGAGGTGTACTGGTATTGTACAGCATGCTAGGGGGAGGCTTAGTATGTCAGTAGACTTCACGTTGGGGACGCTCGACGTTAGATAGTCTGGTCACAGGGGTGGCAACAGTTTGGGGTTGTTGACCGGCGGAGAAGCTAGGGAGACACTCTGGGTCACGTAGGTGGCTGTAGGTTAAGGGTGGGAGTAATGGTTAATTAAGTACGTAAGATTAGGAACGGTATAGTTAAGTTAGGCTAGTGTTTTGTCTATTAGTTTTGATATTTATTGTGGAGATTCGTTGTGTGACAAGTTAAAAGTAGTGATGACCTTATTCTCTCTTCTCTAACTTTACTCTGTTACTGTTTTATGTTCCACCAAGTTAATATCATTCAGAGTTAATTGGATTATTAAAATTTAAGTGTAGTTGTTGCCAGGAGGAGAGCTTATAATTGGACTGTGTGAACCCTATACAAACTACAGGGTCACACAACAAGATGGAACACGGGTATTGTCGCCTTTATGTTCAATTCACAGGTGGGAGCCAGAGGAGAGGCGCGACGCATATACAGAAGAGGGAGACGGCTGCTGTGTACCACACTCAGGGACGTTCCTCACCACCACGACGACCAGCCCCCTACCTGGATGTCAGGGCCACCACCACCACCATCACCCCAGGGGACCCCGAGATACAGCCCTCTCAGTCGGTCAACATTGGTCTACCCAGTGGACCCCAAGACGGACGGACCCCAGGGTACCCCAAGACGGACGGACCCCCAGTGGACCCCAGGTCGTTCTGCAGACGACCCCAGACGACCCAGTAAAGATGGAAGAGGAGCAACAACGACTCCAGTCTGTCCCACCAACATCGGTCTACCCAGTGGACCCCAGGACGGACAGACCCCAATGGACCCCAGGTCGCTTGTCAAAGACCCAGGGGAGGAGGAAGAGAGAAGAAGGAAGAGAGAAGAAAGAAGAGAGAAGAAAGAAGAGAGAAGAAGGAAGAGAGAAGAAAGAAGAAAGAAGAAGAAGAAGATAAGACAAGCTGAGTGAGACACGATACCTAGTGTCCCTTGCTGGTGTCAGCATCATTGCATGGAGCGTAATTGCAAGACAGGATCGTTTGCCTTAACTGGCCGCCCCTCCTACAAGCAGGTAGCCCTGTTGAGTGATTCTTCCTGTGTCGTGCGGACTTGATGTGGCTGTCAGAAGTAGCTCTCTGAAGGAGGCGTGCTGGAGCAACAGGGAGGAGAAGAGTAGGATGGGATTTCTACTGTTGGCAACTATATGAAGGTCTCGAAACTTGTAGTCCCTATAGCTGTGAAGAACCCCAATATACGTCTCTCATGGTGACTGACGTAGGGCCAATTACAGATCAGCTGGGACAACCGAATTCCACGGTCCTGTGCACAGTTCAAGTAGTAACGGCTTTCGGGTTGACCAAGTGTTGTTGTGCGTTAACGACGGAGAAGCGACGGAGGCAGTTGTGTTGAAGAAATGTGGTACAGGATTATCTACAAGACCAAGCAGTGACGTCGCCCAGCCAGAGACAATGGACGTCTGTCTACATATTTCATTTTTTAGAGTAGGATGATGTATATTTGTTTAGCTAGGATGTATTCTTTTCGTTAATAAAGTTGTCGCACACAGCTAGCTTGCTTTAGCAGTGTTGCAAAAACTTTATTTTCGGGGAGAAGGGGAGATGTAACACTGTAAAAGTGTTTGGGTTAGTTTATTTAAAATATATATAGAGTACATGAGTCACAGACAAGGATCTGAGAGGCGCCAGTTGTCTGCCTGAGATCTCACACCTCAAAGCGTTAATGACCTCAAGTGACCTGAGGTCAGATCATGAGAATTTCACCTTGCTTCCGCTAAGCTCTTAATTGTAGTCTGGTAGCCTTCAAACAAGCCGACGTTTAAGGAGTGGCTTGGTAGTGCCGGAGGCTATCTATTTGTGGGCGGAGTTAGCTACTAGGTTCCCCAATAAATACTCGGAGAACTATCGAGCAGGAAGCATTAACAGACAGAACGGGAGTCAGCAGAAGCAGAGAAGACAGCCCTACCAGGGAGGCTGTCGGCCGGCAGGGGCGAGACAGTCTCTGTCAAGCTACAGACCCCCCCCCCTCTCTATTCAACTTAGACTCAGTCCTCGGTGAGTGAACATTTAGGTGACTTGGTCGTGTTTACATATGTTGTGTGATGATCAGGGGCAGTCAAGTTGTAGGGTTCTCGATTTCTTGGATGATGACTCACTTTGCATATTAAACTGGAACATTTTAATTGAATTGCTTAAGTTATGATACTTATCATGGAAAATATAATTGTTGAATTTATTATTTAAATGGTCTTTCACTGTGTTTCCTAGAGAGTTGAGTTGAGGTGAGAAAGCCTCTGTGGTTACTGGTTTCATGGATTTATTGAGTACATGTTTGGAGTTGATACATGATAAAGATGGGACCATACTAATAAGGATATCTTGATAACATCCTTTGAGAATATTTTGATACAGACAAGTTCCATTCCTTGTCTTGTATGTAATGGTCTAGAATGGATGGTGGCAGCATTTCGACTTCTACTATCTACTCTTCTACTTCTATCTACTCTTCTACATCTACCTATCTACACCTCTCCCTCCACCCCTCTCTGAACTCTCACTTTCAACTAATGACCCTCCTCGCTCCTCCCACATCTCTACCTCTCACCCCAAACCCTCACTAATTACTTCACTTTTCATTTCGTTCCTTTCGTTTTCTCTTATACGTTTGTGGCAATGATTCTGTATTCTAGAGTTCTCTCTAGAGTTTCGGGTAACTGATCAAGTGACGGCGCCTTGTAGTCGTAGCACCTAGGTAGTCAAATACCTAGGTTACAAGGTGTTGAACGAGAGAGGTTGTCTTAGGAACTCTGGAGGTGCTCTAGAATAGTTAGCTAACTGGGGACGGGATAACGGACTAGAGAGAGCTGTTTCCCCCGGCCTCGTTAGCTAACTGGGGGGTGGAATAATGGACAAGATAGAGCTATTTCCCCCACCCCCCGTTACAATATGACACTGTAGGCCTTGTGGCCTACAGTGTCATATTACACCAATATTTAATGTAATTAAATTTAATTCATAATTTAATTTCATTAAGTTAAGTTAATTACATAACGTTACGAACAGTTATCATTACAAGTCTTCAGTCTTCATCTAAAGAAGAAACAGTTAAATACGCTTACACCAACAAATTTCTAGTAGTTAATCTGTCTATATTCGTGATGCCTTGCCTCCTCTGGGGGGGGGGGTCCTCATCCTTGTGTGTTGTGATGCATTTTCGTAAACATTTTAAATCCAAACAGGTGTTTGAGGTTACTATGTAAGTGACAGTATGTGTACATTTGCTCTCGAAAAAAGAATAAATCAAATCAAATATAATATAATAGACTATCTTGTTAGGAACAAACAAGCCGGTAAATGAAGGCAATGCATATGACAGAAAAACACAAATATGGTGCATAATCTAATATAGTTAAAGTCATTTTTCAATAAGGTTAAGAAAGAAATCGAAAAAGAATACCATTAAAAAAAGAACCATGCATTTCAGGGGGAATTCCGGGTTCGAATCCCGGCCGGGACAGAAATGGTTGGGCGGGTTTCTTATCACCTAATGAACCTGTTCATCTAGCAGTCAATAGGTACCCAGGAGTCAAGTTGTTGTGGGCTTGCATTCTGGGGAGGGTCAGTAGTTCTACCTTGGGGAAGAAGGGGAAGACCTCGACATAAGCCAGTGTATATTATATATATATATATATATATATATATATATATATATATATATTACATATATATATATATATATATATATATACACTGGCTGCCTGTCCCCCGACACGATGAATTATTGCTATTATTATATCACCAGGTAGTACTAGAGGGTGGGTGAGCCAAGATCACCAGGTGACACTACATGGTGAGTGAGCCAAGATCACCAGGTGGCACTACATGGTGAGTGAGCCAAGATCACCAGGTGGCACTACACGGTGAGTGAGCCAAGATCACCAGGTGGCACTACACGGTGAGTGAGCCAAGATCACCAGGTGGCACTACACGGTGAGTGAGCCAAGATCACCAGGTGGCACTACATGATGAGTGAGCCAAGATCACCAGGTGGCACTACATGATGAGTGAGCCAAGATCACCAGGTGGCACTACACGATGAGTGAGCCAAGATCACCAGGTGGCACTACACGGTGAGTGAGCCAAGATCACCAGGTGGCACTACATGATGAGTGAACCATGATCACCAGGTGGCACTGCAAGCTTTATTCTTCGTGTAATTGGAAACTGGATGATTACAGGCAGTGTAGTCTAGATGAGAGAGCGGTTAGTTCCCGCTCGGAGCTGTTTGTGCTGGTACATCTACCCCTTTTGAGAGAAGCACCCGGGGGGCAAGGCATCAAATATATCGACTGGTACTTAATAATATTTGTGAGAATTTGTCAAAAAGTCTTCAACGAAAATAATTACCAAACCTCTGGGTCTTTGTCCAGGGTTAAGGCTTTCACATCTTTTTAGTTACTATAGTTCACAATACTAGTATTGCACTGGCTGTCTATAATTATAGCTTGCTACACACCAAATGTTAAAGTATATATGATATACTTTAAATAGATTATCAATGTTAATTAAAGATCCTCTGTCAGCATGAGTAAAATTTTCAATGACTAATATAAGTAAACAAATTAAAATTTATCCCAAAAGTAATTGTATTCATCATTTTACTTCCCTTAGTTTTTTTGATGAACTACGAAAACTCGGTACACACATATCTAATTTCCTAATCTATAACGGAAGCTCAAATCTGCACGTGCTCTGTAAAAGTAATTAGCATTCTTACCTCTTCTTGGCGTAGGCTGCAGCTTCACGGATCACTTTCCTCTTTTCCGTTTTTCACACCAGATATCAAAAAGATATTTTTATACACTAATATTTGTGTAAAACCTATGTGAAGAACAAGCTGTATAGCTCATGTCGTAAATGTTGTTTGTTCCCCTGTTACTAAAGGGAAGTTTTGGACTACAGGAGCAAGTTGAATTACTGGGTCGCCGTGTGACGGTTGTGCTGTAATTTGGAGAAATACACAAACCCTCACTATTAAGTGAAGCTGCAGGTATAGTAAAGACAAGATCTTCTATTGATGCGTGATAGTTTAATATATTCAATTATAGGGTTTAAGGCTAACGGTATGGATGGGTGTGGGGTTTTAACTGGATTAAAATACACTGTAGTACTTGACTGAATCTTGTTATTGGGAAAAGTAACATAGTTCATTTCACTCTTAAAAGCGTCTTACTGCTTCTGTTCACTAGGAGATTAATATGAAAGTTATGAATATACCACTCGCAAAATATTCAAACATAAACAGGGGATATGCTTTCTCTTGCATTTTCTGAAGCAAAAGACATCCATTGGGTAATTAGGATCCAATTGGTAGTAAGAAAATGGAATACTTGATGAAATAACAAGGGTTAAGAATTCTATGATAATGATATCTTTTCTTGAACCAAAACAACTTATAAAGATTTACTTAAAAAAATTGTGTTATAACACAGGGTCAATTATATATACTGTATTTCAATTTTTTTAATGGAAGCGTGCATCTGCAACACTCCCCTACCATGAATTCAATACAGAATTTCTCTGTTAGTAGTATTAAATTAACATGAAAATAAACTCTTATATGACATGTGTGACATACGTACGAAAGGGGTCCCATAGTTTCACCCTGGTTTTCCGTTGATGGTTCCCAGACACATAACTGGCTCGCCCTGCCGCTGGACTCGATGTCATTGAACTTGACGTCATTCTCACTCACTGCTAGTACTCAATTACTATTCATATGAGTAGAAGAGTGAAGATATTAATCACTTGTCAGTAGTTAGGAAAGTACAAAACCAGCTTTGAAATTAAGTAATCAATCAGTGCTACACTTCAGGACAGTCTGCCAGTTTTTCATGAAAAGCCTTGGCATAACATCTTCATACATCTGCTACCTCCAGAATGTTTCCAGGATTTGGTATTCATTTTTCAGTATTGTCCTCAAAAATTATCTGGTCACTTCCACAACGTTCTATGCTGGCAATGCACAACTATTTATAACGTTCTTAAGCTACATAGGTGTGTTGCATAATGTAATACCACGGCTGTACATAATTGGATTTGTGATTTCATAAGCTCTTTAAACTTTTAATATAAAAAGTTTTACCATAGCAGGATTGCAAAAATTGTATATAATTTGACGATTATAGGGAGATTTGAAATGTCTTAGTATACATTTCATGAAGTTGTTGACATGGATAAACTGCAACAATATATATATCAGGGAGAAACGCAGCAGTTGGTGTTTAGAATCTCCAGCAAGTACAAGAAGGTGCCCTTCTGCTGTGTACCAATAACTAAGAATGAAGAAGCATAAAAAAGTAAAAGGACAGTCAAAGACCAGCAAACAACCACTCAATATCAACCATACAACAACTATATCTTCTTATAATAAGAAACTGGAAAAATAGAAAGTAAATGGGATAACCTTGTGCAGAATTAATTCAAATAATAAAACCGACGCTATTTATATGGTCATCTTCTAGTCTATAGCTTTTGACAAATAAGTACAATAATAGACATGTTTCTAGGAGCTGCCGACAAATATAATTTAATATATACGACTGTTGAATGAGCTTGACGCATATAAGTCGATGGAACATGACCTTATAACGGTATATCTAAACGTAAACACTAATATGTTCTCTATAGAGACTAAACAAAATATTTATAGGCCATTACAACAATTTCCTGTATAATGGCCATAATATAAATACATCAAACAATGTCTAGTATTAACTGACGTTCCTGTTCCAGCAGGTCCTATTGCAACGCTTTTCTGGGCTCTCTGATTCACACCACCTGTTCTAGGGAGCAAGCCCCTTGTTCTTCACATATACACACGTGATATCTTGCCACATTACATATGTAAAAGCGGAATGACGATTAAACACGCGCACACAGCAGTAACTGGGACACCTGCAAGTAACAGACTATTTTCAGAATTGGCAAACACAGCTGCCAAGCGAGCACCCAACGGCATCTGCTCAACATTAATCCCTTTAATTTAATTTTTGAGTATATCAATGCAACGACAACCAGAAACATACTAAACAAAATTAATATAAATTATTTGAGCAAATGCAAAATCGAATTACGTTTGTACTTCAGTAAATTTTGTGACTGACGCTATTCCCCGGGCAATTGGCAGAAGTTGACAGTTTCAGGCTACCGACACTTGTACATACATTTTAATTTAGTATAACTGGTACTTCAGGGAAGTTCTGAAGTACCCTGAAGAGTACTTCAGGGAAGTACTCTTTTCGCGGAGGGCGAGAGAGCATCTGAAATTTGGAAACAGGGGCTTAGCAAAGGGGCCGCATATGTGGCCCAAACACATATGGCAGTGTTCAATATAACTCATAATTCAACATGAGTTAAAATTTGTATTTCAACTCATGTGGAATGTATTTGTGGTGATGCAAGAATGTACACCAATGCTATATACTCTCATAACCTTCTTGTAAATAAATAAATAAATTCGTTAATTTAGCGTCGACTCTACCCACTGCATCTGCTCCCCACCTGTTGACACGTGACTCCTGGTTCAAACTTGACGACGAGTTGCGTAATTCGGCTTCCCACTGGACGCCTGACGCCTTGTTGTCTGGGGTCACAGGTGTCGACAGACTCTTCCAGGTGATCGTCTGTGTGGAGTAGGATACTGGCCACCCACAAACATATCAACTGTGACACTAGCTCTCCACATATGCCAATTGCTTAATTTAGAAACTGTACTTGTGGACGATCTCGAACCCATTGATGATGTGACGACTTATACTGAATTTTGTAACTAGCTCATCAAGATTGTAACTTGCTTAGGTAAATGAATTGTGGGGATCAGTCCCTGAGCCCATTATGTGCCTCTATAACCCTTTCCACTACCGCCCACAAGATGGGTATGGGGTGCATAATAAATGAACTAAACACAAACTGGCCATCCTGGGGGACGCCTGTGTCTCACCGAGCGCTCGCCGTGCGGTGTGTTTATCTGCCGTAGGATGCAGCAGCTTTTTCCACCGTCTGGCGGTGTACAGTAAATAGTTCAGCCTCCGGGCTTAGGGGAAGCTTTTCCCAGCTCGCTGGACCGTCAGGGTGTAGGGGCTGCCTCTAACTACAACCACAGCTGACACTCCTCCAGCATGCTTTTTCGTTCTTCGTCTGCTCTGCAGTCGGTGGGGAAGGCTTGGAATATTAACCCAATTTAAGGATCTATGATATAAGTGTACTGCTGGATTTAACAGCTGGTTTGGGACCAATATTTACATCCTCATTTACGGTAAACATTCAGTAATGGTAGATTGTGGTTGCTGTTGAATTTACTGAGCTTGCTTTGCCAATGCTTTCCACAATGTTTTTGTGAAGTGGGTGTAGCAATGTTCCTGCATTTCACTGGAATGAATATGGGAATGTAACTCTTTCTCTGCAGTTGTGTTTGGGACGGTCTGTTTATCTGTTTGCAAGAGGTAAATATTACCGACTTTTAACAACTTTGGATTTACTAACCATTCTGATTTAGGAAGAAGATAGCCCTTTGCTGGTCATTAAATTGAGTGGATAATGTTTTAACTTTATCATCTTTCACTTTCTGTAGGCAACCCTTCATCCCCCCCACCTTGTTAGTGGAATTTTGCATCCCACTATGTATCCTGTATAGAGGTACAGTAGTAGTTTTTTCCGAGTTATTCCCACTCTAGCTATCAATGGTTAAATTTTGCCTATAAGTTTTACCCACATTGTTTGCACCCACTTCCTACCTAAACATTTGTTACCTTTCAGAACTTGTTCTCAAGTCTTTGTTAATCCATGCATTTCTGAACAAATCCACAGGGGCCGTGATGAGGGTTCGAACCTACGTCCGTGAGGATCCCAGACGCGCCTTAATTGACTTGAGTTACGACATGGTAAAAGAATTGCAACCGGGAAATCAACTTGACCTACCACAGATCCTGCAGTATCTCCGAGACAAACCAGGTTTTTACATGCACCCAAGCTCTGCCAATAAGCTATTCTACCTATTCGCCCTTACTTAATTGCACACAGAAATCACAATGGCGTGATGCATCAAATGAATGCATCATTTGACGATTAAACATTTGACATCAAATGAACAAATCCACAAGGGGAATTGTTCATTTGATGCATCACGCTATTTTGATTACTGTGTGTCATGCATTTCTACCTTGTTGTTTGTTTTTGACATTACTCCCTGCTTTGTTTACCTTGCCATTTACAATTAACTTGGTTTAAAATTACCTTAGCACATGTCACCTTGTTACAGTGACTAACTTGTTCCCCAGATTTTGATTTAGAATTATGGCTGCCTTGTTTGATTTACTTTATTCTTTGATTAATTTGTTGCCTAATAATTATTGTCATGGAAATGTTTCATTAAAATCCATGAATCCCTAATTTTAAATTTCTTCATTTTAGGATTATTTAATTCTTGCTTGCCCTTGTTTAGGCTATCTTGAAATGTTAATTGCCCGAAACGTTGTGCGTATTAGTGGCTTTAGGCATAGTATATACTAGCTCTATCTAGAAATCCAACATTCTATTTGTAACTCATTTTGTATGTACTGTATATACTTTTACCTGCATAAACTACAGTATTTATTTAATTTAAATTTCTAGCCTTGGTAATTGTTTACCTTGGGTCTAGTGTACCGAGGCTTTACATTCTATTTGCTTACTGTGTACTATATATACTTTTACTCTAGCTAGTTATTTCAATAAAAAATTTACCATTTAGACTTTTTTCTTTCAACCTTTTCCCTTGCATGTGCATGCCAAGAGCTGCCCTTATTAATTTTACAAAGATATACTGTATCCTTGTTCAGTATTTCAAGTGTACTTTAATGAGAAGTTAGACATTTAAAAGCATTTTATGTAACTGGGAAAATATTGTATGTAGTCGTTTTGACCTCCATTAACCATGTTTAAATTGGTTAGGTTTGGGATTGCATTAGCATACGAGTTTGAGAGGCTGAATAACTGATGTAGTTAATTTAAATAAAATATGCAAGTAATAAAGTAGTATTTATTAGTGTTGGATACATACATATGTATTAATATACCATGTATATCTAGATACATGGGTAGTAAGGTCAGTTAGATATACTGTACTAAAAGTAGAAATTTTTTTGACAAGTGAACGAACCTTGAACAAATGTGACTGCCAAACTTTTATCTAGTATTCCATTGTAATTTATTTTCTCTACCTGAAGGGATGAAGTTAATAGCTAGGTAGAATATAAGGTATTGTAGTATATATGTAGGTTGATAAACTGACAAAAAAGAGCAATTGCGAGTACATCATTTGGTGGTGTGCATGTGATCAGACGTCAATGCCTAGCCACAAGAGTAGCCACATGGGGTGATTACTTCAGTTGCATCAGTTACTTTGGAAGGGCAGGATGTATGGCTATTTCTCTGTTAAGTACTATATGTATTGTTCTTTGTTATTATATGTAATCACCAGGATAGTTAAACCATAATGCAATAGGTACAACAAGGCTAGTAGGTGGGGCATAAGAGCAAGACCTCGCTTCCCTGAAGTCACTGATAGGTAAGCACTTATAAGTATGCACCTGTAGACATTATTATTACTTTAAGAAAGTTTGTAGGAATGTGTGCATGTCATCAATGTTATTTGAAGACATATAGTCTTGTACAGTATATTATTTGTTTGCTATTAATTAACTAATTTGATCAGTTATCCATGCCTATTGCATTCCTGTCTCTCCTGTGTACTGGACTTGGGAAGTAACAAATTAAGTAATGTTAGCATCACAAGTGAGTTTAATAATAAATTGTGTAAGTTTTATAATTGGCATTTGGGAAGTTTTGTGTATACCTGTTAATTAGTCCACTCACTTCTTGACAAACAAGTACTGTAATGATAATAGAGATTACAATACAATGACTATTGAATTGCTGAGACCCTATTCTAATGGGGGTTGGGGCTGTGAATTAACCCAATGAGTAGAAAATTATTACTTTAATAGTGCCACTTGTTATAGTAGCCACTCCTATAAGGATTGGATGAGTTTTCTGGGTTGAGAAAACCATCATTGAATTATAAATTATTTATGTATTAACAATAAATGTACAGATACATACCAACAAATGCATAAATAAATAATAATTTGTTTACTTATAGAAACTTCATTAAACATTTTTTAATCAAAGTATCTGTAACAATAAAATTAGAGCAGGGCTATAATAAATCTATAATAATGTAGATCTGTAGATCTAAATAAAATTTAGATCTATAGATATCAAAATATATATACAGTATGTATATTTCCCACGTGAAAATAATTTAACAAAAAACAGATTAATGCTTTAATTCACTGCTAGCAACTTGAGATAAAACATTTTAAAAACTAAGGCTGGTCCTAGGAATACATAAAATGAGGTTTCCCAAAGTCAATTTTAATCATTTTAAACTGCTTGTCGGTGAGAGCTTGCCACCGGTACCCCAATATTTGAGACACCTCATGCTCCATGGTTTCGTAGGATCTTGCATTCTTACAGAGCCATGTGCAGAATTCTGGAGTCCAGTCTGGATTACAGGGCCAATCTGCCTACAATTATATAGAAATTGTATTAAATACCTACAGTATTGCCAAAAGTCTACATTTAAAATCCAGCTTAAAACTTTAACAGCTGACAAACAACTCAAAGCATTTAAGGAAAACAAGAACATATATTGTTAAATATAACACTGATTTAATTTAAACTTGTTCATTAAAAAAGATAATTGTAGAAAACTTTTCAACTGTTAAAAGTTGTTACAAATATGAACTGCAGTTCTGTAAGCAAACTATAGTAATGTATTGTACATTGTTAATACAGTATAGCAGACTTATAAAATGTGTTTTATGCGGTTGATTTTTTATGTACTGCATTGTGATTTTAATTAATGACAAAATTTAAACTGTGAGCATTATTACTACATAGAGTACATTCAAGCTTTCACTAGGGTCCAGAGAGAACTACGGATTTCGCTCCATCCATAGTCCAACAGTACTTGTGGAATTTTGTGCTGTTTACACAGAATTTTACCAAACTTTAGTACATTACATCATGACCACCTAGTCATTATGCCACATTAAAGGAATAGCAATCCTAAAGAAATTAGAAGTGAGAAGTAGGTAGAAATGAGTTTAGGTAAGGAAAAATATATATTAGTATATTTTGGTAGCAGTCTTTCGTGTAAACATATGTTGTTGAATATGACCGAAAGGGTAAGATTAATAATTCTAACACGAATCTTCTCAATTTTTCTCACGTTTTTCTTCACTGTCGAGGGTAATTGAAAAATTAACTCTCCAAAATTCATTCTTTACATCTTTATTTTTGGTCTGACGCCTGAACGCGTTTCGTAAGGCTTCTTACATTTTCAAAGACTAGTTTACACATGACATACATCATACTAATACTCGTTTTGGGTGAGGTGATATAGTACAAAGGTTCTGGGTGAGGTGATATAGCACAAAGGTTCTGGTTGAGGTGACAGAACATGAATCAATGGGTATAAAATACCCATAAAAATTTATACCCATTGATTCGTGTTCTGTCACCTTACCCAAAACTTTTGTGCCATATCACCATTAAGACCATTCTTTTTACTAACCTTGAGAATTATTGCATTTCTGCGAATATAGTAGTAATGCAGATTTTTTGCAGTATATGCCACCAAAAGGACTGTTGCTGTGGAAATCTTTTCTCGTATGACCTATATGAAATTTAAACACAAAGAAATAACATTCTACTGCTGAAGCTACAATTAATTTAAAATTAAATTTAACCTTCAATTAAATATGAAAGGAAATGTGTACAGCACATATATAAACATGTCACTACAGGCACCTAAATAAAGGAATGAATTTAATATATCATACATTATTTAAAATTAACAATAATAAAATTTTAATAAAAATTATAATTTATAGGGTAAAAATTTTAAACCATGCATGCACAACCTGTCATTTGATAGATTTGTGTGTGTTTTGACAATCAAAATCAGAGTACAGTATAGTACAGCAATGTAAATTATGAATAAATATTAAAAAAAATCAAGTATTGATGCAATGACATGCTTTTTTCAGATTAAACAACTGGGGCCCTAAGTAGACTACCAAGTTAAGCCAACCTTAGATGCACCAAGCCACTAAGCCCCAGCCTTACCTAACAGGAGTCAGTAGGTAAGGAGAACCTATCAACATCTGACTCTCAACAAGGCAAAGAGAGCTTCAGGATTAGAAAGTGAAGGGATGACGACGTTTCGATCCATCCTGGACCATTCTCAAGTAATAGTTTTCAATATTTTAGTACCATCATGACATTTTGTTAGGTTTGTGTACATTAAACCTGTTCATAAAACATTAAAGCAAAATCTATTTTTTTTATACTAACTACAGCTAAAATACACTTAAGCATAAACCATGTTCATATTATAAGATAAACAAAAAAGAAAAGTGAACTTGCCAGTGTGTGAATATATGGACACTGTCTGATCAGTAAAACTAAAGATGAGTCAATTCTGTCTTGAAATGATCTTGGCATGTGGAATCTGGGTAGCTGCTTGTGTGCATACACTTCGAGATCTTGCTTATACAAATCAATGATTGTAGGTATTACTGGAGTGGTAACCTGAAAACCACAAGGAAAATATAACAGTATTACACTTAAAACAACTTGTTGTAGCCCAGTTTTTAAAGACCAATATAAAGCAATAAAAAACTATACTGTAATGGTAAAATACTTTTACAATTACAAATTCAACCTATAGGATTAACATGGCTGCAAAAGGGCATCAGCTAAGGGCTTTATAAATAAGTAATGCCTAAGTGTAGTTAAAGAATGAGAGCTATGCTCATGGTGTCCTGTCTTCCCAGTACTGAACTCTTTGTCATATGATGCTTTGAAACTACTGAGGATTTTGGCATACACTGCCTTCTCACTTATTTCAACCATCTACCACTCTGTTTGCAAAATATAACTGTCTAATATTTTGTTGGCACCTTTGTTTCCATAACTTATATCTATGCACATATAGCTCCCTGTGTAAACAAACAAAATGCCCCCAACTGTAGTCTTGTACAGGAATCTATGACTCACACACACCCCAGGGCAAGGCTCTCCACTCCAGTGGAGAGCCTTGTTAAGTCCTATGTATTTATCGTGTGTGCACACAAACATGCGTGTCACATTGGACATGCACTGAGTCTCGGTCCATTGATTCTCATTCCTGCCAAAAAAAATTCTGTACAGACTTTATAAGCAGCTTTTTATATTCTATTTTATTATGCCAGTAAAAAAATTTATTCTTTCAATTCATACAGTATTTATATTATTATATATTACAAAATTAATTTTCTTTTAATGGTTTGTAAATACAGTATTTAATTCAAAATGATCTACTACCAGAAATTTCTGCCAAATATCCCCAGTTTGCTAACTGTAGATAGTAAATATGGGTGATTGTAACCTTTCCACCGTTTTCCACTGGATGAGGGGCAGTGTGCAGGATAAACATTTCAATTATGACACTACCTCTTCACATATATGTAAGTTGCATACTGTATACAGTATGGTATATTAAATTTTGTAATTATGTAGCTCATGGAGATTCTTACTTACTTAACTAAAGGAATTTTGGGGTTCAGTCCCTGAGCCAATTATGTGCCTCTGTTACCCTTTCCACTACTGCCCACTGGATGGGTATGGGGTGCATAATAAGTGAACTAAACTAATTAACTTTAAATATTAATTATACAAAAGACACTTACATTATTCAATAGGTATTCAGAAATGTATGCCATATAAAATCAATATAATACATTATGTAATGAGGACAAATTGAAAAATAATTATAAGAAGACTCACTCTAGCATAAGGATTATCATAAACGATGCTTTTGACTGGAGCATGCTGTTGCCAGATGATTTCATCCTTTGAACTTCCTTCATTGCAAAGATGAACTCGAAGCCTGGGATTAGCTGCTCTGCACAGTTTCCATGCTTTGTAACTGAGGGATCGTCCATAGTCTGTATATTTGTTTTGCACTATGTACATATTTCTTACTTTTGAATAAGCCAGTAATTCAAGAAGATCTTCACCAATATTCTGAAAAGATAATTTTACATATATGAATATGACAAACACTGTTCCTATAATCCACATATAAAAATGTTGCTTTTATTCGGTAAAATTTGTCCTCACATTGGTATCCTTAGTGATATTTAGCACCTTTTGATTATCCTGCGACTTTGATGGTGCTACATAGTCTCCCCTGGCTTGGTGCCTTTTTTGTTTATAATTACTCACTTTTATTCAGTAAAAATACCGAGGCATATACAGTGTGTATATATATATATATATATATATATATATATATCATGGTTAGACTTACTTCATAATAGTACAGTAATAATAATTCATTATGTTGGCGGGATAGGCAGCCAGTTTATACACATTGTACATGTTAGGCTTATATCAAGGTGTCCCCTCTGGTTGACTTACTGACCCTTCCCAGAATGCAACCCCACAACAAGCTGACAAACTCCTGGATACCTATTTACTGCTAAGTGGACAGGGGCATTAGGTGATAGGAAATACAACCAACCATTTCTGTCCCGCCTAGGACTTGAACGCGGAATTCTCAATTTTGAGTTGAGAATGAACTTGACTACTACAAAGACCTAAGACTGGGACTTGAGCAATAATACAGTGCATTAATTACAGTAATAGATTTCCATACAATAAACTGTCACATCATGTTCATCACAAAAGGAGATGCATTATCTCAAAAAGACATACATTATCTAGCTCAACACAAATGATATTATCTCACACTTGGGTAAATAAATAATTACAATCAAGCTGTACACCAGCCTGACTATCCCATAGAGATCGACACAGGTGAGATCAAACATCCAAGTCTCTGCAAAGCCAATACACGAGTTACTATTCTTAGTCTTTAAATAGGATGAAGATTTATTAAGTAAATAATGAACAGTTATATTTGACATATTTGGAACATTGTAGTGTAACCTCAATAGAATGGACTACATAGGACCGAACCCATTCTAAACTTTTAAGGTTTCTGTTGTACCAAGGTTTTTCTCTATTTACTAGTGCTGTATTGTCAAAAAAATCTTACTATAAAAGCTTTTTTACCACAAATGTCAATTATAAAATACAGTATAATCATACTAATAATAATAGTACACACAGAAATCACAATAATGTGATATATCAAATGAATAAATCCACAAGGGCCTTGATAAGGTTTCGAACCTATGCGCTGGATGTTCCCAGACGCACTCTAGTCAACTGTATTGTATTGTCGTGGTACAGTTAACTAGAGCACATCTGGGAACATCCAGTGCATAGGTTAGAACCCTCATCAAGGCCCTTGTGGATTTGTTTAACTAATAATAATAATAATAATAATATTTTACAGTATTGTATAAGATATACAAAGGATCAGATAACAATGGTTACTTAGTAGGCACAGTATTTGTATATTTTATTAAGCCACTAATTATGTGCATCATTTTCAGGTGGGTTGCTTGGGTTTGTACTGTTCTGGTTATGCATAACTGTTGTATATATATGGAGTGGCAAAGTGAACCATACATTTCCCATCGCACACAAGTAAGTGGTTTGCATTAAATATCCTTGAGTACAAGTGGGATATTACCTTTACATACAGTACAGTACCTATATTACTAAGGTCACTGAAGGCCATTAAGATGATAATACCTGTGGAGAAATGAATAATGTCTTGAGGTTAACAAATGCTCCAGGATGAAGAAGTGTGTGTCCAAGTTTTGTGATATTAATTAAGATCAGAGTTCTTAGAGTTTCACAGCATGTGACACAGACCTGAAAGAAACAATAATCAAATTAAATATAAACTTCAAAGCATTATAGCAACAATATATATATATGTATAAATATTAAAGCATTATAACTCATATTTATTTATAATTTAACAGAAACTACATATTTTGCATGTCTTGCAGAATCCAATATACTGTACTTCTCAAAACTATGACTCATTTCATTCACACATTCTTTCACTCTATCGAACTCGTCATAAGTTTCCCCTTCTTCCCTTATCTTAGACACCCCATTCTCTGACAAAAATGTTACAAGTATTGTTTTCTTGTGACATACTACACCATCACTATCTTAAATTTCTTTACCATTCAACTCTTTATACCTTGTGACTATCTTGTGATGGGACTGAGGGTTTCATAACTCATCAACCCACTCACTCACCAGGCCTCCGAGTTCTTGGCCTGAACAACGAAGATGATGATATTCACAGCCTTTAATCTGATGTTGGCATCACAAGTCAAGCTGATCAGGAATATTCTGAAGGAACCGTGCAAAGTTTGCTCTTGAAGAAAGTTCAGGTTCTGTTTGTAATTCACCTTATATCAGATTGGATAAAAAAAATGGAAAACTGATATTTTCATAGTTCTCTCATCATACTAATTGTACATCATCTTTTAATTTGTTCACTCTATCACTCTTCTTGCTATTAAAATGAATTATATTAGTTTGAAGATTTGGAGTCTACTAAACAACATATCGCTTAAGTGCAGCCTGTATCAAATCAAACTTAATAAAGCTCACACTTAAGTAAATGTTAATATTATAGGTTTGCCTTGATTAGTGCCTTTATCCAGTTTTAGGGCTGAATGAAAATGAGTAACAAATGTTCTCTGTACATTGTATAGGTCAACATAATCCCCCAGCCTGGGGCCTGGTGGGTGAGTGGACAGCAATCGGGATTTGTAGTCCTAAGGTTCTGGGTTTGATACCCGGCGGAGGTGGAAACAAATGGGCAGAGTTTCTTTGACCCAGATGCTCTGTTCACCTAGCAGTAAATAGGTATCTGGGAGTTAGACAGCTGCTACGGCTGCTTCCTGGGGATGTGTGTAACAAAAAAGAAGGCCTGGTCGAGGACAGAGCCACAAGATCGCTAACTCCTGAAATCATCTCAAGATAACCTCAAGGTAAGAAGCCTTAGCCCCAAGGCTACAGCTGTTATGTATTACTATATCCCCTAACATGTTAAACACACTAACATATGATATAAAGAATATATTAAATAATTAATACAAGTGGTAAAAAGTTATAATGAAATGATGGGAACTAGTGAACAAATTCTCCTTTCAGTATTGTTGTGAAACATTAACAAATTTGTCCTCTTAAGTTTATTTTGCTGCTATCACCAACATAATTTATAATTAAACTTTTATTGACAGAAACAGGAAGTGTGTACTTAGGCTTATTGAGGTCCCCATAGGCCAACTATGGACATTTCCTAGGATGCAACCCATAACAGTTGTCTCAGGTACATTTTTGTTGCTAGGTGAATGGAGGCATTAGGTAAAAGTACCATTTTCACTTCAAATTTACAGTAAGTCTTAGCATCATCCACAAATTTTATGATGTGATTTGAAATACTATATTCTCATCTATGTCAGTGATATATATGACAAATATGGTTGGCCCCAAGATGGAACTTTGCAATACTTCACTCCCCACATTTTTCCAGTCAGATTAGTTTCCATTGAGAATGACACTTTGCTTTCTTTATCTTAACCATTGTTTTATCCATTCTAATATTTAACCATTTATTCCATAGATGCATACTGCATCTACTGGAAGTTCTTTGCCTGAATAGCTGAATATATTTACATGAAGTATAGGCCTATTTCTCTAGTGGCCTTGAAGGGGACATGAAGCTCTTAAATTTTTAAAGATCTCTCATTGTACCTGAGTATTTTTTCCAACTGGATTTTAAACTGAAGTATTATCTTGGCATTTAAGGCTTCAGTGAGTAGGCAGTTCCATGGGTTTATAACCCCATGGATGAAAAAACATCTGTTTTCAGTCCTACATTGAGGCTTGTTGAGCTTGAAGCTATTGCCTTAAAAGGCAATAGCTTCAAGCTCAACAAGCCTTGAAGATGTGGTCCAACACCAGCCCAACAAGATGTGGTCTAGATATCCTTACTAATTTCTATGACCAATATATTTATTTTGCATGAGCTCATTTACTTCTGTTTTTTCTTAGTGGTATAACCCTTGGAGGTGGAGCGTGTGCTTTTACTATAGTGACCTAATGGTTACCGAGGCATGATGGGTCCTTAGTGAAACCATAGGGCCTAATTGGCACCATGTTGGTGACAAAGTGGATTCAAACGAAGTTGTAAAGTACCAATGCAGCACCTATAGATGGTGGCAGGTCCCTAGTGTATGTAATGCTTGATAATAGTTCAAAATGATGATCAGATGACCTAGTACTGCATACTTCATCACAATCATAGAGTTGTGAAAATCATAAGAACATAATCAATATATAAATCTTAAAATCATAATTAAATTCAATACCCTTACTGCATTGCCAAAGTAACATTTATGATGCTAACCACATTTGTATAGTAAACAATCATGAAATGATGACAGGATTTTTTCACTGGCCTAGGTAAACTACATTACATCCATATTAATGTATTATATCCGTATTAACATTATGGATATAAAATCTACATCATAATATCTAAAATCAATGTACAGTACAGTATAATAATGATGAATACATTGCCCCAGGATTAAGATACGATGATAACCTCACTTTAAGGGTTAAAAATCACAGCAGCACGGCATTTAGCAGTTGTCATCAATGTTATTTGATGAGTTTTCAGCACTGTCAATACAGCAAATAGTTCACAGCATGCTCAGCATGAAGACTTGTACAACATAGAGCACTGTTCTGCACAGACATCAATCAGCACACAGCTTCCATTAGCAGAGACTGAAGTTTAGATCAGCAAACAGCACACATGTGGTACTCACAGACCGATCTACACTGTAGGCAAGACAGTAGCATAACTCCTCTTGTTTTTTGTTCGGCAATTACCTGCATTCAGTGTTTATCCTCATCATCAATGTGGTGTTTCATGGTGCTGTGGCTAATGACAGGTTTAAGGTAGAAACAAGGTCATTACTTGGTTATTGTTTTTAATTGTATTGTACTGGTACATGGCTAGTGGACCAAGCATATGGGCATCTTGCTCTTAGTTTACTACTCAACATCTGACATTAACTCTGACACTAACTGCTCCTTATATCAGTCACATAATGGTATACCTGGGCTTCCATATCTGCTTTCCAAGTTCGTGTCAATCGCAGCCCTTCCTTCTCACTCACTTCACACAGCTTCTCAGTAGTCATTAACCATTCTACCTGCTGATTTTGTTTGCCACTTTTATTCACCTCACAATTTCCCTTCATTAACTATTTTCATACTGTAATGTAAATAATTTTCCTGAATAACAGATTAAAGCAAATACCTTACCTCGTCAAGCAACTCAAGTCCTTCATGCCCATCTAAAAGTAAATCTCTCAGTTCCAGTGTTCTAAGTAGAGGGAGTACTCCCATGACTTTTTTAAACATGGCCAAAATTTGGCCACCAGTGCCATATACAACTTCTTCCGAGCGTTCTGTCTGCTGGCAAGCAAATCGGAACCTAAAAATTGGATGGAATGAATACCATTCTACAAAGTGTTGCACACTAACTTATATAATATTAAAATTAAATAGTGTTTCTAAGTATTTGGCTTTGAAAGATGCCAAAGTACATGATAACTTTTGTCAAAATTAAATATTGCAATAAAACAATGGCATCAATTTTCATTTTAGCTGAAAGAGAAGTGAATACATTTTAAAATATAAACTGAATCACATGATTAAACTAATTGCTGGTTAACATTTTGCAGCTGTCAGCAGTCCATTTTAAAAGAGCAGAGCATTAAAAGAGCATTACTGGCTGTAGGGAAAGCATAAGAGGAATACTGACATTTAAAGCAGATACATAAATGTGAATGTTACAATTAAACAATTAGAATATTGGACTGTATACAGAAGAGGTGTAGGTGTAGTGTACTGTATACAGAAGAGGTGTAGGTGTAGTGTACTGTATACAGAAGAGGTGTAGGTGTAGTGTACTGTATACAGAAGAGGTGTAGGTGTAGTGTACTGTATACAGAAGAGGTGTAGGTGTAGTGTACTGTATACAGAAGAGGTGTAGGTGTAGTGTACTGTATACAGAAGAGGTGTAGGTGTAGTGTACTGTATACAAGAGAGGTGTAGGTGTAGTACTGTATGTGTACTATATACAAAAGAGGTATAGATACTATATTAATAAATAACATTGCAAAGTGAATGACATATTTCAGCTAGGCTGCATCTCTCTCCTTGGAGATAATTACTTATCAACACTCCTAATGTACACAATATGTGCTGGATATACACAGAAATTATATATTGTAGAACCCAAGTGCTTTTAATAATTAAAATCACAAATTCCTAGGAATTACTGTTCTGTATGAAGCAGAAGTTTCTTTATTAGAATTTGAAGATATTTAATCAATCAAGAACTATATTCACGACACTCAAACAATATAAGATTTAATCCAGTACTGTAATTATAACACTTTTAACACCTTGTTTATATTACACCATACCTTAAAGTGTGCACATTATCTAGAGTGCCCGGGCAGTTGTTATGCATATACAGTGAAACATTTAGAAATTCATACAAGTTGAATAAATTACTCATGGGTGGGAATATTAATGTTCGGATATGCATTCCTTTCTTGGTAAGGAAGATGGTGACACGGATATGATCCAGTAATTTCTGCAAATAAAAAAATGGATATACAGTACTGTTTTAAAGATATTTTATTTTATTTTTTTAATATTTGTTGTAGTGTTAGGATCGTGATACACAAACCTGACAATCTCCATATTAAATTATTTCTTATTTCCATTCAAATACAATTTAAATTTTAAAATTTTATTGAGGTTATATTTGTCAATTCTATTTCCTATAACAATACAAAGTATAAATCTAGAAATGTAAGAGTTAAAATGCTTGCTATTAACTAATGAAAAATTTATCTAAAGTATTCCTAGACTTATTTAGCTATCATGAAGTGAGGCCATATACAACGAGAAGCAAGATTTCTATACATGGACGTGATCCAGGCTAGTTAAACTAGCATCTTTTTAATATGAATTTGTAACAACAAATAAAAAACAAGAGAATAAAACAGAAAACAAGGATAGACTTAAAAAAAGTTTGAGTCACTATGAAAGGCATCTTTCTGAGCTAAGCCATTCATTTGCCACCTAATCTGTTGTATCATTGACAGGATTCATAACCATCCTGGCTGGACATTATTTTTGGGAAGGGGCCTTCTCCATGGGTCCCTGAACAAGTCACCAGGTTAACTTCAAGCTTAAAGCACTCCACCTGGCCCTTATGAATCATGAGTGTCTACTGGGTACCAAGGACCAGAATCTGGCCCTCTCAACAGAGGCAACAAAGTCTGGATACAAGACTCCTGATGCTTGGGCATATTGGCTGGTTCTTGGGTGCTTCAATGGGGAGGTCTTCAGCCCAGCTTTCCCCTTCCCTCTCCCACCCACCTTTCCTTTGATGTTGTAGGTCCAAACTTAACCTGTTTTGGGTGAGTCAGATGCTGTAGTGGTTGGGTGACATCTCCAAAGCCAGGTCCCTACATGGCTTTGGAGGTGTTAGTGACCACAACTTGGAATAAGTCTGCACCATCTTTTCCTTTCCCTGTGGGTGTGATTTGCCCTGTTACTGGTATTTTCCCCTCCCCCTGGTTCCAGCTCCATAGCATCCAAGGATTTCACAGTTGGGGCAGGGTTTAGCTTAAGGTGTAGCTCAACTTTCTTGGAGTATAAGCTCATTCACATCAACAGCGGAGACACTTGAACTCTGTCCCAGAGTCTTCATATCAGGCTTCTGGGGATGAGGGTGAGCTTGAAGGGTGTCCATGGATGCCCTTCAACTTTTCTTGGACTTTGGTTCTCTCTCTGGAGGGTCTTTTGCTTCAAGAGAAAATAACGTTTCATATCCTCCTATGTATGAAGATGATTGCTCAGCTGCTTCCCCTTGGGTTTGGTTCCAGATCCTATTCAGTGCCTCAAGATTGTTATTTCTGGAGGTTTCTGTCTTCTCGCATTTCCCATTTAGTGGCTGGCACAGATTTGCTTTGGTACCTCCTGTGAAATTTGGACTTCTCTTTGTTGAGGGATCTGGCCTCTTTTTGACTACAGGTCTATTTTGGCTTATTGGCTGGGGTCTGAGGTTCCAGATTCATCCTGACTGGCTAACATCCCCTCTTTTCCTTGGGGGCTTGACAATGGTTCTGTCTGACCCACATTCATGATTAGTGAGATGTGTTCTGTCTTGGGCACAGCACTTCTTATTCTCTGCTTGGGGACTATCTGTTTGCTCCGGTGCTCCCCAGGAATGTGGGAAAGTGGCAGCTCCATGTACAGCTGTCTGTACTGTCCAGGGTTCTTATTGTGAATGACCATAAGGTGCGTGTGCATTTAGTGGTAGTCTTGTGTGTTTGGGTCCTCATGGAGGGGCTCTGGGCAGCTCCATGAGGATGTGGCTTGGTACCAACCCGAGTGTGGAAGCCTTGAGACCTGCAATTCCTGCCTTGGTAGCCTTACCCAAGATGCTTGTCCCTTTCCATTGGGAAGCAATGGTAGCATTTTATTCAACCCACCTTGCATGTCAACAGGCTTTGATGGCCCATTTGTTAGATTAGATTCAGCTTGATCCCTTTCTTTTTGTCTGCCTCCCCTTTCTCGACTCTCCTCTTTCTGGAGTCCCAAGTTCTGTCTGTGGTAGCTTTCTCGTGTCGATCTATCAATCTTTTGTTGTTTTCTCTGGGTTCTGCTCTGCTTGGAGGTGGGTTGGTAGGGTTAGGACCTCGCCTACTGTTGGTTGATGTAGATTCTCAGGAAAGTCAGATTAGAAGATAGCTGCCTCCCTAGCATCTTATAAGGCCCTGTAGGAACATTGAAAAATATTCCTCTGGTTCTTGTACCTGAACATAATCGTACTTGATCTCAGTGAGCACCATTGGTTGAAAGCGACCAATGTTATGGACTTTACATTTACCTCTGTAACATTGGTAGCTTTCAACCAATGGTGCCCACTGGGATTGTTCATGAATCCTGTCTATAACAGTGGATTATTAGGGAACATTCAAATGTAAGAGTTAAGAAATGAGGTTGAAGGAAAAAATACTAATGACAGGAAGTCATTATTTTCTCTGTGTAATGATTTTATAAATGAACATGTCAAAGAGGTTTAGTGGTACGTATTTAAATATGCATTATGAATGTTCAACAATACCAAAAATTTAAATAAGAGAAAATAGGACACTAACCTGCCAACCTGCACAGTAATTGAATTTTCGTTTCGTAAGAAGTGTATCATGAAGCTCAAATGTGTACCATACTCTAGGAAAATAAAAGGCTTCATACCAGTTTCTGCAGACCTGAAAACACAATACCTAAATAATAAAAATCCATTAAAACTTCTTCATACTTTTTATGTGAATTATAATCAACATAACCAATATCATTGAAAAATATATCTACAGTATTACATATTATCCCCAGACATACTAGATTAATAAAAAATATACAAAGACTATTTTCCTATATAATACTAACCTTTAAATACACTAGATACACAGGTGAGCATTACTTGGGAAATGGAATTTAATGTGAATAAATGCCATGTTATAGAATGTGGAATTGGAGAAAATAAACCACACAACCTACAAATTATGTGAAAAGGCTTTACAAAATTCTGATAGAGAGATTAAGGGTGGTTCTTGATAGAAAACTATCACCTGAAGACCACATTAAGAATATCGTGGGAGGAGCCTACACTAATCAATTTCAGAATTGCTTTTAAATACATGGATGGTGAAATACTAAAGAAATTGTTCACAACCTTTGTGAGACCAAAGCTGCAATATGGAATATGCAGCAGTTGTATAGTGCCCATATCTTAAGAAGCACATCAACAAACTTGAAAAAGTGCAGACATGCAACTAATTGGCTCCTGAAACTGAAAGACAAGAGCTATGAGGAAATTAAAAGAAAAAAAAGAGGCAATATGATCACTACCTACAAAATAGCAGCAGGAATCAACAGAATTGATAGGGAAGAATTCCTGCGACCTGGTGCTGTACTTCAAAAACAGGAGGTCACAGATTTAAGCTAACTAAACAAAGCTGCCAAAATAATATAGGAAAATTCACTTTCACAGAGTGGTAGATGGTTCTAACAAGTACTCACCTTGTTGTACTCACCTAGTTGTGCTTGTGGGGGTCGAACTCTAGCTCTTTAGAGAAAAAAGCCTCTCAACTGTCAATCAACTGATTTTATTTTTTATTTTTTTTATTTTATTGAGGTTACTTTATTGAGTCCCCAAAAAATAAAGCTAAAACCAAAATTAAATGTTCCTAGTATAGCACATATATGGTATGTACTATATTAGGCCTCAGATAGTGTGTATTAGGCCTAGGAAGGTTAGGTTAGATTGTTTTCTTTGTAACATCAGTACAAAAACTTTTCCAGTTTTCAATAGTCCAAAAATTCTAATAGTACCGATATCTACTTTCTAATTGCCTTTTATGTTATACTGTACTGTATATGTATGATAGCTCTCATCATTACTATAAGTACAGTACTACCTAAACAGGAGGATGGGCTGTTATATGACAGAGTACTTGGGAAGACGGTACACCACGAGCGTAGCTCTCATCCTGCAACTACACTTAGGCAATTACACTTAATTTGTTATACTTAATTAAGTAATGAATTACCTAATTCATTACCCCAAGGCTACTAGAGATATGGTGGCCCCTCAGGTAAATTCAGGTAATAGGAGATACCGTAGGAGAAACACCCGATTAAAGGTGTTGGGCCCCTAAGACAGAATATAATCCTCTACTGTGGATTTTTGTAACCAATGCTCATTTTATAACCTTTTTGCAAAACTTTAAATTTTATGTTAAGTTTTATAATTTAAAGAATGAAATATCAATTTGCCAAATAATATTTGTTTCTAAAGTGAGAAACAACACTTGCCATTGAAGCAGAGTAACGTTGACTAAGAGTTAGGTACTGAAAAATGTTTTCAAGGAGAAGGTCTGGAAGAATGTGCCAATTGCTATATACATGATCTGGATCATCCTTATTTTCTTTTTGAAACTTGACCTTTCTAGGAGCAACCTTCAAACCCAACTCTGAAAAAAAAAAAAAAGACTGAGTATACACAGTAAGAAAGTACATTTCTCAACAGACTCGCTTGGTTATTCCACAAGGTAAGTTCCCATGGTTGTTCTATTGTGAAGGTGGGAGCAAATTGTGTGACGTTCATGGCACTGATAACTTTTCATGCATCTCCACAGGGTCATACTGGTACTGTACTAAGGAAAATTGGAGATCATCATCCAGAAGATCATTTGAGTGAGCTGAAGAATGCTCACTCAAAATAAGTAACCCTAACAAGTTATCACATGATGGAGTAATAAGGCCAAACAAATAATTCTGAAACAAAATATATAATATCAAGACATTTAAGTTATTCAGAATGAGGAGAAAAATTTAATCTGTAAATATCTATCCAAAATGGGCAAGCACTGAAGAAATTATATCATAGGAAGGATGAAGTAATATACTCAAAAGAATGTTTTTAATAAGCATAAACAGATTGCATATTTTCATTCTAGAAAAGAACAGAAAGGTTATCAAGAGAAAAGAAAACAAAAGAAGGTTACCACGCTAAAAAACTGAGAAAAGGGACATGCCATAAAGAAATTAATAGACATGTACATTGCCAAACAAAATACAGTATGTAGGTATGGATTTTTAAATAATTTATTTTTGTACAATTATTATTGTTTATGTTTTTGTCATATATAATGTGCCAAATATAAGTTGGAAATGTCAATAATGTACAGTATTTGGTTTTGTCACACTTCCTTACATGCACAACTCAAATTAAAACAATGCTATACATACCTGTAGGATTCCACAACTCAATTTTAGGAAGAACATCAGAGCCAGGTATTTTTACTGTAGTCATTCTTGCTATTGGTAATAACTACAAAAAATATGAATGTTGTTAGTAAGCATAAGCTCTAGTATAATTACCTAAATACTACAGCAAAATGCACTTAAAGAGATCTTGAAATTTATTAGGTGAAAAAATTAAAAAATAGTTATTTACACCAAGTACATTATAAGCATCTACAGCTGTGGCTTATTTGTGATGTCAGCAGAACACAATTATGTTATTTATTAACAAACATATACAAATTACTAAACATAAATTATAACTATTATGCATTTTAATTTATAAAACCATAGGCTACATAGGAGACTATCAGAGTTGATATATTAAGCAAGTACCTGTACTGTGTATGGAAGAGTGCACTGCTGAATTTCAAAGACCTACAAACTGTTGTGCAAGTCTTAAAAGAAAATACACAACCATTGTTACACCAGCCATTGGCTTCATGTCCTTGTTGAAGCCACTAGAGAGATAATGTCCCTCGGGTAAATTCAGGCAAATTCTGTGATTATATGTAAGTCTATAGTGGGTATGCATAATTAATCTTAGGCTAATTTTTAATACATGAAGAAAATTCATTGTTTTATTATTAATTTAAAATTAATACCAGTACTAAAGAAAGTACAGCACTTTACACGTATTTAGATTATATTTTTTGATGAACATTAGTTTAATATATGAGAATTACAGTTACAAATCACTATAAAGTACATACAGTTTTTAAGTGTGCTTACAGGATGTTTTTATAAGTAATTCATAACTCATTGTGTTGGGGAACAGGCAGCCAGTTTATGCATACAGTACAGTACATGTTAAGCTATATTGAGGTCCCTCCCAGGGTCAAATTACTGACTTTCCCCAGGATGCAACCCCACCACAAGCTGAATAACCCCTGGAGTACAGTACCTCTTTACTGTTGGGTGGACAGGGGCATGAACTGATAGGAAATGTGCCCAACCATTTCTGTCCCCTCCCAGTATTCGAATCCGGAATTCTCGATTGTGAGTCAAGAACAAACCCAACTGTACGACTGTGACCCCTCAAAATATAGTGGTGAATTGAATGCATTGAATTTCAATCCAAAATTGGATTGAAAAGAGTTGATTGATGGCTGAGAGCTCTCGCAGCATCTCTTGATGTAGTGTTAAATTGCAGTGTACTGGTAGGAGGAGGCATTTACAGGCTTCACTAGCAATCTACATACAATACAGTACAATACTTTACACATAACTATATAAATTATTACGGTTTGGTCATAAGGCAAAAAATAGATATGGTTTATTAAACAATACTAGCTAAAAACCCATAAAACCAATTCTGCAATGCAAATTCTGAGACACTAACTGAAGGCTAATATATACATACTAGCTTTTTGGTGCAAGCTACATGGTTGTCTCCACTCAGTTCAATACATGCTAGACCCTTGTGTACCATTGTAAGCCTACTAAAACCAGATGCCAAAGCCTGGTCCCATTCTAAAGCAGCACAAGGAGCAATGGATCCTAGATCACCCTAATAAAAAAAAAGGCCACCCAGAAAGGTAGGCAAAGCAAAACACACAAACAAAGCATAGACAATGAAACGACAAAACCTTGCGATGAATGAATCCCCCAGTCATGAAGTAGTTCTCTCATTACTTCCACCTGCGAACCATCATGGGATTATGGTTCAAAAGTGGCACTGCTCAATCTCCTAGCCATGAACTTCAGGCATTTTGCCTGGCACTTACGTATCAAACTTTAAATCCAGATTCAAATGAATGTGTATACAAAGAACATAAAAGTAATGTACAATTGTGGGGACGAGTTACACAAACTAATGAAGTCACTATTATGCAAAGTACTTGGAGCAAAAATAATTTGAAAAAAAAGTACAAGTATGTATCATATACAGTACTGTATAGTGTACAGTATATGATATTAGAGTCAAGAGTTTTTGGGTTAAATGTTGACCATCCTGGACACTGTTTTTGACATGCTGGGACTGTGACATGTGTTCTTGCTGCTTGGTCTACCCTTTAGGGACCCAGCAAGCCCTTTTGTAGTTTTTGGACTGTCCCCCTGGTTCTGCTCTCACCCGGTGTGAGTTTGAAGGATGTACCTCAGTTTGTATGTATTTCAATGGTCATTTTTACTACCTCTGTTATACCACCTGTTGAGTGGGTGGGGGTATTAAACATTCCACCATGAGGCCTATGAAGATACCTATCCCCCAATGGTGCCACTTATAAAATATGTGAACACGAGCTAGGGCATACTCTCCAACACTATATCTCTGATTGGCCGTGTTATCAACGATTTTAGGCCTAATGGTATGAGGTATTTTGAGCTTTGTAACTACAGTACTTCATATACTCACGAATATTGGAATATATTCTTGTGCGCTACCCAGATTTTGCTAGTGAAGGCTGATAGATCAGATCCACATTTCATTCTCTCTCCTTTACAAGAATGTAAGGACACCACTGTTATGTACTCTCTCAAACCCAATGTACCTTCTAGTATATACAGTAAATAAATAAATGATTAACTATATTGTGAGATGGGGATGTTAGATGAACTCGTAGCTAGTTTTTTATTTACACTTTTTAATCTTTCATATATAATAAGATAGCAGTACATTGTTGTGTATAGCTAAGCTTGTTACAGTAATAAAAAATCCTTACTTGTTAGTATTTTACCATATTTATTTAAATTACATTATTGCTTTTAATATTTTTTAGTCCCAGTTGGTTGTCTCATTTGGAAACCTTTCAGCAAGATCTCATTATTTAAAAGATTTAATAAATACTCTTTGAGGAAAGCACTGCTTATAATTTCACTTGTCAAGGCCAGGAAGTGTGTACAATAGTAGTACTTATTGAGGTCTGACATGGACAACTTATAGTGACCTCCCCAGGGTGTAAACCACAATAATTGCCTAACTACAAGGTGGCAATTTTACTGCTACACGAACAGAGGTGAAAGGTATCAGGTGCCCAAACGTTTCTGTTGCGCCCAGGAATCGAACCGCGTACCTTGGTTATGTATCGAAGACGTAGACAACTGTGCTATAAGGGTCTTCGTTGAGAATGCGTCAGTATAGCATACTATAAAGATTTGAAATTGAAGTTATCATAATATGTATCTCAACCTAATAAATTAAGTGAAGTGTATTAATGTAAACCTTGCTACTACACAGCGGCCTGGTACCAGGGTTATTTTCAGATATATTTGCGTATGATGCTGCCAAAATGGATGCCTGCTATGCACCCCACCAGTAATAATGGTAGTTTACACCATTACACATCTGTTTAGATGCTTATATAAACTGAAGGCTAAGAGCTTACCACCACTGAACAAGGACACTCGATTCATCACCAAGGAACACTGAGCGGCCCCCCTACACACCAGCTGGCACCCCGCACTCAGCTGGCACCCCGCACTCAGCTGGCACCCTGCACTCAGCTGGCACTACTTGGTTATAGATACAGCTGGCAGGAAAATCACAGGGAATTTGTTGAGAATATCAACTGCCATCTTAGAGCACCGTGCTAAGCGTTCATAGGTTCCTTGAGTGGTCCTCATAGCAATTGACACCAAAATGGTGTGAATTACCTTAACAATTAACTTATTTACATTAAATAAATAGTTAACTGTGTAGGCCGTTAAGGTAATTAATTCCCTAACAACCTTTGTTAGTGAATCTTCCAGTCGGGCCACAGACGAAAAGTCCCGAACCCATTGTTGATGTGATGACTTATATTGAATTTTGTAACTAGCTCATCAAGATTGTAACTTGCTTAGCTAAATGAATTGTGGGGTTCAGTCCCTGAGCCCATTATGTGCCTCTGTAACCCTTTCCACTACCGCCCACAAGATGGGTATGGGGTGCATAATAAATGAACTAAACTAACGTCAAAAGACAAGGGGAAGCTTTTGGGGAAAGTGTCCTTTCCCAAACCCCCATGCGATCTTCATGAAGCTAAGTCTGAAATGGAGGTTGTGTTTTCCGTAGAATCATCTATCAGTTCAGTGCTTCCTAATATTATATTTTTTTTTAGAGAGAGAGGGAGAGGTTCAGGGCTGTTTTAACAGCATTGTAGGCCCTGGAAAAGCAGTGAATGGGGCCCCCTACCTGCAAGATGATGGGCCCCGCCCATCTGCTAAAGTGCAGGATAATCGCCAGATAAATATTATACACAATAGTATAAAAAAAAATTATAGTATAAAGTAAAACTGGAACAATGTGGTGAGTAGGGGTACTGCACGGTTCCAGTTTGGGGCAACCCATTTTGTCACATACATCAATGACATAAATGAGAATGTTACAACCCAAATCATCAAATTTGCAGATGACACTAAGATTTATGGTAAAGTAGGAAGTGGCAATGCTATTTAAGCCATACAAAGAGATCTACATGAACTCCGCAGGTGGTCGGAAGAATGACAAATGCTTTTCAATATCGAGAAATGCAAGTCCTTGCATGTGGGACATAACAAGTCAGCGGCTAGTCAAAGGTCTTCCCATCTGTCTTGATGATTTTATCAAGCTGGATTTTAAAATTCAGCAGTATTTTGGAATTAACGCCTACGGAGGGAAGGTGGCTCCGTGGGTGTTCTAAGTTTTTCACCCTATAGATGAAAAACTTCATGCTCTCTGCTCTACATTAATGGCTTGTTCAGCTTGAAACCGTTGCTTATTGTCGAACTTTCACGTCAGCTGTCGAGCGCCAGGATAGCTCACCTAGTTGTGCTTGCGGGAGTTGAGCTTTCGCTCTTTGGTCCCGCCTCTCAACTGTCAATCTACTGGTGTACATTCCCAGTTAAAAAGCATTAGGTAAAATGGAACATTGCTCAAACGTTTCTGTACTGTCGAGGGGATCGAACCTGCGATCTATGACTGTTAGCCAGAGGCATTGCCCACATTTGTGCGCATGCGCCAGTGGCCTCCCCTCACTGTATGGCCTTAGCAGGCAGCCCTCGTTAACTACCATCTGCTTGCTACTTACTGCGTGAAGGTCTCCCGCCTCAGACATTAGCACATAGACCATTGCCTTAAAATCTAAGTGTCAGAGGAAAGCAAGGTCGAATGTTAGAAAGAATGCGCTGCGCTGAACATGTTATTCATCTCTCTCATATATACTTTTGGTTATTCCACCAAAACGTCTTGTTTGGGCATCGATTCGCTGGGCAACATGGTCAATATATCTACGCAGTGTGGAAGTATAATATATTGATCAACTTGTCGACCTACGGGGCATGGAGTCCACCCACCTCTCGAGACGTCGGTTGGGAACTGGTTCACACAACTCAAGTTCACTTCTTCGCGAGATCTCAATATACAGCGTTGCAATAGTAAATTTTAAATTGGTTTTAGATACCTCGAATTTTACTAATCTATGCTGTTGATAGCACGATCGTTTCTGAGAATCAGCGACGTCTAGTTATGGAGTTATTCAGCCTTAATATATGTTATGGTCTGAGAGAACAAGTTGCGTGGATTGCCACTGGTGGAACCCACCTTTAAGTTTGTTTGACTTTAGGCTTCGCTCTCAATCACTCTATTGATCACTCTGATATTACATTGTAGATGTAAGCTAAGCGCTAGGTTGTCTAGACTTATATTTGATTTACCTTTTAATGTACTTCATTTCAGTTTAAATTTCTTTTTTGTTTAAAACTCTGTAAACCAAAGAAACCTTTGTTCTCTACTTAAAAGTTCAACTTTTTCGTTGTGCAGTTATTACTTTTAACTCCAAGGATGTAGCTGGATGAGTCCTCCAAGGATGTAATTGGATAAGTCCTCCAAGGATGTAGCTGGATGAGTCCTCCAAGAGATAGCTAGATGAGTCCTCCAAGGATGCAGCTGGATGAGTCCTCTAAGGATGTAGCTGGATAAGACCTCCAAAAGATACCTGGATGAGCCCTACAAGAAGGTTGCTGAATAAGACCTGCTTGGAAGACTTGTCTAGCTGTCTTACAAACAAACAAACATCTCCAATAGAAAGTGCATAGAATTTGCGGCCATAAAGCTATTAAAGAGAGTTCATTACAGCACCTCCACTTGTTAAAATGCTGCTTGAAAAACATAAATCGTGACACCCTCACCTAATATTTATTTCTAATAAGTGTCCATTATCTCTAATAGACACTAGTAATTGTAGTGTCTTCTCACAGACATAATAACATAGGATAAAAAAGCCACACTTGTGTATTTGGGAAATTTATGTAAGGAATTTACATCAAGTTTTCGCGCGCTCCTGAGTGCTTGGTCAGTGTCAGAGTGGATGATTAGCGCGAGATGCAAGTCTCGTCCTAATCGAAACGTCTTGCATAATAGTAGCTTTAATATGCAACCTACCTCTGCATTTTAAATTAATTATTAATTATTAAATTCAATTTTTATTCAGGAAACGTACATACATAGAGGATGAGATACAAACATAAACGTTGGATTTATAGACAGAGCTAGTACATACAATACCTAAAGCCACTAATACGCATAACGTTTCGGGCTAGGTGTGGGGGGGAAAATACACTTAGACTAAAACTTAATAGAAATCGGGATTAAAGTAAAAATTATGTTGAAAAAAGAACCAAAAAAAGGGGGGGGGGGACATGACAAAAATAACAATTGTACAAGTTGGTCAATAAACAGCATTGTTTAAAATTTATTGTTATGTATGTATATTTTATGTGCATCTTTTTGTAAATATATTTTCTTTCAACTTTACCATAAAGCTTAGTGTTTTCTGCATATTTTATAATGTGGTTTGTAATATTTCCGCCTGTGCATTGATGTACATGACAAAAAGGGTTGGCCCCATGATGGATCCTTGTGGTACTCCACTCACCACATTTCTCTGTCGGATTTATTTCCATATATTTATGTATTTATAATTCGTTTATTTAATCAAGTGAGAGGTTACAGGTTGAGAATTAGAATGAATGGTGACAATATCAAATTCTGGTATTGCCACCATATAAAATTTCATATTAGTTTTCACAAATATGTGCGAATAAGTGCATTTAAAAATGTTAAAGGGCGTTGGTTTACTTTAAATTTCCCGGTTATTATAACATCAGAATTAAAAGGGCTTATACTTCCTCAGCACTTATAACACTGTTTTATGTGTTGAATTTACACATAATTTGGTTGACTTTAAAGGTGGTTAAAATCAAGTAATTTTCGCATTGAAAGTTATAAGTTAGATTCAAATTTGGTGGAGGGTTAGAGTATGACAGTTTTAGTGCGCGAGGTTGTCAAGAGGTGGCGCACACGCTGCCACGGTGACGTCACGCCTCAGTCAGTACATTGCCGTTCTCGAGTGGGGCTGTGTCTTTGTCCGGCAGCATTTTAAGGGTGATCTGCTGTGTTTCTGTGTGCCCGTAAGGGCTGTGTTGATTATGTGTGGTGCTTAGCACGAAGAGCAGTCATGTTTCGGTGTATCCCCATCTTCAAGGGGTGTAACAGGCATGTGGAGTACGTGGATAAGCGACACTGCTCCCTGGGCAGTGTTCCTGACGACATAATGCGTTACGCCCGTAGTCTGGAGGAGGTTTTACTCGACGCTAACCACATCCGCGACCTCCCGAAGGTGAGTAACCCCCCTTCCTCCAGACACAAGTCCCTCCTCGTGAGGCTAGGGTGGGTGGTGAGGCCGGCAGCATGGGAGGGGCACACTGGTCACTGGGAGATCCTGGACTGGCTGACCCGGGGCCTCACCTGGGTCCATGCCCCGTCTCTTCATACCCAACACCGTTCTCCCGGTCTGCTTACCTTAACTAACCTTAACCTTGCCCAATTCACAATAACTCAACCTACTGTAAACCAGCATTACCTAACAAATATGTACTGTTTTAACATGCACAGCTATCTAGAAATACCCCATGTGTAAGTTGGAAACGAGTTACATTATTTATTCTCCAGGCGGGGTGCGGCCAAATTGTTCACGTTAATGAAATGTTTATTCTGGTTAAAGCTCATACATTCAAAATGACTTACAAACAGAATGTTGGATTTTTAGATAGAGCTAGTACATACTATGCCTCAAGCCACTAATACGCACAGTGTTTCGGGCAAGGTGTTGGGGAAACACTTAGACTAAACCTTAAAACTAATTGAGATCAAAGCATAAATTGAATTGAAAAAGGTAATTACATGATGGATGCAACAGCAGAAATTGAAACACAACAGCAGAAGTAATTTTAACTTAATAAACAAAAAACTACAATTTTCTTAAAGTTTATACATGGCAGATATCAGCAGTTATACAAGTTGGTCAATAATCAATATTGTTTGAAAATAGCAAGATATAGGTTGATATTTAGGAGGTAAAGTAGATTACATGGAATTTATTAGGTAGTACTTTATTTTTCTCTTAAACTGATTAAGAGACAGTCTTTGACATGATTGGGAAGGTCATTCCATATTCTGGATCCCTTGATTTGCAGAGCATTTCTAGTTTGGTTATATCACACTCTTGGAATATCAAATAGGTATTTGTTTCTAGTGTGGTGCCCATGGGTTCTGTTACAACCAATCAACCAGGTATCAACACCCTTCGAGGAAGCGTTTAAGGAAAATTGGATTGGCATTACAGTTCAGAGTTTTAAATATATAGAGTACGCATGAGAGAATGTGTAGTGTATTATCTAACATATTCAAATATTTAAGTAAGGGGGCCGAGTGCTGTCTGGGGCCAGTTTATTGTTCTAATAGATGATTTGTGTTGAGTAATTAGAGGATGTAGATGATTTTTGGATAGTAGAACCCCAAGTACATACTGTATACTGTATACCATAGTTAAGATAAGGATAGCTAGAGTAATAGAGCATTACCAGGGCAGGGCAAAGTACATAGTAACAGATTTTAGAAAGGATGCCAAGTGTTTTAGAACCTTTTTTTTTTGCTATACATATTTTGAATGTAGCCCTGCTCATATAGCATTGAATGTGGCATAGCTCGTTTTCTAATTTTTAGAGATGTGTATATTCGTAGGATATATTAGCGTAAGCTAGATTAGGTTGGTTTGGGTACCTTATCTTGCGATACTTTCAGGACATTGATCCCTGAAATCATCGCAATTTCACCCCGGTCGAGGACTTGCCTGGTCCTCGACTAGGCATCCTGGTTGCTGGACTGGTCAACTGGTAAGATAGATTTTTAAATTCATTGGTAAATTGTCTTATGTAGGTTGCAATTTGTCTCACAATCTTGCAAGATGGTTTGCCACTGGATATTAAAACTAACTTAATCTTACCCAACCTAACCCAACCCAAAAATTATCCAACCTAACCCTAAATTCCCCAACCTAAATAACCCAGATTAAAGTAACAATGTGTAGTACTGTATATGGTTTTGACAATTGGAAAACAAACTACGTTAGAAAGCCTTGGTATAATTTGACAGTACCTTCTCTTGGGGACCTACTGCAAGCTTAAATTACAGAGTAGTGATAGGTTATATAGCCTCCAACAAATATTTGCATCTCGGACAGACAATTATAACCAAAAATATGCACCCAGGAAAATAATACAGTTGTCACCTGAATTTACCTGAAGGCCACTCTCTCTAGTGGCCTTGACGAGGACAGGACTCCAGTGGCTTGTCAAAGGTTCTCCATTTGTACTGATTATTTTATTGAGGTGAATTTTGAATTCACCTCGAATAAAGGTGAATTCAATGTTAAAATTAGCATTGTTTTGGCATTTATGGCTTTTGAAGGTAGGCGGTTCCATGGGTTTATAACCCTGTGGATTAAGAAAAGCATCTCTGTTTTCTGTCCTACATTGTGGCTTGTCGAGCTTAAAGTTACTCCTTGTCTGCATTACTCAGACCTTTTAAAGTTGTCTGGATTAGTAGCCTCCAAATTGTTCAGTATTTTAAGTTTCAACAAGATCAGCCTTCTCATGTCTGGTTTGCACTGTTAGGCCTGTGACCCATAACCGTTCTAGGTGTGTGAATCGACTTGGTTCTGGAATGATTTTTGTCACCTGGTATTGAACTTTCTCCAAAGCAAAGCGTAATGTAAATATACAGTACTGTACTGTGTATTTATGGTACTATACAGTACAGTACTGCTGTATATGATATTAGAAGCAAGTTGGATTTTTCTCCTCAAATGTACGTTCTCTGGTTATATTAATTGAAGACAGTGATATGAAAATATAAATTTTTGTTATATATAGTACCTAACTGCTGCTATAATGTACTTTTACTAGATGATGTTTTTTTCGTAATTCATGATGTTTGGTATGTAGCATAAAACTTGCCCGAGAATCAATTTTATTGTTGGAGAGGTTTTTAAAGTTTTATCGGGGAATGTTTTGCCAACATGTAGAGTTTTTATTCATATGATTGTTTATTGTAGATATCATATACAGTATTGTATAATGCATTATTATATAGTGAGAAAATATTACAGTATTAGATGACCTATAAATGCAAGTTCGTGACACATTAACAACTAGCTTTGTCATATTACTGTAACCCTGTACTTCTAACATTCTTCATTTTTTTAATACAGCCATAAAATATAATTTTCTAGTACATGAGTAAATATCTTCAGATTATAGACAAGTTTGGCAGTGTTATATATATACCCAGTACTGTTCAGTGTTGTGGAACTATATGGACAATCATGGGTGTCCCACAAGTAGGCTAAGGGATGTTTATACCTTGAATGTGAGGTCATCTTGAGATGATTTCAGGGCTTAGCGTCCCCGCAGCCTGGTCCTCAACCAAACCTCCTTTTTGGGAGTGGCCGACCAGGCCATTCACTCCCATGAGTATCATTCACCTCAGAAAACTTGGATTGCAACTTGTGACTCAGCTAGGTGATATAAGCTAGTGGGGATATAAGATATCCCCACTAGCTTATATCACTAGCAGATATAAGAAAGTGGGGATACCACCTGTACAGATGCAAACTGTGAATAAATCAGCAGCAAATGGGTATACCACTGCCAGAGATCAGTCATCTCATCTTTTAATCCACCTTCAGGTGGGGACACCAAAGAGCCATAATTCAAAGGAAAACCAGGGCCAAGCACAGACTTTGGCTGAGGCCAGTTGGACAATACAGTAGTTTTATATTGCAAATACTATACTGTATAGATATATAAAGACTGTGACCTTTAATATACTGTATCATTCTAGATTTTTTATGTAGACATTTCGTAAAACATTTTGGTTTGTAATTTATGAATATCTTTCGGCAAGTTTTTGCACTTTAGAAGTGCAGTAGGATTTGTTATATATTTTGTGCTCATTGCTCTTCTCATGGAAAATAGTTTTAAAATTTAACAGGGCCTGGTATCAGGTTCTACAGCTGTTTTATTATCCCTTGACCTCCCCTGGACGCCTGACAGCTGGATGGACAATTCTCAAGGTGCTGCAAACAATGTTCTGCATTGTAGCAAGTTTCCTCATAGATTCCTAATTCCAGAGATTAGCTTTGTTATTATCCGCTAAATGTATACAAAGGCATTGATGTGTTTTATACCTTAACCAGAACTGTACAACATAATTAAAGTACTGTATGGTCTTACCAGTTCTAGATAATGTTATATGATTAATTTCATGTTCTTATTTCTAAGCTTCCACAAATGAATCCAAGGATTTTATTAACCTTGTTGATTGAGGGACAAGGAAGATTGTATTAACCTTGTTCAACACAGTGATGCTCTGCTGTCTTGTTTTAAGTATGCCAAAAAAGCTGCACTAATTATAGTGGTTCAATAAAGGATACAAATGCTGTACCTACTTTTATAAATAATTACTAATCAGATCCTCAGTATATTTTAATAATGATAGTACTGTAATTTGTTTCATTAATACATATACAGTATTTATGTATTCCAAGTGGAACGGTGTTAGTTGTTTGATTCGGAATTTGGTGAAAGTTATAAAGGTAAAATGGAGGAGGGAGGGGGTTACTGTGTTTATATACTCTAGTTAAGTCAGGGACAGGAAGTTTGTTTGGAATTACTGAGGGGTCTCCTAGGCCAACTGCTGATCTTTTCCAGGCTGCAACCTACAACGGTTGTCCAAGTCCCCGGGTATCTATTTACTGCTAGGTGAACAGAGGCATCAGTTGAAAGGAATCTGTGTCCAAAAACTTCTATCCTGTCAAGGGAATCAAACCCAGAGCCTTTCGATTGTTGCTCTGAATATTCTGCCAGGTATTCAAGAAAACTTGATAAACACCTCCAAAGGGTATCTGATTGGTCAACAGGGCTGATTCCTACATAAGATTCTATACCAGAATCCATTGGCCTTGTTAACCAGACTGTCAACCAGGAGGCCAGTTCAGAGACTGGCCATAGGGACATTGATCCTCGCAACCTACTCAGGTGATAGGAAAGTTTAGACTACTGAAGTGTGTGTGTGGGGGGGGGGTTGGAGGGTTTTACTGCTTTAGTGTGGAAAGAATGCAGTGAAATTGGGTAGTGGGGTGTATCAGATATTCCGTAGGTTAAAGGTAAAGGGGGGGGGGGTTCTGGGGGGATTGGGACCTATGTTGCAAAAGGGGGGGCTTATTTGTCAAGTCTCAAATACTGTATCCAAACACGCTTTTGCCGATATCAATACCATAAGACATGATCAATTTGTAAAGGAAGGTTGACAGTATAACCATGCACTGTATATTAAGGTCTCGGGGCATCTGCCTGTTTTGGTACTACTGTACTTTTAGTAATGATGAGGACCATAGTATATATACCGACGAGCAATGAAATTAGAAAGTAGAAATCGGCACTATTGATATCTGAGGCCTCATAGAGTACATATGTGAGCTATGCTAGGTTTAGGAATATTTAGTTTTTTTAGCTACATTTTTATTTAAGAATTCCTTACTAGTCAGTATACTACTATCTAAAACTAAGTATTCGTGTATACGAATTCGTGACGACTGACGATCGTCACAATAGATACTATCTAAACAGGAGGATGGGTTGCAAGGTTTATTTTATATACCCTCTCCGTTTCAGTACCAACATGTCAATTTTTACCTCTTCATTTTGCGAATAAAAATATCATTGATGATAAAACAGCATCACGAACATCGATTTATCTCCCTTTCATCGATCCCTATACAGTATTAAAGAACAAGTAGGTTCTTTAATACCGTATAGGGTTCTTTAATACTTCATGCGCACACACATGCACGTGTGCGCATGAAGATGTATTAGCCTAGGGTTCAAAGGAATTAAAATCGGAATCTGAAGCTTTATTCTTAACATGTTTACAACCATTAATAACAAGAGACATTGACAAAACTGTATCGCATAGGATTTTGAATGACGAGACTTTATTAGAGTAAATATAACATGATTTGATAGTAATTTCCATAACCTAATAATTACGAGTAGTGGTAATGGGTGGATGTGATGAGAGATAGGGACATCCGATTACCAAAAGACAAGAAAATAAGTCACCATTTTTCTATCCAACAGAACTTCTTCCGACTTCACAAGCTGCGTCGACTGGGTCTCAGTGACAATGAAATCTCGAGGATCCCTCCAGATATCCAGAATTTTGAAAACCTTGTGGAATTGGATGTCTCTAGAAATGGTAAGTTTTTTCTAATAGTTCTCGTGGGTTCACATTTTGAAGTGTGGAGAGTTGAGGGATGTTAAAAAATGTAATTGTATTTACTCGTGAGCGTGGTCCACTTTGAAAAAGTGGACGTTGTGGTGTGCACGGGACTGTGCACTTGCATGAACAACTGGATGTAATATCTGCAGATATTAGTTTTGTCTGATGTTATCAGAGGTTTCTGAGGATGTAGTGGACATGCGTTTATAACCTTTTAAAGCCATTAATGCCTATTTCCTTCACAGAGGTTTAATTAATATGTGACCCCCTCTTCCGATTTTGAGTGACGGCCAATTTGTTTTTGGAAGTAAGTGTTGCATCATGGCGAAGCCCTGTTGGGGCACGATAGGGGGAAGTGTTGCAGCGCAGTTACAGTACTGTACACGCATTTATGCATGCTTCCAAACCGAAACCTGGTGTCTAATTTTGTTGTCTAATTTTGGCGTCTTATAATAAAACCGAAATTTGATGACTAAATATAATTTTTTGTTGGCGTATCCGAAGTTGTTTTATTGCCCATATATTTTCCTATTAACTTTTAAAAACAGAGTTTTATCTTGGTTTCGTTGGTGGGCTCTTGGGTCAAAACATTTTTGGTATTCACCTCACATCCAAATTATGACAAAGTAGTATTTTGTTATTTTATAATTTGTTTTTAACGTAAAAGCCGCAGGAAAGGATTCTCGGTGTTGTCATAGTGGTATAAGCTAGCCTGATAAACTACTGTATACATTTTTGTTAATGGCGTTTCATGGAGTGTGTGCAGTAAATATGTCGTTAGTATGCTGTCGTAAGCGTATGGGGGAAGACTAACTAGTATGCACTGGATGTCACTTGTTGCTACTACTAGTTCTATGAGCACTGCATGATATCAGTAATGAGTATTGCCAGAATACTCTGTGTTTTATCAGAAAAGATAGTGCGATTATACTAGTGCTTCACTAGTGACGCACATAATGTGGTAACAGTTTTTATTAATGCAATAGTGTTTTAAGATAAACAGTAGAGTTCTGTTAATGCTTATTTGTATGGGTGTTGATTTTGCTCTTATATAGGCTTGGGGTATGCATACATTTGTGAGGGATAAATATTAGATTTATCGAGCCTCCAACCCTCCTAGCCAGCGGCAAGGGTAGGTGCGTATTCACCCAGCAAGTACCAGCCGTTGTTCAAAATGTGTGTGTGTAACAGTCGGGTAATTAATGTTATAAAAATAAAGCGCCAAAATAAAAGTTGAGAGTCGGCACGCAGTACGTCAACCAGTAACGGTTTCCTGTTACATCCTGCTCTCTTACCTGTGTAGGAACCAGCTTCCATGACGACTATATCCTCCTGTTTGGGGTTAAAGTGATAGGCATTTAAAAAAAAAGATGAAATAGTTTAAGGAGAATGAATAAGGAAACTCAAAAGGTAGCTGTTAAATCGTTCCCAAAGTTGAATCAGGGTCTTGATTCAACTTGTATTATATTATTTGCATTATATTATTTAAATAGTGCTACTTCAATCAAATTTCCATGTTTTCAACAAGATTTAGTTTTGTGGTAGCTGTAATTAGCTAAAATTCAAGTGGCTGAAATGGAGGACAATATTCAACTGAAACTGCTTTATTGCACATCTTATAAAACTGTACTGGGAAACAATTGTTGTAGACGCTGATTGCTCTTATCAATCTTCCACACGAATAAATATTAATATTGCTAAGGGTGTTTCTTTACCTGCAAAATATGCTGCGTGTAGATTTTTGTGCTGTAACTTTTTTTTTTTTTTTTTTTGCAAAACTAATATCGACGATCAGTTCATGAGCTCTGTGTGTGTAACGAATTCCACGACTGACCACTCCCAGGATAGGCAGGGGGCGCTTAATAAGAGACAACTAAAACTCTGACAATCATTGGGGTGTGACGCCGGTGATAGGAATGGCCAACCCTCTGTATCCTATCCGCGCCCAGTGACCTGTAGTAGTAAACAATAGAAGTAGGTGCACGAAGTAGAAAGGCATACTGGTAGGTCAGTGCTACTTTTACTGGCCCATCTGCTGTAGGTTCTTCACTTGGTCATATTTTAAATGGTTTACTCTTGCCAGAGATTGAAACCCTGTTAGGTTTATCAAGTTCTCTTCTAGGTCATTCCTCAAGATGCAACCCAGAACAGTTGTTTAATTACCGGACACGTATTGCTTGGTGAACAGTTGCATCTGGTGTGAAGAAACGTGCCTGAACGTCTAGCCCTGCTCGGGAATCAACTCTGGCCAATTTTATCTTGGGCCGACTGCGTTAACCCCTCTACACTACAAGTCTGCTTATGAGTTACTACCTGCTGTACTCTCACCTACCAGCTTAAGCCACGGTGGCTGTAAACGTAACTCCTGGTGGAACAAGTTTAGCCTGAGGATAAGCAGGATTGTGAGAGTGAAGCAGGGGCTTGTTTTGGGTAAGAGGGAATATGAAGGGAGGGAGGGGGGTGGGGTGACGGTATTCTGAGGTTCAGGAGGGGGGGAGGGGGTGAGTCACTCCCCTGGAAACACAAACCGAAACTGTCTCTCTTTTCCGCTTGTTACAACTTGTAATAAAGTTGTTACATCTTGGCTTAACGTGTTTATGACGTATTAGAACGTTGTTATAACTTGCTATATTGGTTGTTATAACTGGTTAGGAGGTGTTAAAACTTGTTCGAACGTTGTACCAACGTTGTAGTATCGGTGTGTGTTTGGCGGGTCGAGTGAGGCCCATGAATATGACCAAGGTGGCGTTGGTTACCTGGAAGTAGACGCTAGGATCGTGGAGCGTGTGGCAACACTCTCTGGAGTAGGCTATGGGCATGCAGACGTACCCTGACGTCATCACAGTGAAAGTCGATTGTCTGGTCTATATGATGCTAGTTTTTTGACGGTTGACACAAATATTTACGTTTTTTTTTTTCGTAGTGAGTGACTGTATAGGTGCACGTCTCTTGCCTTTAGAATCTTGGTATGTAATTCTGAGTTGTTTAAATGTGCAAGCCACGTGACATGAAGGGATGGCAGTCTTGTTGGATATGGCGACAGCCTTCTGGATGAATAAACCTGGTCGTAGTACGCACGAAGATGTGAATGGACCGACGTTACATAATGACTTGCAGCTTTTTCTACTACTCGATGTTGAAGTCTAGAAGATTGAATGTGTTGACTTCATTTCAACAATATTACCATGTTTTATAGTGTTTTATACTATAAAATTAAGTTTTATGTATGAAAGTATTATTTTTTTGTCTTCATTCAGTCAAATAATATTTTTTTTTCTTTAATTTGAGAGAAACATTATTGTATAAATTAATGGTTTCCATGTATGTAAGTTTTGAACCCATTTCATCATTTCAACTAAATAAGTTTACTATTTTTACCAGTGTTGATTGAAACTTATCGGTTTTGATCAAGAATTGCAATGAATAATTTTATAATTAATTATACATGGTAGGGCTACATTTTGAGGTTATATTTATTTAATTCTTCTACTTCTACCATCCACTGAACGCCCCCCCCCCATTCACCGAATGCCCGCCTCACCCCCCCCCCATCCACCGAATGCCCGCCTCCCCCCCCATCCACCGAACGCCCGCCACCCCCCCCATCCACCGAACGCCCGCCACCTCCCCCCATCCACCGAACGCCCGCCACCCCCCCCCCCATCCACCGAACGCCCGCCACCCCCCCCATCCACCGAACGCCCGCCACCCCCCCCATCCACCGAACGCCCGCCACCCCCCCCATCCACCGAACGCCCGCCACCCCCCCCCATCCACCGAACGCCCGCCACCCCCCCCCCCATCCACCGAACGCCCGCCACCCCCCCCATCCACCAGAACGCCCGCCACCCCCCCCATCCACCGAACGCCCGCCACCCCCCCCCATCCACCGAACGCCCGCCACCCCCCCCATCCACCGAACGCCCGCCACCCCCCCCCATCCACCGAACGCCCGCCACCCCCCCCCATCCACCGAACGCCCGCCACCCCCCCCATCCACCGAACGCCCGCCACCCCCCCCCCCATCCACCGAACGCCCGCCACCCCCCCATCCAACGAATGCCCGCCACCCCCCCATCCAACGAATGCCCGCCACCCCCCTATCCAACGACGCCCACCACCCCCCCATCCAACGACGCCCACCACCCCCCCATCCACCGAACGCCCGCCACCCCCCATCCACCGAACGTCTGCCATCCCCCCCCCCCATCCACCGAACGCTCGCCCCTTATCTACCGTACACCCGCTCCTATCTACTGTATGCTGGACTCCACCGACCGCACGCCAACTCACTCCGTCACACACCCTACCCCATCCAGGGGTGTAACTTGTGACTAAGCGTTTAGGTAGTCCGCCCTCTGATAGATTACCTCTTGATAAGGCCGAGGGATCTCGTTCATGTTTATTTGTTATTGTATCGGCGATGGAGATTTTATTGCTAGAATACAAAATAAGTCTTGTATAAATTTGTCAACATACACCATTAGAGAGAGCAGGGCCGTTACGTAGAGCCGAGTGGTGGAGCGAATAACAAGAGAGCGGTGGTGGAGCAAGTAACAAGAGAGCGGTGGTGGAGCAAGTAACAAGAGAGCGGTGGTGGAGCAAGTAACAAGAGAGCGGTGGTGGAGCAAGTAACAAGAGAGCGGTGGTGGAGCAAGTAACAAGAGAGCGGTGGTGGAGCAAGTAACAAGAGAGCGGTGGTGGAGCAAGTAAGAAGAGAGCGGTGGTGGAGCAAGTAACGGGAGAGCGGTGGTGGTGTTATCGTTGGTAATATCTGTGGATTATCAGCGTGACCTTCCTGATGACTACTGATAGTGGTGGTGGTGGCCTGGCCAGAGTAATGTTATCAACGTCTCGTGGAACACGTTTTAATAAATCTGTATACTGTTTATTACTTTTCTATATATCGGATCTAGGCTGTGACATTTTCTTGTCACCTGACCAACAGCATTGAACTTTTACAGCTTTCTCGTTTA